GGAGGAGAAATCGCAAGGAAAGTTGCGAAGAACTGTTTTCACGTGATTTGGAGGAGGAAGATGGGAATAGGAGTAAGAGCAAGAGTTTGCAGAAGAAAAATGATGGGGTGGAATTGAATGAGGACGAGTTTTTGTTGGATGAGTATGAAAGCGAAGAGGAAGGAGCTCTTGGAGGTGGGAAATCAAAGAGGAAGGCTAGTGGGGTTTCTATTGGTTCATCAAGTGACGAGGAAGGAGAGAAGGATGGCTCTGATGATGAGGAAGAGGAGGAGAAGGGGTTTAAGATTTACTTTTGTAGTCGGACGCATTCACAGCTCTCGCAGTTTATAAAGGAGTTAAGGAAAACTCTTTTTGCAAATGAAATAAATGTTGTGTGTTTGGGCTCAAGGAAGAATTTCTGCATCAACGAAGGTACAACGATCTTGTACTTTCTTCATTTAATCACTTCATTTGCATGACTGACTTCATTTTTTTTTCTGGCTTCCATTCAGAGGTTTTGAAACTCGGCAGCTCTGTGCGCATTAATGAACGGTGCTTGGAGCTTCAGAAGAACAAGAAAAATGAAGTCTCCAAAATCAAGGTATATGCCAATCTATAAATTCGAATGTGATGAATGCGTTGATTTTGGCGTGGTAAGCTCTTGTCATGTCTGTAGATAGTATAGTTGAAGAACAAAAGAGTACTTCTACTTATTGGTATTTGTGAATTGTGATTGTACTGTTGGAGGGTAATAGAGTTAAGGTAGGATAACTGGAGATGAAGTCAATGTTTTCTGTTTGTGAAAATGACATTCCAAAGGCAATGAACATGAGAGCTTGCTCCTCCTGTCTCCTAGGTATTTGATGATCCAATTTAGTGTGGAGACAATTGGGCCTGGGTTGTGCAGCTGAAGTAACAAGATTAAGTCAATGGCATCATTAAAGTGCTTAGTGGATGATATAAGGAGGGACTGGTGGGTTCTGATGTATGTGCAGATGACCTTCATGTGAGACAATAAATTCTATTAGAGATCGTGGAAGCAATTGTTACATATGTTTTAAGTGTTTCTGGTGCATATGTTTCAGTATTCACAGAGTAGGAAGCCATCCTATACGCATTCAGTTTATAAGAAGCTATCCTGTTTTAGGTGTGCTTCTAGTGCATATTTTTCAGTATATAAGTGTTTGACCAGATCAACCAGAGATTTTTTTCACTGGTTTTCAGAGTATAGTTTTTGTACGAATGCTTGAAAATGTAAATTTAGAAATATTTTGACAAGGTATCAGGGACTTTTCATGCTGAGCTTGCTTCTAAAATGGAACCTTATCTTCTTGGTTCAGAGGCTCCAATCCAGCTACTCAAACACCTTTTAGAATTATTCCTACCTCAGTCTATTCAGAACAATATAGACAGCATTTCCTTTGCTTGGAATAGAGAGTTTTCCTGGAGTTTTGACTGATCACAGTGTTTGTTTGCAGAATATAGGTGCCGAGGGAAGAATACGTCGTACCAAGGCTTCTTCTGGCTGTCCAATGCTTAGAAAACATAAACTACAGAAGGAATTTAGGAACAAGACATCTCAACATGGAACATTGGATATTGAAGATCTTGTTCACATTGCAAAAAGTATTGGAACCTGTCCCTATTATGGCTCTCGAAGCATGGTCCCAGCAGCTGACCTTGTTGTTCTCCCTTATCAGTCTCTTCTATCAAAATCGTCCCGTGAATCACTTGGTCTCAATTTGAAGAATAATATCATAGTAATAGACGAGGCTCACAATTTAGCTGACTCCCTCATCAGCATGTATGATGCGAAAATTACTTCATCACAGGTGCATATACTGTCATTCTCTCACAGTATTGGGATATAACATATTGCTTTTTCGTTGCATAGCCTCGATGTGGATAGCAAAGATCCTTACCCAGGAGTTGGAATCCTACTTCCACTAACAAGTTTAAGCAATTGGCATTTATATAAAAAAGAAAAAAGAAAATTGGAATTCAATTAGGTATTGATAAGACAGAAAACAATTAGGTATTGATAACAAATTTTGTCTTTACTCAGTTGGAGTGTGTGCATTCCCAAACAGAGAAGTACTTCATGAGATTTCGTAATCTCTTGGGACCTGGCAATCGAAGATATATTCAAACTTTGATGGTCCTCACTCGAGCTTTCCTGCAAAGTCTAGATAACAACAAGGATTTGAGCAACGTAAATGCTTGCCAAGTTGAAGAAATAGCTGCTGAAGTGAAAGCTGTCCGTGATACTTCTATGGCCATTAATGATTTTCTATTTTCTCTTAATATAGACAACATTAATTTGGTTAAATTGCTACAGTATATAAAGGAAAGCAATTTGGTCCACAAGGTAAATGCCAATTCCCCCTTTTTTTCTCTTTGCAAAATAGTTTTACACTACTCTTACTGGTAATCATTTTTTAAGGTCGCTCTGATTTGGTTTTGCAGGTCAGTGGCTATGGTGAAAAGGTAGCTAGCTCGCAGGAAGGTTTGGCTCTCAATCATAATGGAGAATGTGGTGAGGAAGGGAGCACTCTTTCCAGTTTCCGGGCATTAGTGGACATGTTGATATCACTGACAAATAATGATGGTGATGGACGGATGATAATCTCAAAGACGAGATCGACATGCTCTGGGCTACATGGAGGTTTCTTAAAATATGTTATGCTCACAGGGGAAAAGATTTTCTCTGAGGTTTGCTAAGAACCTTTTTTTTTTTTTTTATTTGCTTTTTTCGGATCTCAAAAATTACGAGAAAAGGCTTGGGTACTCACGTAAAGAAATTTTATCTTAAACTTCTGCAGATTGTGAATGAAGCACATGCTGTCATATTGGCAGGTGGGACCCTGCAACCCATAGAAGAGACAAGGGAGCGGCTCTTCCCATGGTTACCACCAAATCAGTTGCATTTCTTTTCATGTAGTCATATTGTCCCTCCAGAGAGTATTTTACCGATTGCAGTTTCACGTGGCCCTTCTGGTCAATCTTTTGATTTTAGCTACAGCTCAAGAAGCTCATTGGTTATGGTGAGTACTGAGTAGATTCAGCCTCATCTGTACTTCTCTGACATAAATTGCTCTGTGATATTCTCACAATGTGCACTCTAATCGATGCATTTACCTTGTGTTTTTGTGGGGTGTGGGAAGGAGACTTAGGGGACTGCAGTTGATCATGTCTCATGTCTTCAATTGTATGAATTTGAAGCTGCTTGTTTTGCACCTAGTCCTAATTAAGAGATTTATTGTATTAATGTTGTCGAGTTTTGCAGTCTTGAATTGAAAAATGGTTTTTGCTCTGTAAATCTTGTTTGCAATATATCTAATGTTTCCTTATTCTTGAAGTTCTTTTGCAGAAACTGTGGCTAACAATTATTTTTAACAGATAGAGGAGCTAGGGCTCTTGCTTTGCAACTTGGTGGCAGTTGTTCCTGAAGGGATTGTTGTGTTCTTCTCGTCTTTTGAATACGAAGGACAGGTCTATGATGCATGGAAGAAGTCGGGCATTCTTGAAAGGATCATGAAGAGAAAGCGTATATTCAGAGAGCCTAGAAGAAGCTCTGGTGTGGAACTTATCCTCAAGGAATACAAGGAAACAATTGATGGATTATCTAGTGGCACAAAAGAAGATGCAGCACGCTATAATGGTGCAGTACTTCTAGCTGTAGTTGGCGGAAAGATATCAGAAGGCATAAACTTCAGTGATGGGATGGGCCGATGCATAGTTATGGTTGGACTGCCTTACCCTAGTCCATCTGACATGGAGTTGATGGAGAGGGTGAAGTATATTGAAAGTTTGGGAGAGCCAAACAGTGGTAAGCGTCCTGAAATTTCTGTCGGTGAGCACCATTACAATGGGGATGTTCAGACAGCATTCAGCATACTAAGAAGTTGCACGCGCAGAGGAAAAGAATATTATGAAAATCTTTGCATGAAAGCTGTAAATCAATCAATCGGTGAGTGCTAGCAACGTTATCTGGAGATATATAAAGTTGGATATTGAGGGGACAGTTTATCAGATAAAATCATCCCTTATTTCTCAATATGCATTAGGTTGAAACCTGGGCTCACTTTCCTCTAGACCTGCTGTTTTAGAAAATTATCTAAAATAAGTACCATATATTTGCAGCTGGGTTTTGGAATAATTGTTCTGTTTTCTAAGCAAGAGAACGAAAATCTCTAGGATCATCAAGTTAGTTCAGATTCTGGCCAATTTTAACTCTCAAATTATGAACTCACTGAGACGCTAGAGGACATCAACTGAGTATTTTTCAATAAACTATAAGGCCTTTGTTTCCCCTGCTTAGTATGCAATGCATAGCATTGCCTCTTTTTATATATCAGAAGAGGAATCTTTTGCCTATTCTGACATCTGTTTTTTTTTTCCATGGTTTTTCTGCTTTAGGAAGAGCAATACGGCACATAAATGACTATGCAGCAATACTGTTGGTTGACATGCGGTATGTATCTGAGTCCTCAAAAAAAGGCTTCTCTCATCCATCAAACAAGCTTCCTCTGTGGATAAAAGATCGTCTTGTTTCTGCAACCAACAATTATGGTGAAGTTCATAGGCTACTGCATCACTTCTTCAAATACAACAAGAAGAGATAGTGCTGGGGAAAGATTTAGCATCATTGAAGAAGCAATAGAGTGGAAAGGCAATTTTGCAAGGTTGGTGTTGCCAAAGCAAGATCCTGGGAGAGTTGAGTACGAAAATGGGTACTAATCTAGGGCCAGTTTTGCGAAATGTATCCTGGCCCAGAAAACTACTTCGTAGAAGGATATATTATAGGAGGATAATGAGAAAAGTAGCACATTGACCTTTATTGAACAACATTTCAAACTGATCAGGCATGGCACAATGTACTGAAGATAATGCTGGCATGAAGATGACACTTGTGGTCAGGCGGGTGTCAGCGACTTGGATCTGTGACTAAACCATAAGGTTCTTGAGAATAAACTGAAGTACGAAAGTTTGGTTCTACCAAGGAACACGTCTTGGTTGTCTTATGTAGAGTGAACTTCCAGTCCTATAATTTTATCCCCCAGTGTGTGAATACCTTGACATGGAGTAATCTTATGAAGTGACAATCTTTTTCGGACACTTGAGATAGATAAGTTGCTGATTTCAATGTGGTTGTGAACAACTGGTTTATTATGCCGCAATTTTCCTTCCAAATCATCATCGCAGGAAGGCGGCTCTCTTGACTTTGAGTGTTCTGCCCTGGGATTGAAGTATGGTATCTCTCCATTCCCATGCTTCTTTGTTTTTATGACAGTTATTTATGAGTAAATGACAAGGCTACGTATGTGACAGTGTGCAGTATGAGAAGTAATGATGCGAGTTAATGAACAAAGGAAATATCTACTTTTGTAATTTATTCAACTGCATTTCACGGGCTTCATCAAAATTTTAAGTAGGCTGCAGGACTACCATCGATCAAACAATGCAAATTTGGAGCAGGGATATTGTTGCTGTCCTCTACTCTTTCAGTATAGAGTTGCATAGGCTCAAAAGGTAATGCAGTCTAATTGATGCTAACCCTTATAGCCTGCGCTATACAGGATTATATATGGAGTGAAGTTTTAGCTTCAGATTTGTGAATGAATGTCGAGTCAAAATCAATTTATAAGTTGCTGAATGATGACTTCTGCTATTCTTAAAAAATAAGGCTCAACTTGCATTCCTTGAAGGCATGCATATATTGGTGCGAGTCTGTATCTCATCGAGCAAAATTTACATCCCACAAGAAATTTTGATGTGATTACCAATTGCATGCAAAAGAGCAATGAACAAAGGCTCAAGCTATTAATAGTAGGTTGGTGGCAAGATTTTTAACTTGGCGGGCAGCCGTGAGAAAATGACTTCTCCGGCACAAAAATGTAAATGCACCTTATCTTGATATTAACTGGGCGTTGGCCCTTAGGCACCAACCTCACAACGCATTTGGCCATTTGGGTCCACGCATCTCTTACGTATTAATGCAATGAGAGATGGTTCCATAATCCATAGCATTGTGGGTTAATTGTATCACGAGAATATCATTCCTTTCTTTCTTTCGATGGAAAAAAAATTGTATATAATAATGGTAATTAATGCAACAACAACAGTATAAGCTATAAATTCTTTTTTCAAGATTGAAATCCAGAAAATCTCAAATTTTAAATAAGACAAGGATGATTTCTGATCTGGGAGGCATGACGAGAATTTATGACCAAAGGATCCGATTTTTTTTTTTTTTTTTTTTTCCACTTATGAAGGAGCAACCAGGACCATTGGCTTCAAGGGTCCAAAATTCAAAAAAAAAAGGCTATTAAGCGGTGGTTGAATACATGGATTATAAGAACAAAACTTTCTCACCAACCCACTACCTTTTGCTTTGCATCTTAATCAATACAACTGCACTTTAGACTACAAAGAGTCAAAATATATAAAGTATTCATGATCACAGGGATTCCTTACTCTTCTACTCTCTTTCTCTTTATTTATTAAACATCTGTGGCTGCTTAGGCAGCATATCTTTTTGTTTATGGTAGAAGGCATAAATTGGATTTCTATTCACACCACCCATCTACTACTGATAAATAAGCCGTAATACTTCAAAACTGGCCTTCTGATCTATCATCTTAAAATCCAATGGTTCCTGTGGCTTCTAATAACTTCTTTCTTGAAGAGAGAGAGATGGAAGGGTGAGGATAAAAAGAAAAGGCACAGTGTGAAACTTTTCCTTTAACCCTATTGCCTTTATCTCTTGGTAACCTTAAGAACCTTCAGCTGTCTTTATCTTTCCTATCTCTACATGTGAAACGACATTTAGAGAAGAAAAGAAGGCAAATTGAATAGAGCTGTGTCTGTTCTAGCAGTTAGAGCCACTAAGAGATAAACAAGACTTTTCTTTTTTCTCTACAATACAACACTAAAGCAACAAATGCAGCTAAGAGAATCGATTCATAAGACCAAGAAGTTCTTTCACAATACTCTCCATAACCTTAAGTCCATCTTACTTGGTGGCTACCAAAAGCTAACCAAGCCTACTTCTTTCAACCCCTTCTCATGCGGCCGCAGCAATGTGAAGAATTACCAGACAGATCAGTACTATGCTGATTTTTGCAATGAATGGGAGTATGATCTGGAAAAGGCAATGAATAGAAAGAGCAATAGTTTCATGGGGTCAAAAGAGCCAATGAGAGATGAAGATATGAGTAATGAAAGTGAGATGAAGCTTGCAAAGAGTCCATTGAAGAAGAAACAAGGAGGAGGAAAGGAAGAGAATAGTAAGAAAATTTCCCAACTCAAAAAAGCAGACGAAAAAAGCTCAAAGAACACGAATGAAAGCGGTTATGTATTAGCAAATAAGATGAAGGAATTGGAAATGATGGATGTGAGTGATGTAGAACATGTTTTGGATGTAGAAGAGGCACTCCACTACTATTCTCGTCTCAAAAGCCCTGTTTACCTTGACATTGTCGACAAATTTTTCACCAACATGTATACAGAATTTTCTGTTCCACAGGCCTCTGCCAGCATCAACAGTTCAAAGCGAAGACTCGGGTCAATTAGGTTATAGATTCCTCCAATGTTCTTGAGTTATTTCTTGTGCATATGGATTATTTTCTGTTTTAATTTTCCTGTTCTGTATTCTTCTGAGTGTCTTATTTACACAATGATTTTGATATTCATCTCTGTAGAATGTTGTTTGCCTGGATTGCTGTCTGTTTACTCAAGGACTAAATGTTTTTCAGATCCTTAAAAGGGATGTGTATTGTTAATTTTAAATACCTAGCCTTGAATGTTGTTAACATATATAAGCAAAAAAAAAAAAAAAAGGTCACAGGTCATAAGAATCATGTTCTTCTTCAGGCATCTTAACTTCTTAAGTGTTTTTTTATGGTCCTCTGCAGACACCATCATTTTTACCTCTGCATGAAAGGCCTTGGTTTAATCAAAAGAATATCACATCATTTTTACCCCTAAATTGAAGGTTTTTGAGTGTAGTAATGAATTAAACCATCAATTACCTAGAAAAAATCACTTCCATTTACAGCATTTGTTCAACAAGTAACCAACAGCAGGTTGCTCATAATTTGGATACTGAATTAAAAGGTAAACAATACAAACCTATCCAAGCTTCTGAACATTTCAAACTACTTCAGAGGCTACAATTCGAAAGAGCGCAAAAAAAAAAAAAAAAGAAAAGAAAGTAGGTCAGTGTCTCTTTCACTACTTCTTACTATTCTTTCATGCCACCTTTGAACAATGGAGCCGGACCTGGCCTGTTGATCCTGTCAAGACTCTGAGATTCGAGAGCTTCATCATTGCTCGGGCGAAGTCTTGGCGGAACAAGGAGATGTCTGAAGCATATGCTCGTACCCAAATCCCAGTTTCCACCCCAGCCATTAGCTGCTGATCAGCATAAAGGATTCCTTTACCTTGCAAAAGACCGCGGTAGTACGATGTGCCAAAATCTACTCCTGGTCCCTCATAGGCCATATTCATTCCTGGCTCCTCCATTAAGGACAGCAGTGAATCTTCGAAGGAAGCTGATGAGGGTGCTGATGATGACGGTGGGAAAGGTATTGAGCCTTTGGAGGAAGGTGATGAGGGTGCTGATGATGACGGTGGGAAAGGTATTGAGCCTTTGGAGGAAGGTGATGAGGGTGCTGATGATGACGGTGGGAAAGGTATTGAGCCATTCAAGGAAGGTGACGGTGCGGATGATGATGATGATGGGGAGCCCCTCATTTCTGCTGACCCAGATGATGAAGATGGTGATCCTCTACAAGAAAGTGAAGGTGCTGTTGATGGTGACTTGGTGCCATCAAAGGAAGTTGACGGTGCTGGTGATGGTGGTGTGGCTTTAAAGGAAGGCGAGGGCAAAGGCGAAGGCGGTGCTCCCATCGATGAGTTACTGTTGGTGCATCTTGATCTCAATAGGTTAAGGAATCCAGTATCCAGAGATGGATCGGGCTTACTGGTCCTACCAAAGTCGTAGAGACGGTTTTGGAAGAATTTACAGTGAATTACTCCTATGCTGTGACCACCTGCAAGCAAGACACGGATGCAGTTAGAAGCATTCGCATTCTAAGCTCTTACTTGTATTTTTGCAGCAAGAATGCGACAGACAAATAACCAAATATAGAAGGAGCAGAAGTTGGAGATAATAAATTATTGGCACAACTGGCAATACAGTGAAGTATGTTAGGTAGAAAGCTATCATAGAAACACAAACCACAACCAGTTCTTAAAGGGAGGCCTTGATATCGCACGTATTTATTTCCAAAAAGCGTACCAATCAACAGGGAAAACTAATGAAACAGCACAGTTCTACTTCTGAACGTTCAGCTCTAGTCTTTCTGTCAGTTTTCTACAAAAGCATGAAAAAATCACCAAAACTGAGCCCTGCTTTGGAGAAGGATCAGTTGAGTGACTGACATTTTCTTCACAAATGTTAAAATCAAAACATAGAAATAAGAAAAACTTCAGTGCTGAAATGCATCATGGTCTTTAGTTGATAGCAGGGGAGACAAGGGAAGCAGAGGTTCCGGTCAGAGCAATATAGGCGATGATCATAGAACAGTGGTTATCAAAAGATTTCTGTTTGCAGGGAAACTCAAGGAAAGATTAGTACCCAGGAGACTGACAGTTTCTCTTTCATCGAAACCCCTTGATGCGAAAGATGCAAGGGTTTCGGATAGATCAGCATTGGGTGAAGGAAGCTCATATGTTGCCACATCTCGGAAAGAATGAATACCATCCCTCCTGCCAGTAAACAGTGGATAGAATGGACCACCAGCCTGAAATTCACAACTTTAATAAGATTATCAAAGCATTGAGCAAGGAGAAATAGGGGACAGAAAGATGTCTGTACCTGAACAACACCTTCTCTGGCTGCTAGAGCAATTATATCAGCACAAGAAACAACTCCTGGGCACACCTTTTCAATCTCTGATTTGATTTTGTCAATTATGTCAAATCCCTTCAAATTTTTATTGGGAGGTGAATCTTTCTCAGAATCAATGCCTATAGCAGCATCCAACAAAATAGATGCATCACACCCCTGAAAAGATTCACTAAATCAAATTCACAGATGTAACAAGGCGCATGTAAAATTAATTACCAAGAAATTAGAAAAGTTAAGAATAATCTTCAATCAAGATTTGTAAGCAAAACATGCCATGAAAAATTGACAGCCAAAACTGAAAGATTGAAACCCTCAAAGTAAATGAGAGATACTCAACAACTAAAGAGACAGAAATTAGTAATCTAAGGAATAACATCTCAGTATAACAAAAACACTCGTCAAGCTCATCAAGAAATGACTAAACCTTCTAGGCATCAACTAAAAGAAAGATCAAGATCATCTACCTCAATAAAACAATCATGAAAGATAAGCCTTAGAAGAGCAGGAGCTACCCTGGAGTTGACTTTTTGAAGCTCCTGAACCACCCTGCGAATGATTCTCTCTGCCTGTGGGCACGAATCACGATAGAAATCATACTCCAGAGACCGATTTGAATGCCATAATACTTCTTCATCCTCTCCATCCATAGATGACAAAGGAGACAAGAATATGGAAGGAAAGGAATCCCAAGATGAATATGGCCATTTCACCGCAGTTTTTGACGATGAAGATGTGTTCTTCTTAATCTCTGCATTTTGGTTCTTGAAAGAGATCAAAATGCAAAGAATGAATACAAGAAAGCTCAGTCTCCTCATGTTTCCTATGCCAACGATCGATTTCAACATCTTCTCTTCTTCTTTTCTTCAGTTTCTCTCTCTCTCCTCTCTCCTCTCTTCTCTCTGGCTTTTCTTTGTTTTTTGAGAGAAGAATGGCAGAATTCTTTTAACAGAAAAGGATGGAAAGGGGCGGGAAAGGGAGTCTGATATGACTATGATGACTTTTTCACCTGAGAGTTAGTTAAGATTGTTTGAGAGGGAATTTGTGATGGGCCGAGAATGCCCTTGATTAGTTAGGAAGTTAGGAATTTGAGATCGATCCTGGCCATTGATTAGTTGATTTATAGAAGATTAAGCCATTGCATATAATTAATAAAGATTTAATATAGTTGCAAGCAAGAGTGATAAGCATAGATTTAAATAACAACCGTTACATAATGACTATTATATAATAATTTTAGTTACTATATAATAGTTTTAAAACATTATGTCATCATTATTATAATACTATAATAAGTCATCATCCTGACTTTTTTTCAATCATTTTCAATTTAAAACTATGGTGTTAAGCAATTTTACTACAAGTAATCAATCTAAAATAAATGTCATAATCTCTTCTTGGTTGCAGCCATGCTTTCGGCCCTCACCATTCATAACATTCAACAATTTAAAACCCACTTATATCAATTCATCACATTTAATCTGTCAACATAATCATCTTTTTTTTCTTCTTTTAATTATAGTAATGAGCTTGCATAATTATGGAATCCCATCTATATTATGGTTGCGGATATGGCTAACCGGAAATGAGAACAGAAGAAAAAGATAAAAAGATGAATAACAGTCGGTTATGGAAGAAGATAAAATAACCAAAATAATGTAAGCAGAATTATAATACCACTTCGAACAAGCTTACGAGCAGTAAATAGTAGGCTGTAAGTATTTAATTAATGAATAAAATTACACTGCTGCATAGCTTTACAAAAGCATGCCAGATGGGCATGTAAATCCAATGGGTAACCTGTTGAAGAAAAATGGTAGGCAGAAGGCAGTAGTATCATGTGAAGGAGCAACGGGATCCTTCTATATCTCTCAATCTCCAACCCCTAAAACCACATAAAGAATACCATAGATGATGCATAGTGGCCAGTTAATCATCAAGCAAACTACTGCATGAGATGCCGTGTTTTGAGTAATGCTTCCATAAAAATGACAACTGCATAACCAAATCCACAACCAGGCCAGTAATCTTGCAATTGGTAATAAAAGAAGCATCCATTTGTAATAACTGCCTGCACTTCCACACAAAACTAGTAGCCAGAAGAAGATACTAAAACATTATGCTCCTTCAAACGCTTCTGAAATTGTGCCAGACGATTCTGCAACTGCAGTATACCTGCAGCCTTCTGAGAAAGAATGGCATTCAATCTAGTAACATAATCGTCGAGCTGATTTCCCGGTTGGTCTGCTTCAACCAACAGGTTCATCTCCTGCAAATTTGAAAATAATATTTACATTTCCACATGTAATACCTAGGACATGCGTTTTCTTCAAAAACCAAACTCTCACAAATGCATGCATGCAGTATAATAACAAAATATGAATGAAGAATGCTCTAGCGAAACCACAAACCTCTCTCACAATGTTCATGGTCTCTTCCACTTGTTTTCTATGAGCATTTACCAGATCCTCCTCTTCCTGCAAAACATGAACAGTAAATTAATGTTAACAAATTTAGATTTCAGCACATTCAAAAGAATTATGAGTTGATTATTCTTTTTTAAATCACCTGTAGCAATAAATTCAAATCATTATCTGAATGCGAGTTCTTAAGATTAGATTTTGGCATATCCCTCCACTTTGTCTGACCATTGGGTTTCTGTATTTTATCCTCTGGAATGGAAAGATTGTGTGGTTCAAACTTCCCATTCTCCTTCCATATCGGTTTCTCCTGTTCGTAAGAGTCTTCTTCTGATGCATCAAAATCATCTCTTTCATCTTGTTCTGCCCATGCATCATTTGCATCGTCCTCAAATGTGGATGCAACAGGTAAAACTGAGGACAATGGCACAGTAGTTGATTCCTTTAGGTTTAAAGTTGATGATAATACATCCTTCTTAGAAGTATTCCCTTTTGAAAGGCTCTTCACTCTGGAGTGAAAACTTAGCAAATTCAGTATCAAAGGATCACGACAGAGTAAATCATATCATAAACATTTTGCACTCAAAATCATTTTAATGTACCTATCAGCATATCTCAAGGTGTTAAGAGTGTGTTCACATGATCCTGAGCTAGGCGAAATGCATGATATCATAACAGTGCGTGAATTGCCAACAAAAGAATCCCTTAGAACCTCAGTTAATTTACTGCCTCTGAAAGGAATATGACTCTTGTCATTGTCAAGAGCCCTTATGCACTCCTTTAAAGCAAGTAAACTCTTGTTGATCTCTGCACCTTCCATCCTGCATCACATATATGAAACAGCCAAATTAAACAAACCCACCCACCCAAATTAAAGAAAGGACATGTAAAGCATATTTTGATTTATGCAGATGAAATTTGTCCAGTATTAAGAAAACTATAAACTGAATGCATGAAAACACCATGAAATAGAAATCAACTATTAGCTACAGAATCATTAAGTGTTGAAAGGGACAGAGTACATAAAACACAATAGAAAACACTGAACTACCTACATTCTTTAGCATCTTGTAACAATATTATTTCCTAAGATATTTTATTCCCAAGCAATTGATTAAACAGCCCCTTCTTTTCTTTGCCAGCTGTTCAATCCAGTATGATGTGCGAAAAATATCAATTTCTACTGCCCTAAGATGATGCAAAGGTGCAGATAGAAAAATATATCATGCCTAACACTAATTCTGACTGGTATGCTGAGCTCCATATGCATTTTATTTGTAAGCATGTCCCATACTATCATAACACAGAAACCTTAACTTGCCCAACTGGCACAACCAATAGTAAAACTAACACAGATGAGGGAGTGGACATACCTCGTTTGTTTATCATTATCTGTGGTATCTGCACCACGTTCACTTCCAGCAAGATCTATGAAGGATAGCTTGCCAACAAGGCGTGGAGGCTTTGATTCATTGCCATCAACTGATCTCTTGATAGCAAGCTGGAGTATGGCATGTGACCGGGAGGATTCTTCGTTTGCACCAGTTGTGCCAGTACTTCTTGTGGCACTTCCCTTCTCAATAAGGTCCTTAATTGTCTCTACATCTGATACTCCGTACTCTTGCAAACCCACAATGCACACCTGCTGCTTACCATCCTCTCTCATGCAAAGTTTTCTGCACAAAGAGACATCTCAAATTTCAGCAATTTCAGAGAGCATGTGATACCTATGTAAAAGAAAAGGAAAGACCAGGTCAACTAACTTCCGATCACTTAGGAGATCATATAGTTTTCCTCCATAAATTTCGAAGAAGCTCACAAACAGCTGAAACCCTTGGTTCCTGTAAGTATGATGCATCAACCTCAAGATATCTCGAGATGCTTTGAGAGGCAAAGGCTTCATAGTATAGGTTTTTCCACTTCCTGAATGAAGAAGGGGAAAAAATAAATAAAGTAAGCTGGTTTTATAGAAACAATCTAGTTGTATTAAATGATTTGAGGTTTCTCACCAACATAGGTGGAAGGCATCATAAACTAATAGGTGGCAACAATAATACAGAACACTGTGAATTTTGATTTTAATAGTTTTAGAGCAAATCACTGTGAAGTAAGCAAGCCATACAAAAAGAAAAATGCATAAAGCAACAAAAGAACATACATACTGATAAAGTCCATATTGTTTATCCATCAAGTCATCAACTGTTGTTAGACTACTGGTGGTGGATGATGAAGATAAGGCACAAAATATATCAAAGTTGGGGTAATTCAAGAGCAGGTACAAAGAACATTATCCTTGTTATGAAATCACAGGATTATGGAATAAACTCCCCAAGAATTTAGATGCACACAAACACACACATACATATAGGATAATCTAATGCCTTGTGTAAGTTAAAAAAAATGCAGAAAAATAATTCAACAAGAAAGAATCCTTATATTAGAATTGTCTAAATTCAAAAAAAAAAAAAAAAAAAAAGAAGAAGAAGAAGAAGAAGAAGAAGTCCAAAAGCAAGCATGTAAAAGCATGTATGTTATATCTCAGAGACAGCAATTCACCTGTTTGCCCATATGCAAAGCAAGTTGCTTTGGTCCGTTGAAAAATTATTGGAACTATTGGTTCCACTGTCTCCCGATAAACCTAAAGAAAATAGGTAAATCCACATGAGCTATAAAAAAGACAAGCATTACCAGAGCAATACTTAGTTCATTATGAAGAAAAATAAACTCACTTCATCATTCGAGACCTCCTCATTCAGCACTGCATCAAAGACAAATTCATGCTTCTCAATGTATTCTGTTAGGTCAACCTGCAAGAATATTTATAAATCAGTAAACAACAGAGTAGAGCAAAGTATCAACTTGTGCAAAAAAGATGGGCAAACCAAGGCTCTTGCAGATAAAGGCTAAAATAATCATTACGGAGAAGCATGGCTATAAAGATTACACTTGAACCTCCCTTGTTGTTTTATGTATCTAATATCTACTTCTAAATGTCTTCAGAGATGAATTTGGCCAAACTATTTTGAGTTTGATGAACTTCATCCTACTGTTTTCGTTCTTATTTCATTTTATATTAAATAAAGAACCAATTAGTAAACAGAGATCCTGATCAGCTGTCAGTGGTTTGTCCTAATCATTTCTATTTGACTTCTTTAACAATGGGTATAACAGTTACCTTAAGTTTAGTCTCATGAACTGTCAGAGAATTGGAGTGTGTGTCTATAATATCTTCTTCGTTCTTAGCCAGTTCCTTTTTATTCAATGGTCGCTTGCGCACCTGCATTCCAAAACATTACTTGTAATAACAATTTTAATGTTTAAAGAAATTCTTAAAAGCAAGTTATATGCCACGTTAAGAAGAAACACTATTAACATTGCCAGTAAATCAAGTCACTCCATAAATGAAATTCAAAGAGACATATCTATGTTCACAAAGCTGCTAACAATGGCTAACTTGTTACACATTGTATTTAGGACTAACAAGGGAGCAGTTAACGAATAAAGGTATATACCAAACGAAATGAAAGAAAATACATACCACTACTTTGATCTTTGCAACAGAACTTGTCTTCTCTTTGTCTGCAGCAAAGCTTTTCAGGAGGTTGTTATCGGGCAAGCCAGGAGCTCTGCCAGTTTGCTTGTTGTTTGAAATGTAGGGGTCAGAGTCATCAAAGCTTCTTCCTCGAACAGGATGAAACAGAGAAGAACCATCATACAGGCTTGGAACTTGCAACTATCCACAAAATACAGAAAATTTAGCATAATGTGGGTGCAAATTCATAGCACTCAACTGCGATATGAAATCTCAAATCATATATTCAACTCTAAGGAGAAAAGCCTATTTTATGAGGATGTGACGAAGTTCTGAAGAGCCAACATCATAATATCATTTGATGCGACCACAAGTATCCTACCTTCCACTTCTTTTTGAAAGTTTGTGTGCATGTCAACAAAAAATAAAGACGATTCACCTTTTCATTCCTTTTTGAAAAAAAGTTATAATTGTATTTTCCATTTTTGGAGAATCACAGAAACCATGCGATGCAATTTCTTTGGTTGTAAATGGATCCAGTTTAAAAGACATAAAGCTCGTCTCTATATTTCAAGAAACGTGTTCCATATCCATCCACGCAAAAAAAGAGTTCAAAATGAGATGAGGCGGATCACCAAAGCAAGCATGCATAAGAGCTGGGACTTAAACGTCCTTTAGATGCAAGACAACATGTTCTTCATTAGCTACGGAGCACAAAAATCAGAATATCTTTTAAAAGCTTTTATAAATTTGAAAGTAGCTAGGGCATAGATTCGCGAAACCAAATATTTCTATAGTAGTGCACAAATTCAAGCACGAATTCATTCCCTGTGAAATAAAAATAAGAAAACAGATAAAAAATGGCAAAAAAAAGGACTTTAATTGATCGGAATATCGATAGATGCAATTGTTATATGCCACATTAATGTACAATCACTAAGACATCCAAAACCGCTTTACTGATTCACTAGAAAATGACGGGATACCCACCTCGGGAAGCAACTCGGTATCAAAAGAATGCAGATCTAAGAGGCCAGGACTGAACTCATTTGGAGAGTCCTCCCCATTCTTCCTCTGGCTTGATGGCCTTGAACTAACAGGAGGTGTTGTTGGCTCTGAATAGAACTCATTTCCTCTGGTAAAACTGCTTTGCGCATTGCGATACATTCTCAATGCCTGCCCTCCTCCTCCACCGCCAAAGAAATTATAGTCCTGCATTCAGTTCTACCATTTGTTGAGATACAACAGCACTCAATAAAGGAAAATCACAATTTTGTTATATATAAGAGAGGGGGGGGGGGGGCAATTTTGAGGGGAAAAAAATTTGTTTAGTTTTGCTCATGTTTTCTTTACTTTACTTGCATTATCCAGGGAAATAAAAAAAGATCAGATCTGTATTTTCCATTCCATCAAAAACCCATTATAGTCAACTCCCGATCAAACGCAAAAAAGCAAAAAGCGAAAGAAAAAAAATCCAGTGCAGTGGCTTAGTAAAATCAAGTCCTTAATTTAGTCAAGAAACCAATAACATTTTCAAATATTTTTTACTTGCCACTCATTGTTTTCTGAGGAAGCAAACAGATTGAGAGACTCAAGAGCAAAATGGGAAAACTGTAAAGAGAAGGGAAATTAAAAGATCTGGGGACAAAAAAAACCAAAACCTGAAGAGGAGGGATAGAAGAAGAGGAGGAGGAAGAGCTGTTATTCTGAAGGTGCTGAAGACCAGCAGATTGAAGCCATCTCCCATTTTCCAAAAACATTCCGTTGCTGTTGCTGTTGCTGTTGTTATCAGAAGATGAGTACTGTCTTTGATGATGAGATCTCTGCCTTCCCATTCCGTTGTTCATATCACACACTTCCTCTCTGTGTGTTTCTGTATTTATATAAAGGGAGAGATTCCTGATTTATTTACCTTTTTCTCTCTCTTTAGGCAAAATAAGAAAAGAAATTCAAATTGAAACTTTTGATTAGAGAGAAACGGAAGCAATTAAGAAGATTATTAGTAGCAAATCGCTTTGCAATGTTAAAGAAAAATGGAGAGAGAGAAAATCTAGTAGAGGAGATAGAGATAGACGGGGAGAAGAGTAGAGTAAAAATGAGGACTGCTGTGTGTGGTAGTTTTTGAATTTTTGAAGACAGAGAGGGGACAAGCGTCTCAAGCACGTGTCGCGCATGTGTGTTTTTGTAAATAGGAGGCCTTGTCTATTTCAAGAAGGAAAAAGACTGGGCAAACTAAACTTACACCCTCCAACTATTGAGTATATTTCAATAAAGTCATTATCCTAACGATTGTGCAATATCATCCTCAACCCATCCAAAATGTTATTATCTCTCTCCCTCGCTTGGATTTTAATTTTTAAATTATACATAAAATTTCAAACTCATGTGTATTGACTGCACTCTCTTTTTTTAATTGATTTTTGAATACATTGTATTTTATTCCTTTTTGTTAATTGGATTTTGAAGCTTAATATAATTCGTATGTATACATCATAAAGCTAATGACTAAATTTAATATATCGTGCCATTGATCTTTTGGTAAATTTCTAACTTACAAACTTCAAAAGAAACTATACTTATTTATAAAGTAATTTGGATAGATTGATAAGTTTAAGAGATGCAATGAGAAAAAAAAATGTTTTTTTTCCTTACTTTTATCATGGTAAATAATTCAGTTAAGTTTTATAATTACGAAATAAACATATAAAACACAATAATAATTTACAAGACATTTATCTCTGTTTTTTATATAATAATAAACCTCTTTTATTTGCCTTATCATTCTCGAATGACGTATAAAGTAATAATATGTTTATACTCATTAAATTAGATAGATATAATCTACATTGCTTTACATATAATTAACACAAATTATATTTATTTATCGCTTTTAAATCCTAAATTAAAAATAACTAAATAACAAATGAGTTTTATTTTTAGAATAAATTGAGTCGGAATTGACATCCATAGGCTGGAAATGCAATTTCATTGTGAAGTGTCCTAAGTGATGGGGGAAAGACATTGACACATTTTTGAAAGGCAAAGAGTAAAATTGAAGCAATAAGTAGGAGGGAGACTTAATTGAATCCAACTAATAAATAGAGGGCACATTTATAGTTTGCACAACATGATTTTTTAACTCACGAAAGATGGACAATTTGCACAAGAGAAATCTTACAATAACATGTATAAGTTTTGTACATAAATTGTGGCCTTTAATAAGTATCTTTCTTTTTTGGGTTACTAAATATTACGTACTATCTTCTTAACATGACAAAGAAGATTGTCATGACCACAAAATCTTACAACTCAATTAAGTTATTTTCCATTTAGTACATGTCCATAGGATTGTCATATATGCATCCCTCACCTAATTTCAATTATCATATCTAATATTGGAGAAAATTATCCAACACATTTCTCTTCCAATCAAAAGATATATCCGAATTAGTCCTAGAAAAAAAAAGAACTATCCAAATATTCTTAAAAGTAAAAGACATGTCCAAATTTAGGATGAGGAATGAGGACAGTCCTGAAAAAATCAAAAACACAAAGGGTTGGGTCGTGTTTGGCTCAAGTTGGCTGTAGGGTTGCGTTTTTGAACTATACCTATTAACATCACCAACCGTCCCACATGGTGGAGGCCCACTAATTATTTTAATGTGAATCTTTGGTAATCGATAGTTTTAATTTGAATTTCGCAGGATGGAGGGATATAATAGGAGGTTGACACGTGTAAGGATTAGAGTTCTGTAAGATTCCGGTGTGGTGAGCCCCACGGTATTGGATCGTACGACTGCATTCAAATTCAGTAATTTTGATTGTTGAGCACGCTAATCAGAGGCGTAGATTTTTGTGGGTTCATTAAAGCCAGCCAGTTCAGTCCAGACTTGAGACTCCGCCTTTGGAGGCTTTGTTTTGGACCCACCTGGAGACTGATCCCCGCGGACTTACAGGCCCATTTCATACTACCATAATTTATAAATAGAATAGCCCATAAATGTTTTTTTTTTTTTTTTTTTTTGGGTGGTGCGGTGAGTGGGATTTTCCAATTGATTCTTCCTTTTTCTATATCGGTGAGGAGATCGTCCGATTCTTATGTTTCTCTTTCGTGGGAGACTTTATAGCGGGGACATAAAAGAGAAACAATATTTTTTTATATTGATTCATTACATGTTTAGTACAACAATTATTCACTTGTCAGTTAATAATATTACATTGCTTTGCACATTTTAAATTAAAATTTATGTTAAGTACAATTAAAATTATTAAATAAAATGTATTGATTGATCTGATTATAACATATAAGTGAAAGAACGAGAGAATAAATTATAAGTTTGAAGGAAAAAAATACATATAGAAAATCTCATAATAATAAATTATGTTTCGAAACAAAATTAAAAAAGTTAAAAACATCGACCTATTAATTTTAAAAAGCTTTTTAAATCTAAAACGAAACATATATAATCTAAGAATAATTATTTTTCTCTTAATTTTTTATTTGATGAAATTATACGATTATGATAAGTTTAACCTTAAAAAAATATGCAATGGCTATAAAAATTATGAGATGATAAATGTTTAAAGGAAACAATATATCCATCCCTAAGGCGTTACATGATTCTCAATTTTATCCTATAATAATCGATTTTTTCCTTAATGTCAGAAAATTTGATCCTTTTATTTAAAATTTAAAATTATTACAATTTTTAACACAAAACATTAGCCTATTCGAAATGATGTGATTTTACTCCATAAGCTAACATAAAACATTAATTTGCATGGATGGAAGGATTGAATTGAGAAAATACTAAAACTGTAGAGACCTAATTAAGAACATTTGTAGTTAAGGGATCAAATTAAAAAAGGAGGATAGGCTCGGGATTGAAATGAGGTTCTCCGGTTTTAATTAACCTTGCTATTTTATTGGATATGATAATTTTTATCACTCTTCACATAACCTATATTTTTCATTAAGATCTTAGTTGAATATGACATAATAGTCTAAGTTGGGTGGATAACTAGGTTTCAAATACGAAGAACTAAATCTAAATCTAAAAGAGTTTGGGATGAAATTAGGATATCCATTAAATGAGTTTGAGCTGGATAATTTTATTTATTATTGTTATAATTTTTTTGTGAATATCCAATCCATTACCACCATCGAGCCTACTATTTGAATTTTATGTTCAGGTAAACAGAAGGAATGATCATAATGTATCTAGTTGTTTTTTTTACCTTCATGTTTATGTTTATGAATGTCCCATCATGTAAGCCTAATTTCATTTGAGATTTTTAACAACAGTATTATGATAATGATGTATTGATACAATATAGATACATGCAATTGATTGCTGCTATTCATGTAATTAAGCAAGGTGGGGTGTTTGCTTATAATAAGAAAATATTGATCAATAATATATATATGCTCTCGCTTTGATCATCTATATAAGATTAGGTTGTGATTTGATGAGAATTAGTCGATAAAAATGTGCAAATAAGATAGTAAAAAACATGTTGTCAGAGCTAAATACTACATTAGGAATACACAAATAAGGACATATTATATATTTTTGTATTAGTTGGCTCTGAGCTATGGAATAAGAATTACTCAATTTCTTAATAAATGAGGTTTTAGACCTTGCCTTATTAGACGAAAAAGAAGAGTAATTTTTTTTTTTATGTGTGTTTCATTATTATTTACACTTATTGTTTAGGGAGTGTTTGGAATCAAGCATCGTGTGTGTTGATATTCATGAGAAAGAAATGATTATTTGCTTTTTTGTGGTGGATATTTTCATGAAAGAAAAAAAAAAAGGACTATTTGCTTTTTGTAGCATACGATAATATTTCATATAAATAAATGAAATCTTTAATGTGAAAATCGGGAGAGTTCGGTAAAATTATGAAGGGAAAAAAAAAAAAAAAGACAACTTTTTGCTAGATATTAGTAGTAAATGGCAACAATAGATTTTTAAAACTATAGAGACAACTTTAAAGACTAACAAACAAAGCTAAAAAGATAAAGGAAAATGAAGTGATTTTCACTCTTCATCTCCTCACAAAACTGTGGATGTACTATAGTTAATGATGATATATTTTTTTTAATTTTCAAGTCTGCTTTTGGACATTAATATTTAAATTTTATATAATATTTTATTTTGGTTTTTGAAAAATTTCAAATTTAATTTTTAATCCCTTGAGCTGCTTGCACCTAGCCACACAGGCGAGCCTTGGACTCGTAGAAGCCAAGCTCATGAGCCCGTCTCTTTATTTTTTCATCAATTTATGTTTTTTTTTAATTTTCATTATTATTATCGAATTGAGTGTTAAAATTATGAAAAATCAATTATAATTATTTTTATATAAAATGACGATTATAGAATATATATGATATATTTTTAGGTTTTAGAATGAACATATATATCAAATTATGTTATTCTTATTATTCAAAATTGATCTCTTTAATTTGTTAGTTCTTATAAAAATTTTCATCAAATTTATTTTTTATTTATTTTTTTAATAAATATTATTTTTTCTCTATATATGAACTTTCGAATAAGTTTTTTTATAGTTGTTTTTATATGCTTATTCTTTATATAATCAACTTTTATCTAAATTAAATTTGTATTTTTTTATTACACTCTATTAAATTTAATATTTGTTTAAAAAAGGTTTATGATACACATTTTAACACAATGAATATGGTCATGATGTATTAAAAAAATATTAAAATTAATTCTAATATTTTATGCTACACATAAAATCAATGACCATATCTAGTAAGTAAGGTCATTTATTTTATTGAAAATTAACTATGTATCTACACATATAACATCAACCACTTATTATTGTTTTTTTTTAATATTTTAAAATTAATTTCTTTCAAATAAAATAATTTAAATAATTTTTAAAAAGAACTATTTAATAATTCAAATATAATTTCTTTATATTAATATTATTCATTATCTTGTAAATGAATATATAGAAATCATATATACATATTTTTTAAAAAATATTATTCTCATTGTTATTAAACAAGAATAAAAAAAAATCCATTTGTTAATTTTTATGTAAGTTTTATATCAATTTTTTATTTATTTTTTCAATGCAATATTATGAAAAAAAAAACATTAAGACATTTTTAAAAAAATTTTATATTAAGATTATTATGGATTTTTATTTAAAAATAAATACATAAAAAAAAAGAAGAAATCGTGATTTTTAACTATAAAATTTATTAAAAAAATAAACAAAAAATTAGATTCAAAATTTTGATTAAAAGTTATAAAATTAAATAATATTTTATTTTTTATTTAATATATTTTAATTAATAGATAATATAATATAAATTATCAAACTAAAATAAATATATTTAGCTCAGTATGCAACATAATATGAAAAACTGACTAGTTTTAAATTATAAGAGTAGAGGTAGACATTGAACAAACTTTATGGGTAAACTTATAGTTACCTCTTATAACAATAAGAGTTAAATAAAACTCGTTTCTTTTAGCTTAACAAAAATTTTCATTTAATCCTTGTAGTTGCAAAGATAATTATGTAATGCATATATTTTCAATACACTAATAATTTAGTCCCTCCATCAATTCTATATTATTTTCTAATTTATGTATTTTTATTTTGAAAAATAGAATAAAGAAAAGAGATATAAAAAAAAGTGGAAATTTTGATGAGGAAAGAAACTATTTTTGTAACAAAAAACCACTAAAATCGAAGATGATCAATCCCGGTTAAGATACTATTTAATTATCTGTGAAATTGCATGGACTAATCTATTAGTTTCAATAAACTATAGGGGAATAATTTAATTAATGATGATGATGATGATGATGCCGACGACGACGATGATGATGAGTAATTGATGCAAACATGGCAGTCTACTGAATTCCATGAAATCAAAAATAGAAAAGAAAGAATAGAACCGAACTTTCCACACTTTCCATTTTCCACCGACTAAACCTACCAGGAAACCCAATTGAAGCTTCTGGAACTCTCCCTCTTCCTATTTCAGACCATCATAACTATCTTTGAACAAAGAGATAAACACAAATCCAAGCAATTCAACAACATCTTTGTCCTCGATTTCTTTTAATTTACTTCTCTCAGGCAAATTCACAAATAGTTAGCAATGGCAGACGATGGAACTGTGACGGTCTACAATAACAGCGCCATTACAGATGCCAAGAAGAACCCATTTTCGATCAAGGCTGGTTTAGCGCAAATGCTTCGTGGGGGGCGATTCTTGAGGTCACCAACGTACAACAAGCAAAGATTGCAGAAGAAGCTGGTGCTTGTTCTATCATGGTTTCAGAGCCAGGACTGCGTCAAGGAATTCGGCGAATGCCTGACCCATCTCTTATCAAGGGGATAAAGCGGGCTGTTTCGATTCCTGTAATTGTTCGTTCCCGTGTTGGCCATTTTGTTGAGGCCCAAATACTGGAAGCTATCGGGGTTGATTATATTGATGAGAGTGAGGTTCTTGCTTTAGCAGACGAGGAAAATTTTATTAACAAGCATAACTTTAGGTGCCCATTTATTTGTGGGTGTCGAAATCTGGGTGAAGCGTTAAGGAGAGTGAGAGAAGGCGCGGCGATGATAAGGACACAGGGGGAGATATTAGGTCAAGGCAATGTTGCCGAGACAGTGAAGAATGTGAGAAATGTAATGAAGGAGGTGAGGATTTTGAACAATATGGATGAGGATGAGGTTTTTGCCTATGCCAAAAAGATTGCTGCGCCTTGTGATCTCGTAGCGCAGATAAAGCAGATGGGAAGGTTGCCTGTTGTGCAGTTTGCTGCAGGAGGTATTGTGACTCCTGCTGATGCAGCACTAATGATGCAATTGGGATGTGATGGGATTTTTGTGGGAAGTGAGGTTTTTGACTGTGCTGATCCGCACAAGAGAGTGAGGGGCATTGTGCAGGCTGTCAGGCATTATAATGATCCTCATGTGTTGGTTGAGAGCAGCAGTGGATTGGAGGATTCGATGGCAGAACTTAATCTTAGCGAGGACAGGATTGAACATTTTGGTCGTGATGGAGAGTAGCGGATCCAGTTGCTCGTAATGTATCTTGCTTTTATGCTTTGAGGCTTTGAGGTCCCTTTTTTTAGGCTATCATTGAGGCAGAGTTGATGATTCTTGTTGTTCTGTTTATTTTGTCATGAAATCACTATGTTATATGTTGCATCTCTCTCTGTGAAAATACATATTTGAATTAGAATAAACTGGTTCATTAGCTTACTTATTCATCTTTTTGTGCAGTCCTGCTTTTTCAGTAGATATCAAGCCTTGCGTTCTTGAAAGACTAAGAATTCACATCATGTTTTCCATGCTTACGGTAGAGAATCAAAACCACATAGCTATCCATTATTTTATTAACAAGCTATCAAATTGTGAGGCCACTTAGCTGCAACATATAGTTGATTGAATTCACCTTTACCCACCTTTGAAGCTTTTGAAATTCATCAAGTAGAAACTGTTTACTTCTATCTCCATTTCCCACATATTCCCATGTCTTCTTCAATTTCCTATCTCACCTTTCATTCTGATGGAGCTATAATGGTTTGTTTCTGCTGCCACGCTATGATTAACAAAGAGAATCCATTCTTATTCAAGGAAGTATTTGCTCAAATGGTCGTAGCTTAGGTCATCAGTGGAGAACATGCAATATTGGAGAGGAAGCTGATTGTTGTTGTGTTGGTTTTCATCATGGTAAATCTTGCATGCCTGATCCCTCTCTCACTATGAAAATCAAGTGGGTGATTACAATTCTTCTTGTATCATCAATAGTCTAATATTTGCGTGTTCTTGGTCAATCTTGAAGCTTACATAGTGGGAGTAGCTCTTGTAGCTTACACTGATGAGAATGAAAAACTTGTTAATATGGAGTGCTCCTGATTTGGGTCCAGGAGCATATGCGTAGTGGTGTTGGTCGGTTTGGTTAACATTGGGGGGACAGTGAGGAATATCACCAGGTGAAGAAACTTCATACAAACTGGGAAAAAAAATGATAATACAAACCCCACGAAGATGGGGGCTTTCAGATTTTTATAGAAAGTGAGGCATTTTGTGATCTCGCAGGCAATTTTTGCTGGGAAGCATGAGCGAATGTAGCTGATAATGCAATTCATTTTTATCAAGATATTTATTCAATTAAAAAACCTTCGGAGTCCATGAGCACAGATATAGACAGCTGTTAGTAGTTAGTAATACGACGATACATGTATAATTAGCTACGTGTTGGATGATACTGAGACAAAGAATGATAGGCTTCAATTGTCGGTTGTTTCAGTTGCTTCTGTACATAAAAAGATAAATAAGCAGATGAAAACGAATCTGCCTTGACGCATCATACGCAATTTTTTGAGTGCTTTTTTTCTTTTAATTGCTATCGAGTTATTACAACAGATGATGTCAATGACTGTTGACTCGGAAAGATCAATTTTTCCTAGATGGTGCTCTCTGTTTGAATGCTTCCATTGTTGAACAGACACCGCAATGAAATCTCATAAGCAGCAAATACAGCGCCATTCACCACAAAAGCTCTTGTAACAGCAGTCCCCAAACCTCGCCAGAGCACGCTGTAACCTTCTTCTTTAACACTCCTGCTAAAGCAATCTATAATGCCTTTATATCTAAGTGGGGAGGATGGTGTTTGAGCTTGTAATCTGGTTTTGACAACATCTAATGGATAGCAACAGAGCCAGCTAGCAACTCCTGCTAGCCCTCCTGCTGCCAGCATGGTTCTTAAGCTTTCTTGACAATTCTTTCTGCAGCCAGGGTGAAACTGCTCTCTCATGTACTCATATGTCCAGAAGTAGACGCCATGAGCAGGTGCATCTCTGAGGACAGTGATCACAAATCCCCGGTATATTCCTTTTAGACCTTCTGCTTTCACTATGCTCTTGGCAACACTTAGTGGACCTTTGTGAGTAGCAGCCACATGGAGATTTGCATGACTTTTGTTCTGCAACTGGAGGCGGATTTTTATCAGTTCTACAGGAGAAAGCAGAATGCTTTGTATAGCCCCAGTACCAACTCCTCCTAGGGCAACTCCTTTGTAAGCAGGAGGATCGTTAGCTGAAACGGATGAGTCTAGTGATCTCGAGAGGATAGCATAGGTCTGGAAAACCATGGCATTCTGCAATCCACCACAAACACATTGTCAGCACTAAAATTGGAGAGTCCCAAAGCTTCCTTTGTTATGATGGAAAAGAAAACCAGGAAATAAGATCTATGATTTATATGAGAGAAAATATGGAGGAAATATAATAAGCTATCACCAACAATATCACATAAGCAGGGCTATTATTATCAGACAAATTATTGAGAATGACATTTCTTAAAGAATAAAAACTCGTCACTTTGTGCCACTTAAAAAGTGCAGAATGATTGCCATAAAGCAATCCAACTATTGCAACATTACCATATTCTAGTCTTCATATATACTCCATCTTAGTAAGGTTTTTCACCTAACATCAACTTCTTTATCCAAATAATATATTGAAAAAATGAAAAAAACAGAACCAAAATCAAACCCAAACTCTCTTAGGACCAAACAAGATTGAAACTATGACATAATCATGATAAGGCGCTAATCCTCCATGTGATCCCATTTCATTCCAAGATATCCCAACAACAAAAAACTCGGAAGATTATAACAAAACTATATTAAAACTAAAATTAAGAAATATAAAACAAAAGTGGAAGAGACAGGGTATACTCTATTGACCAAACCAAGAGTGTGGCATCACCTGGAAGGTGACAGATGCAAGGGGTGCAGCCATGCCTCTATAGAGAGCAGCAGGCCCTTCACTGGCCATAACTCGGCGAAGAATACCGAAGGCAGAGCCAGAATTGGATTGCTGTAGCCGGATACGTAGAGTATCGAGTGGATAACCAGAAATTATACCAGCAATTCCACCAAATCCACCAGCCACAAATTCCCTACCCCAACTGCTAGCAAGAAACTCTGGCCAAAAATCCATCGTGATCTCACTCTCATTCCCCAAACAATTCAATATCTTTAGTTATTAACACAAACCCAAATCTTGTTTTCTTTATTATACAAAAGCACACAGATGTTGTAAAAAAATGGATGAATACCTTCTGTATTTGTATTTTCGCTTTCTAAATTTAGGTGGATAGAAATACCTGTTGAAAGAAAATTAATGTAACGTGTGTAAATAAACTACCAAGTTTTTCCTAACAAAGATGCAGAGGTTATTCTTATTTCACTTTCTGAAAGAACCTCTCACAGATTTACTTTCTATTCCTTTCTCCCTCTCTACCTAAATCTCCAAACAAGAAAATTTTCTCTCAGAGCAATAAAATATACAGTTTTTTTTTTCTTTTTGCTTTGTGATATTTTCTCTCAAATCAACCTTTGCCTAATATTTGCGAAGGAAGGAGGAGACATATAGAGGGGAAAGAAGAAATGAAGGGACAAAAGAGCGAGCCAAGAGCCAGAAATGGAGGAGATGCCAAAATTTTGGTTACTCTGTGTCTGCTGCTTTCTTATTCTTGCAAGAGAAAGGAACGAAACAAATGCCACCGGCTGCTATTTTGTTGGATTGGGACTGTAGCTATAAGGTGGAAACGGCCTACGTAAGTGGCACTTTCCATACCACCATTCGGATCGCACCACGTGGAACAAACAAATGACGTAACAAAAGGGTGTTTCAGTGCTTTAAGCCTAGTGTTAACGATCCATCTTTTGTTTGATTGACTTCGGTTTGCCCCAATTGAACTAGCTGTCGGTGGTAAAGGTGGGGTGAGTCAAGCAAATAACGCTCATGCGAATGATCAAATCATAATTCCCATGCCAAGTATAGTTGGCTTCTGTCCTTCTACCGAGTCTTTGAAAAAAAATACATAAGCATCACTTAGATATCAATTAAGGTTTATTTATCATATGGTTTAATGATGTCGTTATTACAAAACTAATTTTTCTTCTCATTTTTTAGTGTAATCGGAAGGTTTAATAGACTTTTAACTATATAATAAAGATAGTTTAAACAGTTTGGCTGTACTTAAGTGTATACTTATTAGATGTTATAGACTAATAGTATAAGTTTTTTAGAAAAATACTTGGTTTTCTCATGGAATTAATCAACTTATATCACCGGCAAAGGAAAATTTCTAAGACATGTCACAATAATAAGCATTTTAGTAATAGTGTTTGGGCTATATAGATAAATGAAAACAAAATTTAGGATAAATGTTCTTATTTATTTTTGTATGATACTTTAAATCTCTCATATGTCGTTAAGTTTCTAATTATATTTTATTTATTTTTGAAAGTATTTGAAATATTTAAATGTCATTTCGATCAAATTATTATTTTCTTTTTATCGAAATGATCTTAATTAAAATGAAAAAAAAACTCTAAAGACTTCAAATAGAATACGTAAATCATGTGACGTTAAATGTTTTTATTTATTTGTTTTTCTTTGCATTTTAGTAAAAGATATTTCAGTTAAAAAATATTTTATAATAAAAAATTTTGATCGAATAAACAGATTGAATATTTTAAAAAATTTAAGAGAAGATGTGATATAATTGAAAATCTAAAAACAAATAAAAGCTTTTAAATATTATATAAAAAAAATGAGTATATTTATCTCAAATTTTATGAACAATATATTTGAAAAAGAATATCTTGAATTATGGTTTAATACATTCAAGTAGAAGAATATCATGCACTCCCAATGTTCGTGTAAGGTATTAACAAAGGATGGAGCAGATGTGGGAAATACCAAAATTTTGAATATAAAAGTTTGAATTCATTGCCACTGTATTATTACATAACAACTGGCTACTTATCCCTCCCTGCGGATTAGGGATACACTTCCGAGGTTTGTTACAATTATTTATCAATACCAAAGAACTTTCTGACGTGTTCATCACAATCCGTGAGAAAAAAACTCTAGACTTGTGAAGGAACTCCTTGATCATTACAAGTAACCTAGTATATAATCTGTATAAGATTTTATGTCAATTTTATTTTCATTGGGTAAAGATTATTATGCACCGCTAAAAAAATTTAGAATTCTATCGTTTCAAACAATTACAACATGTTTGATAAGATATACTGTAACGTAATTAATTAATTAATTGTTTAATAAAATAAAAAAATATAATGTAATAGAATGGAATAATAGATTACGTAAACTTGTCTGCTTGGAAAAAATCTTAGTAATAATTCATGACATGGGTATTTGGATGATTCTTAGTAATAATTCACGAGAAGGGTATTTGGATGGGTCTCCAGGCGATTGGGGTACACGTGGACATGCAATGGGCAAACCTTTGTCTGTATGTTGTGGATAGAAGAGAAAAGAAAGAATCTCTTTGGTGTTGGTGGAGTCCGTACGTAGATTAATTTTCCATGGAAATTTTGCAATTTAGACGTTAGGCAGGGTGACATCAGGTCACTGCCTGAGGAGAGTTTGGGATTGGGTGTTGAGGCAAGTCCTTATTTTGCATACACATTCGTATAATAAAAATATATATCAGTTTTGTTACTAGCTATATGTAAAGCTTTTTCTTATTCTTAAATCCAATTTTCTTCTGAAAAAAAAAAAAATCTTGACTATATTTTTGCTTGTGCCTCTCACATGTGGTTTATTAGGCTTCGGTTAACTTTGTTGGAAAAAAATTGACATTACAATAAATTTAAGATTTATGGGAGTTAATTGAAACAAACAAAAGTTTTTGAATGAAATTGAAATGACACATAAATTTTAGAGAGCAAATTGAAATTCACCACAAATCAAAAGCAAGTATTCGTTAGAGACACGTGTGCGAGCTTACGTTAACAGAGATAGACATTACAACAAATTGGAAAACTTATGGAAGGAAAAGTTGATTTGGGAAGCAATTTACTTTTGTGATCGGATGTCTCCTCGGTCATTCTATCACTACAAAATGATTGGGTGTTTTTGGTTATGGCGATGGGTCCTTTCAACGAATTGGTTGCCCCGGCAGTGGAGGTGGAGGCTGTCAAGAATTGATTGACAAGAACAAGAACTACAAGCAATTGATCAATTTTTGAAAGATTGAAATTTAAACCAGTGGATCAAATCTTATACAAGTGATATTAAAAAACTATAGATGAATCAAATTCAATACAGCATTTTTGTATCCCCATTTTCTATAGCTTAGCTCCCCATACGCTGCCGAACCAAAAGATATTCTTAATCGATGACGGGTGCTTTAGGCTCTGTTTGTTTGGAAGAAAACAAGTTTCATAGGAAAATCAATTTTTGAGGAAGCTATTTTTCTGAAAATTGTTTTTCAAGAAAATATTTTATGCTGTTTGACAATTATATGACAAAGTTATGGAAAAATATATTCCAACATTTATTTGATACGGAAAATTAAAATACAAAAACTTATGTGATTGTTATATCAACAAGTTTTGAGAAAATTTTAAAAAAACATTCATAATTTTATAATATAAGATACATTTAGAAAAATTTAATAAATTTTCATCAATACTAACTCTAAAATTTTAATTCAAAAAATAAAATGTACTTTTTTAATGATCAAATCGAATCATCAAAATTACTTTGGATAAAATTAAGTCAATATTCATATTTGGTAAAAAAAGATTCTAAGTAATCTTAGCATTATTATTTTAGTAACTCAATTAAGAATTTTTTTTTTTTAAGAAATTGAATTGATAATTTAGTCTAAAAAATAATTTTATAAATTATTTGTTATCATCTATAGATAATTATTTATTTGATCTCAAAAGATTAATGCTTGAAATGATTTGTAACTAATTATTCATTACAATTACCAACAAAATTTTACAATTGATTAAAATTATAAATTATTGATTTAATTGCTAATGAATAGTGTTGAAAAAATAACGTATTTATTGATGAATTAATTAATTTTAATTTCTTTTTACAAAAAATTATAGTCTTGTAATAATCATTTTCAATCATTTAACTATAGCTTAGGTATTGATAGAGACAATAGTAAAAAAAAGAGATAAGTTATTGAAATATTTATTATAAAAATAATTTTAAGGTGTAAAAATGGTTTTTAAGAATATTTAATCTATCTATAAATAAATAAAAAAATCAAATATTAGTAAAGATAGAGAAAAAATAATTAAATAATTAATAATAATTGATAAGAAATAATTAAAAATTAATATGATATATTTTAAATAAAAGAAGATAGAGAAAAAAATTGTTAAAATATATTGAGAGAGAGTTATATAATGAGAGAGCGAGATAGCTCATGAGAAGAAAAATGTTTTCTTTTTTTGAAACTGAAAAAACATTTTTCTAAAATTACTCTATCATTTTTCGTTGATTGAAAATTATTTTTCATTGACTTTTTTCCTGAACCTGAAATAAATACTAAAAAAAAAAAAAAACAAGTTTCAAAAATTTGTTTTCTCCTAAACAAACATAGCGTTAAATGCCTTGCCATTCTAGCTGTGCATTATAAAGCACGTTACTCGCATTATCAATCTCTGCTTTTAGTCTTCTATCATCATTCTAGCTGTGCATTATAAAGCACGTTGCTCGCATTATCAATCTCTGCTTTTAGTCTTCTATCATCATCATCGTCATCATCATTATTTTGTATGCTTTTATTTCGGAAGCGGGATAAAGATTAATTCATGTGGTTGGCAGAAGGCTTTGCTAGTGGCATTTGTTAGGACTGTTCATCCATCGGGACTCGGAAAATGGCAATGCCAACGGATTCTGTGCAAAACAGGAGGCAATACAAATGAAACGATTTAATGACATAATTTATCTATAAACTATTCCAGTTATGCTAAAATAAAATTTTTATTATCAATTTAAATTATTTATACCTTAAATTATTGATTTTTAGGTAAATTTGGTCCTTCCTGGATATGTCTTATGGTCAAAATTTTGACTATTAATTAAAATATTTAAAATAATATCATTTTAAGCCTTTAAGTTTTTTTAATTAAAATCAATTTCTAAAAAATATTAAAAATTCAGTTCTTTTTTCATTGCACATCATTAATTATCCAACAACAAATGTCAAGTCTATAAATAACAAAATCATCTGAATTTCTTAAAAGCTAACTTTTTTTCTAAATTAAATTAAATTTTTTAAAAACGTAAAATGCTTAAAACAACTTCATTTTAAGCATTTTTTTTTCAAAAATTAAAATTTATCAGATTTTTTTAATAATTCAATTGTTTTTTACTAAATGGATCCATTACACATCATTAGTTATTCAATAATAAAAATCAAATTTATAAATAATAAAATAATCTAAGCTTTCTTAAACTAATATATATATATATATATATATAATTTTTTTAAAAAATTAAATGCTTAAAACCACATCTTTTTAAGTATTTTAGTTAATGATCGATATTTTAACTATCATATATGATGAAAAATACTAAAATTTGTCAAAAAATTAATAGTTTAAAATTCAAATAGTTCAAATTAATAATGTAGATTTTATTTTATTACAAATCCGATGATTTGAAGGAGACATAAATTTTGCCATTAAACCCAATTAAAGCAACACCATTAAAAAATCAATGTCCATAACAAACATTTGCATAAGTATGCTATATTTTTTTTTCGGCCATCGATTGTCTCCTACAGCCCTCTCCTTGTCGTTGGATGTTTTTTTTGTCTTTTTTTTTCCAAATAAATTAATGCCTTTGCTATGTCCACTTTCCAACTTTTTTTAATCTTTGGCCTTCCTATTTTGATTTCAATTTCTTTAATGTTCTTCATTTGGGTTTGTGATGTTATTATTGTGTCTTAAACTAATTTTTCTTCTACTCTCTTGCTTTTGTGCCCTTTTTTGTCGCTAACTTTTTTCTTTTGCTGGAGCATTAAATGGTGGCAGTTGATTGCCTTACTTTTTTTTTTTTGGTCCACTGTTTTTTTTTCTTCACTTATGGTCCTTATGAGGCTTTTTTTTTTTTAGCTTTAGCTTCTTCTTTTTTTTTTTTTTTTTGCAATAATTAATTTTTATTTTTATGAATTAGGCAAAAATTATAGATGATGGATATTTATTTTTTTGTGTTTGTCAAACAACCTGGAGATGAAGAAATATATATAATATGCTTTTATTTTTCAAAATAAATATATATTCTATATTATATTACTCTTATTAATTAAAATTTATTCTTTCAATTTATTATTTCTTCCGTAAAATATCATTGAATTAACTTTTTATTAAATTTTATTTATAGACAAATATATCTTTTTTTAATTTACATATAAATTTTGAAATAAAATTTTAGAAAATAATTATTTTTTATTTTTTAAATATAAATAATATAATTTATATGATTAATTTTTAAAATTTTTGAATTATAACTCTGCATATGAGGCCTGTGCATAAGGACCGATCATATATGACGCACACAAACACACACACACACATATATAAGAATAAACAAATATGATTTCATATGTTTTATTTGCTATTTATTTATATAATCAAAATTTATTAAAATTAAATTTGTAATAGTTTTATTTTAGTTTACTAACTTTAAATTTATTCAATACATTACTTACAAGTTAATTTTTTTTTTTTTTTATGTTGCAAACTATAAAATCCATTCAGTATAGTTATTATGTGAAAAATATATATTAAATTGTTGGTTTGATTAAAAATTAACTATGCAACAACAATAAAAACAAACCTTCACTATTTATTATTTATTTATTAATATTATGGATTTATTTTTTTCAAATTAAACAATTAAAATTATGTTTTGCACAACTAACCAATTATTCAAATATAATTTTTTATTCTAATATTGTTGATAATTTTATGACTAAATATATCAAAATCAAATATACAAACTTTTAAAAACTAATATTCTCATTAGTATTAAATAAGAATCAAAATTACTTTTTTTATTTGTTTATTTTTCTGTAACTTTTTACATTAATTGTTACCTTGTTTTAAGGACAAATCCTTAGAAAAATAATTGTATATATATACTTTTATATTTCATATTAATTTTCTTTTTTAATCATTACAATTTTTTAATAAAGAATTCATGGATTAAAAAAATAATTTTTTAGGTATAAAAATTATGAAAACACGACAAAAAATTAGTAAAATATAAATTTTAATTAAAAAATTATAGAATTAGATGATTTTTTAACCTTTAATTATTATATTTTGACATACTCATTTATAACTCGAATCATTAAAATAAAATAATTTTTTAAAAAATTAATTCACATGTTTTGCCTGACCTACCACCTGCAATGTAGCGCTGCTTGACCTATTACTTGCAACGTAAAACGAATAAAAAAACTAGTTTGTTAATGAAAAAACACTCGATAAAAAGCACTTATATCAAATTGGCCTCATATGGTAATGAGATCTCGATACCTTTGAAAGTACTTTTCAAAGCACATTTAAACCGTAAAAACATAAATAATGAAGATTTTCAAAGTGCTTTAAGATGATGCGAACATATCAACAACAATGAAAAACACTTCAAATCGCATCATTTTGATGCATTTTCAATTGAAAAACATTTTTGCAAAAACAAAGCCCCAAATTACCACACACACATCAAGAATAATATAAATGGAGTTGCCAGCTATACATCTAAAGTTGACACAAATGCAAGCAAATAAAATGTTGGCCCCGGTAAGAGATCAAATGCACACAAATTTATTAACTTTTACGTAACACTGGCCCAAGAAGGTTCAATAGCACTTTGAGGAACCAAACCCACACATTAAGCAAATGATGCCAGTGATCATCACACCAAACAAGAGATATTATCATTAATAGAAGTCACACTACATAAATCCATTTGTTTCAATTTGGGTTTGAAAGCCTCATTTCTTCCCACTTTTCTTCAGCCCCGCACCTCCAAAGCTCCCTTTCTGCTGTGCCTTGGCTTTGAGCTCCTTGAGTGCCTGTTAATCACATGAATGAAATCAATTAGTCATCTATCATTTATGCAACATGTAAAAAGATAACATACAAGATAAAGATCCAGTGCTGTGTTTTCTTTTTTTCCTTTTCCTTTTCCTTCCCCCTCCTCCCTTTTTAAAAGTAAAATCAATTATCTTTACCTTTTCTTCCTCCTTCTTCTTCTGAAGGTTGGCCAAATCAGTCTGCATATCAGCACAATAAATTTAAGAACAACAGAAATGGAAATAATATGAAAATTACTAACTTCTCACACAAGTTCACACATATTGTAGAGAAGAATTGCATCATAAGATGATCCAAGTCATAAATTACCACTTGATACAAATAGTCCTTACATGTAGATGTCATTCTTTATAAAGGAGGAGAAGCAACACATGAACAGGATATCACAACTAGGTATATAGTGAGAGTACACAAGAAAAGAGACTTAATTACAAACAAATAGCAAGCGGCCATAGTTCCAAAACAAGTTCTCTGCTCATAAAAAGACAGCTCAATCCCATCAAAATAACCAATTAGTACAAACATAAAAACACCAAATGAATATCAAATGTTCTGTTTGGATAAATGAAAATCTTTTAATGGGTAGTCAAGGGGAGAGAACCAAGTCCACCTCTCTTATATGAAGCTTAATCGACATACTGGACTTCAATTTGGGATACTGTGCACCTATCATCAATTAAATCCCTAGCATATTTGCAAAACCCACCCAACAGCAAGCTTCAACCACGCATTGCCAATTTGAGCATCTTTCAGTGCTGGATTCCTCAAATACCAAGGCTTCAAACGTACTTCAAATCAGAGAACTTCAACTCCGATTTGGATTTCCCAAAAAACCCAAATCAATATCCATATCCTAAAGGCCCTAAAACTTATAAAAATAAAAATCAATTCTAATTCAAAATTAATCAAATACAATTGATCATACTTGCCACTTGTTAGTCGACTAGGTACAGACAAATTCATCAACAACCCAGGAAACCAGAAAGCTACCCAGCACTAAATACTGCCATCAAAGGACGCAAAGATCTAACAATTCGACGAAAAATCAATTTGTTTGAGTTTCAAGCTTTCAATTCTTTGCACAAAGAAGAAAAGAAAAAAAATTAATCAAAATTGCACAGTTTCCAAAAAAACGGATCTAGGAATTATTGAAAACAATACCTCGTCGTAATCTTTCTTATCAGACTTTGGTGCCTTCAAAGGCTTTGCTTTTCCACCTGAAAATGAAAAACCACAAGATAATTTCAAATTTTCATTCGATCACAATTCGAATCTAACAAAATATCCTCCCCGTGGGAAGATAAAGAAAGAAATTAAACCGAAATTCCTAAGTATATGAGAAAAAACCTTGCTTGGAAGACATGATTAGAGATTAGGGTTAGGGTTTGATTTTCTACGACTCGAAAGAGGAACGTGATTGGGAGAAACCTAACCCTAATTCAACTCAATTATTGGGGGCTGCTTTGGGAACCCCATATATAGGGATTGAAAGGTCTGGCGTGCGTAGCACGTGATTAATTGGTGGCCGCGATTTTACGGCTTTGATAAAAACAACTGTTTTTGAATTGAAATGACGGATACGTCCTCGGCTCAACTGTTTGGTGGCCGTGATTGGGAGAAACCTAACATTTTTTTTTTTTTTTGAGTTAGTTACAAATCATTCACGTAGTTTGCAAGAACTAATCCATTAATCCTTTGCTCAAAAAAAGAAAAAAAATTAATTAATCTCTTTTATATATGTAGTAAAGTATTTTTTTGACCAATTTTTAGATCTATCCAAATTAAATTCAGCACTAATCAATTAATCCTTATCCTATAAAAAAATCAAATAATCTTTTGACTAGCTTTAAGCATCCTTGGTCTAATATTTTTTTCCTTCTAAAATTTCTTCTTTCCTCACCAAATTTTCACATTCTTATCTATTCTTTTCATCATTATATTTATTAAAAATAATAAATAAATAAAAAAATTGACTCTGGGGCTTCCTGCCATCCTCGAGGCACAACCCAGTGCCTCCCTGTCATCTTTGCCTCCAAAGAACAGCGTAGCGTAGCCACGCGATATAATGTTGTTGTGACAAAAATAGAAGTCACTGATGCGATCAATGAGAAAGCCTACAAAACAAAGGGCAGTTTCCAGTACTTTAATGTTCAAGTTCTTTAAACTAGTCCTGGTATGAAATGGAAGTATTATTAGTGAACAAGCCTTGTCAAAAGAGAGCCAACAAATGTTCTCGTGCATCCGTTCTAGATGCGATACTGCAGTGAACACATTCACTTGGACTAACTTCTTGTGTTGTGACTTAAAAAGTAGTTAAAGATATCAATGATGGGATGTGTGCGAGCAGGATTCCTCTGAAGAGTACATTGTTCGGCCTTGGTTTGATTCGGAGAGGCCTGGCTCTGCCAGAAAGTTCCTCCAAGCAAAGCCCATAAATTGACAATGGACTACGAATCCTTCGCAGGCTCACCTTCTAGTGTGCTTCTAATGAAGATGAAGATCATTTCCCTCACGATGACTACAATAAACACAGTAAGTGCAAGCTAAAAGCCTACGAATTGGAATCCTGTTCTTACTGATTCACTTATAATAGCATTTTGGTAAGCATATATAGACGACCTTTCCAAATCACTGAGCAATGAAGAAGCGAGAGCGAGGTTTCCGACCTGTGAATTTATTGTCTTAAGCTGCATCAAAGGAGCACTGACCATAACAAATTGGGTATTGGCTATCCATCTCAGATACGTAGTTGCAGAAGATGACCTCAAAAACTTGGTTCCCTCAGGAAAGGGGCACGAGTGTTCTATGTACGATAGGTCAGCATACAAGACTAAGTGTTCTATGTACAATAGGAACCTGATGGTAAAAGGGGATAATTTTCTGCTAGGCAACCCAGTCTACCTTCGGCCTATAGTTATTGATCTGGTACTGAAATTTCAGTCCGTTAGAGGTATAACATATTCCTAAACTGCCTATATCATCCAAGAACCCCTTTCTGAAGGTTCGAAAAGCTGAAACCAATTGACCATCAGCTCTGAGCTTTTTGTCATGAAGTAATGTGTCTGTCTCCGAATTTGAAGATCTCATGAACAGTATGAAGCATGAAAAGCTCACCACAATGAGATTTCTCACATTGCATGTCATTAATGAGCTTTACTTGATGTCAAATGGATTGATTGGTTGATGTTAATTTGTAACCTTTTTTCTTTTCCTGTCATCAGGAGGCTATTATTTTAAAGGAGGAGAAGGAAAAAGGCAACAAGACACTGGCTGAAATTCCTATAACTTAAAAATTCTATACACCTGATGACAAACCGCTAGCCACAACAGACCGGGATCACGAAAGAAAGAAGAAAAAAAAAAACAGCAAGACACCGTTGACTTAGCAATGAGACAGAAAAGATAATTAAAATCTGGATCGAAGATGAAGTTGAAAAATAAGATAGCCCTCTGCTTAGAGCTCTGCGATCGAAGAAGTGGACTTTGAAACTCACTAATGACACGGTTGAAAGTTAGGACTATTATCACAAGTCCAACAGATATTTCGAGTGTTGGCAGAGTAGCGCGTTGACGTTGTATGAAATATATTTTAATATTTTAATTAATTCAAAAAAAAAAAAAAAGCCAGTAGTCAATCAATATTAATTGTGAGAATTTTTAATTTAATATGCATTATGTAGTATTTAATACTATATGTGTATTTTATATTTATGTTTAAATATATCATGTTAATTTGTTTGATTTTGATCAGTTAAAAAATAACATGTAATTAATTATTTATTTTAGCACAATGAAGTTTAGGAACCATTCCATAAATCAAGGATTTAAATGAATCATATTTGTGCAAAAAAAAAAAATTGTTATAAAATAATGAATGTCCATCTACTTTTCATATCTCCACTACTCATGATCCTTAATGTGATTCAATTCACCATTCAATATGAGAAATTGAAAGGGTGATGCAATTGATGTACTTTTAATTATTCATAGTCCCTTCTAATTCTCATCTCAATTTTGAGGCCTATAAATAGGCTTGATTGTTCATTTGTTGATGTACAAGTTTCTTAGAGAGAATAAGAGAAACTTTGAAGTTCTTATCACTTATATTCACATTATAGTGATTTCATTTTCTTGTCATTCTTTTCTTCAATTCTCCTATTATTTCTATTTATTTTATAACACGTTATCGGCACGAAGCTCTAACCAATCGAGACAATGACCATGAGGTACGTATCTACCAAAAATTTTAATCAATTATTTCAACAATTGGATTTCTTCTATACAAGTGCTCTACCAAAAGATCTAAATTATTTAGATTATTAAGAGATATGTATCTAATTTATTCATGTACTTTAAATCTATTGATACATGAAATATATATTTGAAAAACTTAAATGATCTAATATATGTTATTTCAAAAGCTTTAATTTTGTTATTATATTTGTTCTTATTTTCTAATATTATTATTATATATTGTATTATAGAATTTTTATCACATCAAACCTTATAAACTTGATTTGGTGACTCTTGATATTTTGAATAAGAATTATTGATTATGAGTGCTTGATTTTGAAAAAATATTCTATACTTTTTATGTCTTGAATATGCTCATGCAGTAGCATATCGAGAAAAAGAGTTTAAGAAATATTTTGGATCGATTTTATACTTGTTAGTGGCTAAATAAAATGAAAAAGAATAAATCTCATCCAATTGGATCTACTCCATTCCTTGAAGTGAATGTGACAATTTATAATAATTTTAGACATGGATGAAGATGTGGTCATAGCCATGAATATGATCGAAATAATTATCATTGTAATCGTAATGATCATAATATTATGTCTCACCACTAGAAGTGGATAACTATGAAAAAAAAGGTATAAAAATAGATAAAATCGGTATTCGAAAAATAAATATTATAAATGTGGAATGAATAAATATTGATCATGTACACATTGCACACCAAAGCACCTCATTAAGGCTTGTCAAGCCTTATTAAAAAATAAAGAGTAAAATATGAAGGTCACTTTTATATATTAAAGTAATAGTAATTGAAATTAATTACTTGTTAGTTTTTATATTTATAAATAAAATGTTTTATATTTCTTATAATTTATGTTGTATATTAATGGTTACAAATTTATTTTACTATTTTTTTTTATGTTTATGAGGCATATATTGATTTATTTATTTTGTATTGATTTATTTGATTATTTATTTTATGTTAATATTATATATGATAATATCAATTTAATAGAAAGCTCTAGAAGAGCGACTATATTATTATCTAAAGAGATAGATTTTGAAAGCTCTAGAAGAGTGATTATATCATGACTTGAAGAGATAAAATTTTAAAGCTCTAGAAGAGTAAATAAATTATTACTTGAAGAGAAAATTTTTAAATGCTCTAGAAGAGTCGATATATTATTACTTGAATTGAATAATTTAAAGGCCCCGGAAGAGCAAATATATTATTATCCGAAAGGATAAATTTATTATAAATGATGTACTATTCTCTTCAAAGTCTCATAGAAATTTTTCAAGTTTCAAATATATTTATCTAAATGCACATTATATTAAGATGAAAAATATCAAAAATTGAATTCTTAAATATTATAATTATATCGGATAGAAAGCATGTATTGGAGAAATTATTCGTTTTCTCATCTATTCTTTATTACCAACATTGGAATGCTTGAAAACAAAATATATTATAGTAAACCGAAGTTTACTAATTCAAATACTTTTATTGTATGACATGACCGGTTGTGCTATATTGGGTCTTTCATAATGTGAAAAATTATTAAAAATTCATATGGACATCTATTGAAGAGCTAGAAGATTCTTCAATTTAATGAACTTTCATGTCTTGTATGTTGCTAAGGCAAATTGATGATTAAGCCATCATCAAGTAGAATTGAGATTGAATCTCCGGTATTTTAGAATATATTCAAGGTGATATTCATCCACCATGTGAACCATTTAAATATTTTACAATTTTGATAAATGCATCCACAAGATAGTCACATATATGCTTGTTATCTATTCGAAACCTAACGTTTTCGAGATTGCTAGCAAATAATTTAATTTTGAGCATAATTTTCAAATTATGCTATTAAAACAAGTCACCTTGATAATGCTTATGAATTTATTTCTCAAGCATTAAATTATTATTGATTGGCTATTAAAATAAAGGTTGAATATCCTGTCGCTCATGTTCATACTAAAAAAGGTTTAGCAAGATAATTTATCGAAAGGCTCTAATTGATAGCTAAACCATTATTTAAAAAAAAACTCATTGTTTATGTTTGGGGACATGCAATCTTACATGCAGCAACGGTTATTCACATATGATCCATAAGTTATCAAAAATTCTCTCATCTTCGGTTGATATATGGTCATCGACATTGCGGTGTTTATCCTTAGTGCTCTTTCATAAGAAAATAAAATGAGCACTTAAAGGAGATTGAGAATATATGTTGGATTTGAATTCTCTTCGATCTCTTGATTCATGAATAAGAGGTATTTTTACGAGCTCGATTTATCGACTTGTCATTTTGATGAAATAGTTTTTTCAACATTAGGGGAGAGAATAAGCAAAATAAGCGATTGGAAATGTTGAAAAAAAAAAAGATTATATGGAGTACTCTATCTTATATCACCTTGATTCTTGTCAAAAATAATGTGAACTAGAAGTTCAAAAGATAATTCATTTACCGGATATTGAAACCAATCGCCGGATGCATTCTTAGATCTTAAATGAGTAACTAAAATGTATGTCCCTACTAAGAATGCTCCTCTTAGAATTGATGCCCTAGAAGGGCGATCTATTAATGTTATAACCAATGAATCTAAAACACGCACGAAGCGTGAAAGACCGATCGGTTCTACGGATAAAATCCCTAAAAGAAAAGGGCAAGATGAAAATATTCACAAAATTTTCTAATATATTTATGATAATAGGCTTCTAGAAGAAGTCCAAATACTCGAGAAAAATCAAGAGATTTTGATAAATTATATTAATGCGGGGAGAAAATAGGACCGAAAAGAAATATCGATTGATAAGATTTTTTTATATAATATTGCAATTGATATTATGGATGAAAATAAGGATCCCGAGCCTAAATTATTAAAGAATGTCGACATAAAGATGATTGACCTAAATGAAAAGAGCAATCTAGACGGAATTATGTTCTCTTATAAAAGAGTAGTTTTTTGAACCCATAGCTAAAACACCTGAAGATGTTAAGCTAGTGGGATACAAATATGTATTTATGCAAAAATGAAATAAGAAAGATGAGATTATAAGATATAAAGCAAAACTTTTAACACAAAAGTTTTCGTAAAGAATTGACGTTGACTATGAAGAGACATATTCTCTTATAGTGTATGCAATTGTCTTTTGTTATCTCATTAGCTTTGAAAAATGTATAAAAAACATTCATATGCATGCATTTAATGAATGTGATCACGGTTTATTTGTTTATTTGAAATGATATCGGTATGAAAGTCCTAGAAGGACTTAACATGCCGAAGCATGTAATATATATTCTCGAGATAAGAATTAAATTAAATTATAGAGATTTCTATTAGGATTATTAGTATTTATTTTATTATTTTGAATTTTAGAAATTCAATTTATACTTTTTATATTTTATTTTTATATCTATTATTTATTACTAACCCGTGTGCATGTGATATAATCACTTTAATGATTATTTATTGAAATAAAGTTATAAAAATAACCCTATTTGTTCATATGTTTTTCATTTGAAAAGGGGTTTGTTGTATATGTTGATAACTTAAATATTATTGGAACTCCCGAAGAGATTCCAAGTGTCATAAGTTATCTAAAAAAAGAATTTGATGTGAATATCTTGGAAAAACAAAATGTTATCTCGACTTATAGTTCGAGCACTCGAAAAATGAGATTTTCATTCATTAGTCAATTTATATCGAAAAAGGTTCTACAATGATTCTATACAAAGATCATTCATTGACTAGCCCAATGGTAGTTCGTTCACTTGATGTTCATAAAGACCCTTTTCGACCTCGAGAAGATAACGAAGAACTTCTTGGTCACGAAGTACCATAGCTTAGTGCAATTGGTGCATTAGTGTATCTTGCTAATAATACTCGACACGATATAACATTTTACGTAAATTTATTACCAAGATATAGTTACGCTCCAACACGGAGACATTAGAATGGAATTAAACATATATTATGTTATCTCCGAGGAACAATTGATATGAGCTTATATTACTTTAACAAATTAAAGACTGGATTAATTGGTTATGCGGATGCGGAGTTATTTATCCGATTCACACAAAGCTCGATCTCAAGCTGGTTATGTATTTACATATGGAGATACGAGCTATATCATGACGTTCTATGAAGCAAACTACGAGTGCCACATCTTTAAATTATGCGAAATACTAGCAATTCATGAAGCAAGTTGAGAATGTATTTGGTTAAGATCAATGACCCATCATGCTCAAGAGATATGCGATTTATCCACTAGCAAGGAAGTTCCAACGAGTCTTGTATGAAGACAATACTCCTGCATAGCTCAATTAAATGAAGGATATATCAAAGGTGACAAAACAAAACATATATCATCAAAATTATTTTTCACACATGATCTTCAACAAAATGGTGATATTAATATTCAACAAATTCGATCAAGTGACAATCCGAGCGATTTGTTCACTAAGGCACTACCTACCATAACTTTTAAGAAGATGATTCACAAGATTGGAATGCGTCGTCTTAGAGATCTTAAATAATGGCTTCAACGGGGGAGACCAAAATAAGTATTAACGTGTGCAAGGAATAATGTACTCTTTTTCCTTCACTAGGATTTTTTTCCCATTGGGTTTTTTCCTAGTAAGGTTTTAACAAGGAATATTCCTTATACAATGGACATTCAAGGAGGAGTGTTATAAAATAATGAATGTCAATATGAATGTCCATCTAATTTTCATATCTCCACTACTCATGATCCTTAATGTGATTCAATTCACCATTCAATATGAGAAATTGAAAGGGTGATGCAATTGATGTACTTTTAATTATTCATAGTCCCTTCTAATTCTCATCTCAATTTTGAGGCCTATAAATAGGCTTGATTGTTCATTTGTTGATGTACAAGTTTCTTAGAGAGAATAAGAGAAACTTTGAAGTTCTTATCACTTATATTCACATTATAGTGATTTCATTTTCTTGTCATTCTTTTCTTCAATTCTCCTATTATTTCTATTTATTTTATAACAAAAATCTATTATTATTTTATCTTTTTTCACAAAATTACGTGAGATAAAAAAAAACTTAAAACCGTAACATTTTAGATATGTTTATTATAGATAAACCCCTCTTAGCTATAGTGAGATACAATGGATTCTAGCTTCTTTATAATTTGTGTGAAGTCCTTACAAGCACTCTTGACTAATCCAATCTATGTTTGTTCAACAACAGGAAATTTCATGAGCAGCTGTTATTGAATGTTATCTAATCATTTCTCATTATGGTATAAAATAGTCCCTAAACCTTTTATTTATTATGAACATATGCAATGAAAGAACAGATGCATATGCTTATTTATTTGCCCAAGCATAAGAAATTCTACACCCCAATAGAAATAGCGAGACAGAAAAGATTATCAAATAATAAACAGCATCTAATTTGTGGCAGTACCAAAGTACTACATATTCATATATGTGTGTGTGTGTGTGATTCTTTGATGCAAAGCAGCACTGGACCCTTTATCTTGCTTCCATCTCAGTAATAGATACTCCGTTTAATGATCTATTTTCTTGCTTGTGCTCTTCATCAACTGTCCCCCGCATGCTCCTTCTGTTGGAAAATGCTGGTTGTTTTGGAGGAGGTAATTGATTAGCTTCATTGTACATCATAGATATAACATCTAGCATGGTTGGTCTATCTGTTGGGCTCTCTTGTACGCACAAGAGACCCACATGAATGCACCTCATGACTTCATTCTGATATGTGTCGCTTATCCTTGGATCAATCAGCTCTGGACCTCTCCCCTGTCTCCACATATACTATGCCTAAAACAATCCAATCATGAAATTAGTTCAGACTTGATTGAAAAATGGCAAAAAAAAGGACGATGATGTGATGAAATAAGCTAGCAGTCCGGTATTACTGAGAACTTACATACACTACAAGGTTGAGTGGGCCATCAGAATGGTGAAAACTATTATTCCTCCTGCCACAAACAATTTCCAGCAGCAGCACTCCGAAACTGAACACATCTGACTTTATTGAGAAAATGCCCTCAATTGCATACTCAGGCGACATATAGCCACTGCATTGAAAAAAGGCTAAACATCATTCGTATTTGAAAGCTTAAAGTAAATTCTTACAGGCATCTATAGGGATGGAATTAGGTTTTGATGCTGTTGAGAAGGAGAAATCAGCGACAGCCGGATCAAGGGGCTGTTAATTAGTAGCAAACTGATTTGGGAGAGACATTAAGAGATTTGATTTGTATAGAATTCTTTCCTAGTATAGACACCTTAGTATAGACATCCCGAGTGATAAAGAGTGAACAAGTATATTGTGAGAGGGTGATTTTATACGGTTGATCTATATATATTATATAATCATCAGTTTAAGTGAAAAAATTAATGATGATTTTTAAAAATTTTAACACTCAATTAAAAAAAGAACATAAATTGATGAAAAAAGCAAAAAAAAAAAAAAAACCATATAGTGCATCGGATAGGGATTAAAATGAAATAATTTGAAAATTAAGAAAAAAAGCTAAGAATGAAAATTACAAAAAAAGAGTAAAAATTAAAAAAATAAAAAAAAAACCTAAGGTTGAGTAGTATAGTACGAGGATACAGTAAAATAAAAAGAAAGAAAAAAAACACTAATACTGTTCACATGAAAAATGCAACAGTGCGGAGAGTCTACTGTTCATTTGGATGGTGACCTCCCAAGCGTTTTAATTATATACTAATAAGAATATTTGATATTTTTTCGGCTGATGAATTGTTTACTTACAATGTTCCGGCAACTCGGTTTGTCTTTGCTTTAGATTCTTCTGGTCCAAATATTTTTGCCATGCCAAAATCTGATATTTTTGGATTCATTTCACTGTCGAGTAAGATGTTACTAGCCTTTAAGTCTCTGTGTATTATTTTCATTCTTGAATACTTGTGAAGGTAAAGAAGCCCTTGAGCAATCCCTTCGATGATGTTGAACCGTTTTTTCCAATCTAGCACACTCTGGATCTTTGTATCTGTTTAGAAGCAATTATTAAAATTTTAATTGGGATAGGCATTGAATAGATCCATGATTAACGAAACTAAAATAAGCTGAATTTCAACTGACCAAAGAGGAAGTAATCTAGACTTTTGTTAGGCATGTACTCATAGATTAGAATCTTCTCTTCTTTCTCAATGCAGCAACCGACAAGCCTGACAAGATTGTTGTGTTGCTGTTTGGCTATTACTTTTACTTCATTCTTGAACTCAACTATTCCTTGTCGAGAGCTTGTTGAAAGTCTTTTTATTGCTACTTCTTGACCATCCAGTAATTGTCCCTGAAATAGTTAGTCATCAGTCCTAGCAAGAACTGATTTGTGCGTTTTCATAAATTACCAACTCACCAACAATTTCTTTAATATTTACAAAATGAAAGTTTTTTTTTTTAGTATAATTTATACCTTATAAACAGGGCCAAATCCACCCTCTCCGAGCTTATTCATAGGCGCAAAGTTGTTTGTTGCTGATGCTATGGTTTCAAAATTGAAAAACTGAAGTTCATGGCTACTTCTCCCATGTACATTGGGGTTATGTTTTGAAGCAATTCCCAGCTCATACAATAGTATCTCTTGCTCTGTATCGGTCTTCTTTATTGATCGAAGAAAGTGCATGCCTTTTTCCTTATATTTTCTCCACATTAGCAACAGGGTTTCCGACTTCAACATCCAGGAGACAAGATCCTTGTATTTACTCCATATTCCAAAGAATAAAAAACATAAGAAGCATAACAAGGATATGAACAGAGCTGCCCCTGCCAATATGATTAACCGCCGGAGCCTGATCCTATCTGCGACAATTAACTAATTTCAATGTGTATAAAGGTAGCTAGCACCACATAAACAGGCGACAGTTTAAAATGTGTTTGGCACTAACAATTGACATAGTAATCAAAATGCGCTTTAAGGGTGACTTTCAGAAAATCATCAGACTTAACAATGCACGCTTGGTTTCACTGAAAAAAATAAAATAAAATAATGCACACTTGATGTCTTATGGGCATGTAAAATACTTCCTTGAAAGTTTCAGATAGCTTATACCCAAGGGTTTTAAACTACAATAATGATCTGTCTTGGGGTCAGTTGATTTGCTTCATACGGTACTAACTACTAAGGGTTGGACTCTAGCCTGAGTCCTTTTTGCCTGTTGTGCAGTAGAGAGTATCTAATTATAAGCAAAGTGAGTTTATGGATCAATCATAATTCATATCTAACCTGTTGGTTCTGCTTTTCCCCTGAAATGTAAGTCTTTTGCTAAGGATGCCTCTATTTTAGTAAAGTTCAACTTCTATAAATGATGCAGATTTTCCATGGCCTTTTGTATAAAATTAAAGCATACGCGTCTAGCAGTTGGCTGAGGCATCTGCGTGTTTTCCAAAATTGAAAAAAACGAATTTCTGGAGATAAGTCATCTTACCTTTGGATTCAAGGACGTATACAGTATGCCAATTTGGGTATGTGGTTGTTCCAAGTTTTAGTCTGCTCCAAATCTGACAGCCAATGCCTTCATTGTTCTTATTTGTGGATGCATAGGCGACACATGAACAATTTCTTAAGCATTTTTCTCGACAGTCATTGATAGTCAGCTTCTCATTCTCATCGAACTTGAATTCATCTCCAGACACAGAACCAACTTGCCTGCTTATGTGAGAGAGATCCTTCCTGCAAATGGGATACGTCCTATCATCACATCCAGCAGAAATTCTAACATCCAAAGGACCTCGTTGGACGTAGAAATTGGAATGGTAACTGCATGTGTGAGACATATCAGTACATTCAATGGAATTTCTGCATGCGATCAATTTTTCTGTAAAATCGTGGAGCAACCCAAAACGATGTACTACTATCATTGGAAAAGAATTGGTATAGCCAGTTACATGATAAGTAAAGTACTTCGCACGATCATTTGAAAAATATCTAAAGTGGTAGTGATGGTGAGAAAACTCATGCGACAAATTGAAACTTCCATTTACGAAAGTTCCACTTCTCCAATAGACGTCTCCTGCCCGCCAGATTATTAATTGGTTTGTGCTATTGGGGTCCATTCCAAAGGTAAAAGACCCTGGAACTGGTGAGTTTCTATCAGTCCATGATGTTAGGGACCAATTATGGCCAGTTTTCAAGTTGATTCCTACTTTCATTCCCGGAAGAAGTGTATCTGTAGGATAGTCGAAACTTTGCCACAGCACATGCTTTACAGATCCATCTGAATTTAGTTCGTGTAGCACAAGATTGCCGGAATCTAGTAAAGTAGCACTTGTTTTACCTGATGCTTGAACAGATGTTAGTACAATAGGATCTTTTCCACTGCAAAAAATCTTCAAATTTCCGTCACTACCAATGGTAAGAACTCCTGATTCATCATAGACTGCGTTGTTCCGGTTGGCAACCCAAACAGCCCTCAAATTGTCTCCAGAAGACTTAAAATACCCTTCAACGGACCAACTATACCATATTCCTATGTAATACTTAGATCTCCGCGTATGTCTCGACGAATCTCCCAGCACCTGTTCACTGAAATATCTGTGGAAGAATCCTAACTTGAACATTCCATAAGCTGAAACCAGTTGATCCCCACAATTGAGCTTTTGGCCTTGGATTAATGTGTCAGTATTCTTCGAATATGAAGGCCCCATGAGAAACATGAAGCTTGAAAACATCACAAGGATGAGAATTCTCGCTTTGCTTGCCATTAATTGTTGGTTTACACTCTACCAACAAAAATGTATTTTGGCAGTATCAGTTTTTGTTTGATTGGTTCAGAAGGCATTGGGAGACAGATGATAAGCAAGCATTGTTTTTTCTACGTCGTAAGTCTTACGAAATTTCGTTCCAATTACTCAGGACTTTTGAGAGTGTAGAAGTTTACTGCTTCAAGAGTCTCGTTTTGACCGTAGCCTTTTCGTTACGCTATTGGACCGCACCTCCTTATCATTTCCAACGACACAGCCTGGACAACGTAAGATTCCTTCCTTTTACATTCTTGTTCTCTGCTAAAGAACATTCAAACGCATCATGGGCAAGTCCAAGTCTACAATGTGATAACAAGTATTCGCAGTCAATTATTATTAATGACTGACTTTTATATATACATATATATATGTATGTATGTATGTATGTATGTATGTGTGTGTGTGTGTAAGTCTATTAATCGGGAGTATTTCCACAAGCGTGAGGAGTGACGACTTTGTCAACTAGACTAACTATTTAATTTCTCTCCCTCTATATCTGTATGTAGAAGCTTGTGCAGATAGATTTTGTGGCATTGTACATTGAGTCTGGAATCCTGACAAGTAATTTACTGTTTAAAACCTTATTTGGACAGGCAAGTTGATAGTTGTTTCTTCTGAATTCTTCTCATGATAATATTTGTGTTCATTCACTACGGCATTTAAAATTCTGTCCTAATTCCGATAGAATTAACACGAGATTCAAACAATTGATCAAAAGTGAAATCACCAAATTACTCGTCAAGAATTTGAATATTAAAAATTATAAAAACTTTATCATTAATTTGCAATTTAACTAATATTAATGTTTGTCTTCTTGAAGAGATTTCGAATTTAAACCTCTATTTTATAATTAAAAAAAAAAAACGTAGAACTCTAAACCTACAAACAACAAAAATAAAAAGGAAAAAGAAAAAGAAACCCATTTTTCAAGCATAGTTTCAACATAATTATTGTTAAAAAATATATATATTCTCTCCAAGTTAGCTGCCAATTTCTGCACAAGAGTGTTTTAGATTTATTTCTTTTCTTTTATTTATCATTGTTATTATTTATTTATTTATGGAAGAGTAATTACACTCGTGTTAAAGACCTAAGCTCAATAATGCAGAGCCCAAAAGCCAGGTAAAAGGCCAGAACAAGGTACAACCGATGGCTTTTTTGGTTGTACCAAAAGTCTAAATGCATGAAGATACTTGTGACCGTAGACATGTATCATGAAAATATAGTAAAAAATTTAATCTCAATTAAAATACAAAATGACATGAAAATATAGTTACCATCAAACAAAACAAAGAAATACATATATCGCATTTAGAACTTATATCAGGGAATACGAAAATCATACATGATAAATGGACCTCATCTCCTAAATGTTGAACCAAAAGTCTTTGGTTGTACAATATATGTTCACATTCCTAAAATTTTGCGAACTAACTTGATCCTTGTGCAAAATGATGTGTTTTGTTGGCTACTCTAATTATCAAAAGAGACATAGGTGTTACAATCCACATATCCTGACGATACGTGTGATCTTAGAAATCTCCTTTCTTAAATCATAACATTATTATTCAAGAAGAGCTTCGACACCTTTGGTTCAGAAGAAGAATTCTAATGAAGGGACTATATTACACGAGAATGACAGAGGAAATGCTTTTTTAGAGCTAGAAGAAGCGACTGAAAGGTTTAGGAGAAATGGTCATTAATAATTTTTTAAAAATAATCTTGAGGAGTTAGAGTGAGAGTTACCCATGTTAACGTCAATAACTGAAGACTTCACTTAGAATGTTTCTCTTAAAAAAAATTCAAATCCCATAATTGATAAGTGATTTATTCCTTCAGAAAATTTGGCCCTAAGATACCCATGTCTATCAAACAAAGGTATTTTAAAGTTAAGCATCCAATCAATAATTTCGTCTCTATTTATAGATTTTCTGAATTGTATGCAAGTATTATTCATCAATTATCTAATGTATTTATTCCTAGTAGCGTACTTGATGCATTAGCATATTCCAAATAGACTAAGGTAACAAACAAAGAGATGAAGTTTTTGTAAAATAACTCTACTTGGGAACTTGTTTCATTAACCAAAGGAAAGAAGACAATTGGATGTGGATAGGTGTTCACCATGAAATTCAAAGTAGATGGAAGTATTGACAAATATAAAACAAGGTTAGTAGCAAAGGGGTTTACACAAAGATATGGGGTGGACTACCAAAAAACCTTTACACTTGTAGCTAAACTCAACACAATCTGAATTCTCCTATCTTTAGTAGCAAATTGAGAGTGACCTCTATAACAATTTGGCGTTAAGAGCATACTTGTTAATGCAAAATTTAGAGGAGGAAGTCTACATGGAGTTGCCAGCAGAAGTTAAAAGGAGTTCTTCAAGTAGAACCAAAAGTGTGTAAATTGAAGAAATTTTTGTATAGACTTAAACAGTCACCTAGAGCTTGGTTTAGAAGGTTCTCTTCTACAGTGAAAGCTTTCGATTATAATCAAAATAGTTCAGATCATACTTCATTTATAAAACTCAAAGAAGAAAAGTAACAACTTTAATTGTATATGTTGATTATATGGTTTTGACAGGAAATGATACACTTAAAATGAAGTTTGTTACAAGATTATTTGGCTACGAAGTTCGAAATGAAGGATTTGGAAAAACTTAAATATTTCTTATGAATTAAAATTGTAAGATCTGATCGAGGGATTTTTCTTTCACAACAAAAATATGTGCTAGATCTTTTGACTAAAACTGGAATGCTTGCTTGCAAACCAATAGCAACGCTTATGGAAGTGAATCATGGGCTTTAAATTTTTCTAAACCAAGTCCATACAGACATGGGCAACTATCAATGACTGGTTGGAAGATTAATTTATTTGTCACATATAAGACCGAGCATAGCCTATGTCGTAAGCATCGTAAGTCAGTTCATACACGCCCCAAGTGAAGAATATATGGATGCAGTATACCGAATCTTAAGATACTTGAAGGATGCTCTTGGATAAGGTCTATTATTCTAAAAAAATGATTTCTCCAACATTGATAAGAATGCTAATTAGATAGGAGATCAAACGACTAAAAGGTCCACATTTAGTTATTTTACTTTTATGGAAGGTAATCTCGTTGCTTGGAAAAGCAAAAAGCACGAGGTTGTAGCAAGATCAATTACAAAAACAGAATTCCAAGGAATGACTCATGGTGTATGTTGATTGTGTATAGATTAAGAGTGTTCTGAAAGATTTGGAGATTGCATATTCAAAACCTATGAATCTTCTAGTGATAATAAAATGACTATTAAGATTGCACACAATCCTATACAACATGACTGGACCAACTATGTTGAAGTTGATTGTCACTTCATTAAGGAGAAGTTAGATCAAAAGGTTATACAGTTTACATTTCTCAAGTTAAAAAATCAGTTATTTGATATAATCATAAAAACAATCTCGAGAACGATCTTTCATGATTTAATTGACAAGTTGAGTATGATAGATATCTATGTTATAACTTGAGGGGGATTGTTAGCATGATTTATCTATATGCTGTAATAATCTTTGTGCTCTAAGATTAGAGCACATAGATTACTCATGCCAACACTCCCCTTCAACTTGGAGCATAGATATTTATGTGCTGTAATGCTTAAGGTTGATTTCATGATTATTGGAAAGTAGTAATTGGCCAAATCTATACATTAATATGAGTATATTAAATTTTCTTAGAATGGGATTGCTTTCTACTTTTAAAATGTAATTATTCCTATATATTTGCTCCAACTAGAGAATGAAGATATTGAATAAAACTTTATTTGAGAGAAGCCTTTGTTCAACACACAGCTAAGACAGGTAAGATTCCTTCCCTTTACATTCTTGTTCTTTTCTCAGTTGAAAAGAACATTCAACCACATCTTGGACATGTCCAAGTCTATATCTGTATGTAAACAACTATTAAAGCTTGTGTAGATAGATTTTGTGATATTGTACATTGAGTTGTGGCATCCTGACAAGTAATTTATTGTTTGAAACCTTAATTATTTAATGGGCATTTTTCCCATTATAAACAAGTGGAGGAAATTTCAAGTTTTAGTATTCATCTAAAGCACTATATATCATGTTGTTAGTTGGCTATGCAAGTCCAACAAGACATGCTGACTATAATCGTGAGTCATGAACTATTTGTGTAAGATGTTTTCTCCAAATTATAAGAAAAGAATTCACAAAAAAATTTCTTTTTATAGAAGCTGGTTAATTGGAGAGGCCAATTGATAGTTGTTTCTTCTTAAAATTATAATATTTGTGTTCACTACAGCACTTAAAATTATGTCCTAATCCCCGTAGAACCAACACTAGATTCAAACAATTGATCAAAAGAGAAACCACCAAATTACTTACCAATAATTTGAATATTAAAAATTATAGAAACTTTATCATTAAATTGCAATTTAACTATTATTAACTTCTTGAAGAGATTTTTAATTTAAACCTCTATTTTATAATTAAAAAAAAAAGTGGAACTGTAAACCCACAATAAAAAAAAATAAAAAGGAAAAAGAAAAAGAAACCCATTTTTCAAGCATGGTTTCAAGATACACTGCATAATTATTATTAAAAAAAATTATATTCTCCCCAAGTTAGCTGCCAATTTCTGCACAAGAGCAACTATTTTAGATTTCTTTCTTTTCTTTTATTTATTTATTGTTATTATTATTTATTTATGGAAGAGTAATTGCCCTCATGTTAAAAGGCCTAAGCCCAGATAATGCAGAGCCCAAAAGTCAGTTAAAAGGCCAGAACAAGGTCCAACTGATGGCTTTTTTTTTTTCTGGCTTTTTTATTCCTTTGGTGCTGATTGAAAAAATCATCTACGAAATTTGGAGTAAATTATAAATTAATCCCTGCTGCTTCGAAAAATGAATTAATTAATCTTTTAAGTTTGTAAAACTAATTATTTAATCTTATTTTATTTTATTTTATTTATTTTACGAAGTAGAAAAAAATAAAAAAATAAGTAAAAAGATAGAAAGATTGATGAGAAAAAATATTTTATAAAATAAAAAATAGTAAATTAATTGTGGTCGACCTAGTGAAAAAAATTAAATAATTAATTTTTGAAACTAAAAGGATTAATTAATTCATTTTTCGAAATGAGAGGGACTAATTTATAATTGACACACAATTTTATTTTATTTTTTTATTAACAAGAAAGCCTTTTTCAATCGATCTAAAAGAGCTTGCTTTATTTGGACAATAAGTTGAAAATGCATAGAAAAAAACGATTTTTTCTTAAATGAACTCAAAGTAACAAAAAAAGGAAAAAAAAAACAAAAATAACCATGGTCATGGAAAAAGAAAAAAATATATATGTGTGTGTGTGTTAAGTGGAGAAAGGAACAAACAGATATATTTTCTAAATAAGATGAAATTGATAACTCAAGTTCACATAACAATTTCTCCAATTTCAACCAGTTAGCGCTAGAATAATATATTTTCAAATTTGTAAATGGTAAATAACTTTAATTAACCATGACTGTAAGATTCTTTTGTACTTATGAATAGATATTTCTTGGTGGATAAGCGTGCCTTTTTTCTTCTGTCTGTTCTTCCCCACTCAACAAGTATTAGACTTCTTGCTTTGCAAGTACTTATATATATATATATATATATATATATATAACCTTCTTACAAGTTACACCACACCGTGATTCCCGTAGTGAATGCTTTTGTTCGTTTCAGAATTGCCAAGTAAATGATAATTTACTGATTGAAAACCAGCAATAGCACATAGACAAGGACACAGACCCTCGGCTACGCCATGTAAGTCACCTATTCTGTTTTGTCTGTTGTAATGGTGGGTTGCATGTGCGTCGATTGGCCCAATGTTCGGCACCAACTAACTACTTATAAGCCCAATAATAACTTGGATTTCTCAGTCACTCACTGTTTTCGGTACTTCTTTAGTTTTACAGTTTATGTGATTCTGCTGACCGCTTGGACTCGAGAGAAGGGTAGGTCTGAACAACAGCTGAAGATTGGCAGCTCAGGAAAGGAGACATTTTTCATCTACTAACCGAGCCTGCACTACCAACGGTTTTCCTCTCTCTGCTTCAGCTTCAGTTTCATCTCCAACATGATTTCTCTTCATTCAACCCAATTTCCTCTCTCTTAACTAACCAATATGGTATGTTATCTCTCTTTTGTTCTTGCATCTAAGGTTTACGACTCTCTTAATTTTTTCTCAATTTTGGTAGAAAATTCATGCTATGATCACTAATGTACTTCTGGGGTTCTTATTAATGCTGTTGCTATATTGATTTGTTTTGCAGCCTCTCATGCCATTGATGGTTCGGTCACTGGTGAGGCTACTCAGCGCTCTAGTGTCTCAGCCAACTGCCTCAGTCACAACTTTATTGTATTACAGCAATCTTCTACCTAGAAACTTGAATTTAGAGCGATTGGTTCGACGGGAACTGCTTGATGGAGAAAACCATCTGTTCCATTTTCTCATCAATTTCTTGAGATGTTTCTGGTAGTTAATTAATTAGCCAGCACAAGTTGATTTTGTTATGCCAAACTCAGTACCGATTAATAATTCTCTTTCTTACTCCAATTCTGTTTCAGACTGACTGGATCGATCCCTTACTGCAATACCTTGCTGGATTGGTGAGTTGAATATTTTTGTTGTTTTGAATATTTGTAAGAAATCAGAAAAGCCTTAATGCTTGGGTAAAGATTTTGTACGTCTAGATGATCAGGGTCGGAAGTATTATTCATGTAACTAAAAATTTTATAGTTTCATTAAGTACTGCTCTTCTTGTACTAATCATTCGGATGTCGCAGTGCTTGTAACATTGAATGAATGAACATTGAGACAGTGCATGATAATTAGGGAGCAATATTATGATGCTCTGCATGTAGTAGCTAGCTTTTTGCGGACTGAAAATAATACATATGCCTTGCTTTTAACCGTAGTTTTTGCACTCCGATTGAAATAAAAAAATTATAGCCTTCCTTCTGTTTTATTTCCCATTGGCAGTAATTACTACCAGCTATAGATTTTCTTTCATGGCCTGATGTCTAAGACAGAGACAGAATCTACCATATTATGGAATATGGATTATGGATTGTCCATCTTTGGCAAGATACGGTGAGATTTTTGGATCACAATCTAATGTGATTACATGAGAAATTTTAAAATGCTCAAAAAATAATTATTTATAGTTACAATAATTATTTCATATACTATTTTTTAAAAGAGAGATAAATAGAAATAAGAAAAAGAGAATTACATTGAGACACAAAAAAATAACAAAAATATATCTATATTGGCTCAATTTTTTTTTTTTAATTTTCTCTTTCCACTTTAGCTCAATTTTTTTTTTAATTTTTTCTTTTATGTTTTTCTTATGAAATAAGTATTGATAGTTATTTTATGAATAATATAACATTTCTCGTGACTATGGTCATGTTGTCTTAATGCCATTAGTTAAAAGATATCAAAAGTTTACTTGATGGTTAAGAGAATAGTATATTCTTTGTTTAGTCACCACAAGTAAAAAATTCTCCGAAGTCTTCAAAAATTCTTTTATTCTAATATGAATGACTTGTTTTTAACTTTTCTTTATCTATCAAATTTTGGCTTGAATGGATTGCTTTTAAGCCCTAACCTTCCAAGAGAGGTTTTTGGTGTGTGCAACTTTGCCGCATTCACTTTCAGCTTACTTTGTGTCAAATCGAATATTTAAAATTTGGTAACAATTGTTAGGTACTAAATTTTGGTACATGTTATATTTGGTTCTAATGGGACCATATATTATAACATCTGATACGATTATGTTCATTTGTCTTGGGTTTTGGGATCATACCATCTTAATTTTTTTTGTTAATATAACTTAGAAATTGATCATCCTTCAGCCATATTCGATTAATATGGATTGGTTTCAATCATGTTCGATATGTATGTATTGGTTTTAAAATAAAAAATTCCAAACTCTCGTACTCTTAAAACAAAAGAAATAAGTATAAGTCTAAATTGGTTTTAAAACCGAAAGTTCTAAACACAAAAATGTAAGTATAAGTCTTGTCATAGTCAAAGTAAGTACCAAAAGTGGGATTCTAAACTCTTACACTCTTAAAACAAAATAATAATAAGTATAATAATAAGTATAAGTCCTGTGATGGCCAAAGCAGCTATGAAAAGTAGGATTTGAATCTTTAATCCCTTGTTACAAATTTAAAACTCTTACTATTGAACTGTTTCTTATGGCTATTAATGTTGGAAAGTGTTTTTCTGGAAAACACTTTAATTAAATTTTAGAGAGGAGAAAGTGTTTTTTGATTTAAAAAAGGGAATAAAACTTTCCATGAATGACTTAAAAAATAAAATGGAACAATATACATAAACATTAATATATTAATAAAATATTTTAAAATATATAATATTATTAAAAAATAAAACATTAGGATATATCAATAGATAAAATATAAGATCATATTAATTTAATATATCAGTACATATAATGCTTTAATTTAGATAATATTGCCAGAAAAATACTGTATAATACATAATATGCTTTACTATACAATAATCATACATTTTAAATCATAAAAATTGCATTATAAAAATAGGATAGAAAAGAGATTTATTTTCAATATTCACCGAAGGCCAAAAAATGTTTGATATTATAAAATATTCTATCACTGATAATAAAAGATTCATAACTCAAAATGTATTATTTTTAAATTTATTTTATATGATATGACCAAATCCCAAAAAATGATTTGTAATTCATTTTTCATGATACGACCAAATATTGGAAAATAATTTATTTTTCAAAAATCATCTTTCTTAAAAATTACTTTCCAAAAATAATTCATATTCGAACAAATAAATAAGGCCAATTCCTCTTCTTTTTTTTTGTTTTTCTAAGATATCCTCATCTCACGTTATAGATATAACTAATTTGATTTGAAACGAAAACGATAAAGTTTAATTTCTTTTAATAAATGTAACTAATCCAGAATTCGAATCCAACATATTAATAACAATATCGTTTCAAAATCAATTTATTTATCATTTGCCAACAACTTGTTAGTTTTTTCTTTAGATTCAACAATAGGTACAACAAATTTATAGGATTAATTGTCAACTTGCAAAAATAAATGCATTTGTAGTTTTTTTTTTTTCCTCGAATGTCCTTCTCCTTTTTTCTCCACCACCCTTTATGTCCTTAATGATGAGCTATTCATATATTCACAGAAAAAAGGGGTTATGCTATGATGATGGTGGCGAGGATAGGTAGGGGTGGTGGCACAGTACAGAGAGCACTTATGGTGGCGGTGGCTGAAGAGAAGTGAGTGCTAGCTTCTAGGAAACAAGACCCAGAATAAGGGGAATTAGGAAGTGGGGGATTTTGACTTCCCACCTAGCAATGTGGTAGCTTTTGGATTGGAATTCAATTTCCTGTCCTACGATTGCATCTAAATACTACAATAATTTCTAATAACAATGTAATCTAACATACGTGAGAGATACGAGAGTTTTTTAGTATTTTATGTAATATATAAAATTTGTTTCAATAATAAACATATAAAACCTAATAAATCAATTTAATCAATCAAATCCAAAAGTATATGAAGTTGTCAGAGGGGAAAAAAATAATAATAAACAGACATCATGCTTTTTCTACATTTGCTTACGGTTATAAATTAATTTGGGCCGGCATCTAAAAATTAAATTACGTTAATGATTATTATATTGATTATGGAAAAATTCTTTATTTTCTCTGTCAAATTTAATTATATCTATTTATCTTCATTCAAAATCAATATTTCATTATTAAACTACATAATTTATTAATCTACAAGTAATAATAATATCATGGTTCTTGTTATAAAAATTTACAAAAAGAAAAATTATAATGTTTATGTTTTTATTTAAGGTACCTTTAATACAAAATATGTTCATTTACCAATTGCAATATCGCATTAATTAAAAAAGTTGAATAAATTTTTTTAAAAAAAGTAAAAAATAATTAATTGTAAAAAATGTTGAAATAAAACATATCCCCTACATGTCTTGTCGTATTTCCCATATATTCAAAATTAAATTTATATTTTTATATCACCACATATTCAATATAACAGAATGTGCGTGTGATTATTATTATTATTTGCATAAGGGTTAATTGATGAATGTTGAATTATATGAAGGAGCATTTATGGGTTTTTTTTTTTTTTTCGTTTCTTATTGTCGTGGTAAGGTGTGAGAAATTCAAGATCATATGTGCTGCAAATTTTTTTTCCAAAGTTCCTTACTATTGAATTTTTGGAGGAGGTCACAAGTACTAAGTTTCGACATTATTATAGGTGCGATGATATCCTTTTTGTATGCCATATTTGTGAATTTGGATGTAATGCATTTGATATATTTTTTGTAAACGTGACAAAAATTAACTAGAGGAGAAGAGAATAAGGAGGAAAAAGAGAGAGAGAGAGATTAGCGAATACGAGAGAAACAAAGCATTCAAAAATAAAGGAAGGAAATCGAATAGATTTTGATTATTATTTTGCATAACGGTGGACATGTTCTGTAAAATCTAGACACATCATACAGGTCTTACACCAATTGGGTCAATCAGATAACTTTGGGTCCTCATAAAATAGCCCAAGGACCTACCAAAAAGAGCCCATCGTCAGAGCTTGTTTTTATATTTCCAATCGGTTTTTATATTTTAAAATAAATTAATTATGTTTTTATATTTTAAAGGAATATCTAATCTATTCTTTTAGTGATGTTTTTATAAAAAAACATCACGTAATTTGCACATGATGAATTTTATTTCGAAAATATCTTTCAAATAAATAAACATGTGTAATTACTAACCTATTGTCGTCCTCTCTCCTAAGCACCAAACCCATATTCTTTTCTTCTTCTCCTTCATCCCTTCTCCCTCTCCTTTTCTTCTCCTATAAAAATCTGGCCAAAATAACACAAAAATCACCAATCCCATCACTTTTTCGACCACTCCTAAAATTTATATTTTTTCAGATCAAAACCTTCATATTTCACGTAAAATGAAATCCTAATCTATCGATCTATACCTTTAGACCTTAAACCGGATCTTTTTCACTTTTTCTTTACTTTTTTTATGCTAATATCAAGTCTTAATCTGCCATACAGATCAAACCCGTTATTTTTTTACCATTTCTTCTATTTTTCAGTCATCCATCACCTCAAACATCCATTAGTCGTCAAAATCCAAATCTAACACCATAAATCCGTAACTTTTCATGTGACAAATTTGATATTTTGTATTTAGTTGGAATCCAACCAAAATGAAAAAAAAAATTGTGATGAGTGATAACTTTCACATATTCATTTTGGTGAAAAGTATTTTCGATATAAAATTGATCATATGCAAATTATGTAATATTTTTTTCATAATGTTGTTGAAAAATATTATTAGATAAATAAATTAAAAATTTATGTAAAATATAAAAGTATAATTAACTTATTTTAAAATATAAATACTAATTAAATATTTATTCAATTATAAAAACAAGCTAGGCTATTTCCTTCTATTTTTCCCTATAGGTGTGCGTGTGTGTGAAGGACAACTTTTTTTATATATATATATATACGAGCCATGTTATATAAGAAAAGTTTTTAGCAGGTCCAGCCCATGCTAACTTGTTTGTATTGGGACTTGGGATTTCTGTTTTCAAATAAAATCAATTGGCTAAGGGGCCCAAGACCAACAGGTCGTGATTAATTGGATTGAATTAAGTTGGTATCTTGTGGAACCGGTCTACATAGTTTTTCAGTTATAACCGAATTAAAGGATGTTTTGTTGTAACCGACACGTCAGTTGTTGAAGTACACAAAAATTACCAATCGGCTAAGAGGCCCAAGACCAACAGGTCGTGATTAATTTTCACTGACGTTGTTTGTTAATTACCTTACACTTTGACCGTGAATTCTTGTGCATACTGCTAACATTGTTTTGATACTAGAACTCAACGCCATTGATAAGATGAAGCAGGAACTTTTTCCCTGCCACTCCACCTTCCAAATTAATGCTCATAATAACAACTTGAAAATTTTAGAAGAATGAAGAGAAAGAGAAAGAGAGTTGAGAGAAACAGTGAAGAGAAAAACTAATTTTTTTTCATTCTTTTATCTTAGTTATAGAAAATGTATATATATACCGACTTTAATAAATTAAACTAACTGACTTAATTAACTAACTAACATAACTAACAATTAATTAAGCTAATTAACTAACAAACTAATTAACTTTACATTTAGTTAAGCTCATTAATTATTAGATAGTTAGGTTAGTTAGGCTCTTTTTTCACATTCTCCTTCAAGACGAGAGACAACAAATATATTGATGATATTCATCTTGTTTAAAAGTAGTTTGAACTACCCCTAATGTAGACTTTTTGTAAAAATATCCGTTACATGTGACTGTATTGAAACATACTCGATTTGATGACGGCTGCCTAGGCTTTCTCTTTGACAAAGTATCAATTAATTTTTATATGTTTTGTTCTTTCATGAAATATTGAATTTTTGCATATATGTAAAGCTGACATATTATCACAATACAAAATTGCACATTGAATGCTTGAATATCTAAAATTTGATAACAGTGATAGCCGCCAAACAATTTCATAAGTTGTAAAAGTCATTGATCTATACTTTGTTTTTATTGAACTATTAGCTACCGATTATTGTTTTCTTGTTTTGTTTGTCTATGTAGATGACATAGTTATAGTTAGCGGTTCTATACATGAGATTGACGGATTGAAACAATTTCTGACATCCATTCACAAACCTTTTTAAACCCCCCCCCCCCCCCCCCCCCCCCCCCCCCCCCCGGTAAATACCCTCAAACATTCACGAATGATTCCTTTGTTTTTGGATTCCCTTTCCTTTTACAATTTCTGGATGCATTCATGTCTTTCTTGCTTCAATTTTTCGGTCATTACTCATTCAAATAGCCCAAATGATGTCGTAATTTGGATGCTACAAACTGATATTCTTCTTATTCCTATTATGATATATTTCCTAAAATTGGCAGCTTAATGTAGTAGTCTTTCATTTTGCAAGACGAACCTTGTGATATATGCGAAGTCGTAGGCTTTAAGCATTGTCTTTCAACTTGCTTTAGGTGCAGCATAGCTCAGGAGCATCTGTATGTCTACTTTCTTCTCTATTTCTCTATCTTTCATTTTTCTTTTTGCATTTCATGCAATTCTGTATGGATTTTGTTCTTGTTGTCTTGCCATATTAATCTAGCTTTATTTTACCTGTGTTGTTTCTGATGATCGTAACTAATGTTTTTGTATAACCTTTTAAACATCATTGAGCTACGAAGACCATAACGGAATGTTCAAGTATTCTAAATGCTGTCTTTTTATTTTTATTGAGTTGAATGGTCATCACTACATTAGCTTTTGTTTTAGCCCTTGTTTCTTTGTAAGCCTAGACTGCTGTCTGGTTATGGATTCGCATGGCTTATTGTATCGTGGTAGTTGCCCACTCCATTCAATTGGACCACAACAACCTCCCATCCAAACCTACCAGGAATTCTAAAACCAAAAATCAAAAGAAAAAGAGAGAAGAGAACCAAAAAGCAAACAAAAAAAAAAAATCCAGCTTAACAGAGAGACAAAGAAATAAGCAACACAGAAAATATGTGACCAATTTTTTTTTTAACCAAAATGATATAATACAAAAAGCCTTTTTTTTCAATGAAAAAAAAAAACATGTCAAAAGGAAAGAACAAAATGGCAAAGCCACACCTTGAGCATTATGGAATCTGGCATGGTTCTCAATGGGGTTTTGAGGCTAGGCAACTGCAACATCCTCCCTTTCCATTCTCTGTCTTTTCTTTTTTCCTTTTCTTCATAAAAAGAAAGAAAGAAAGCAAAAACGACATTGAGTCGTTAAACAGATAAAGGCCAAAACGATACCGTTCCGTTAACTACAAAAAGCTCTCTTTAATCATAAAACGGCACCATTTGTTATCGAAACTATGTCATTTCTTGCGTTACAATCAAAATGACATCATTTTTTCAACTGCAAAATATCCTCTAATTACTTGGAATTATTATTATTGTTGTTGTTGTTGTTATCGTTGGATATTACTTGGAAATTGATGTGCTAGACTAATCCCATCTTTTGAATCGACCACATAAATTGAAATCGAAATTACTCAAATCTCGATGGAAAAGTTTTGAACTCTGGGACTGCCAAATCATAAGCCACGTTATTTCCACTTGAGCCGACCCATGCAATTAATCACTTATCAGCTATCTTGAAAAATCTTACGCAGAACATAAAATTGGAAAAAGGAAAAAAGAAAAGAACAAAGTGGCTGCCAGAAATGTTCATTGGCATCCTTCCATCCAATATTCCAATAGCAAATTCTTTTCCTTCAGTCTATTCATTTTCACATTTGAACTCAAAGAGTCTTATCTTAAGCTTAAAGTAGTGCAAAACTGCTGGCCTGTTAGCAGAAGTTAGCCCAAGAACATACTACGACAATGCAGGGCTTAAGCCCACAATTATTGTGGAAACAAAACCAGCCCCAAAAACAAAAGAAGCAAGTTTTACCACAAAACAACCCTGATCCTTGTTCATCTCCATCATCTTACCCTTCTAAGGAAGGGAAAAAAAATCACAGATATGATTATTTTTTTTTGAGAATTTGAAGCATTATTAATTTTTTTTTTTTAGTATTAATGGAGTATAATCTATATGGATTAAGTTTGTGGATTCATTTTTGTGTTAAAAGAAGGGCAAAAGAAAACGAATAAAGTTGAACACCGGCATTCTAGCATGGTTGCCCACAAAATCCAAGAGATTACGGAATACACACGTGTAGATTACTCGTTTGTGACTGAACTTCAGTCAAGAGAATGATGATTTGTTCAGAAAGCGTAAAATAAGTTATGCTTTGCAAGTCAATATCAAGATTCATGTCAACATCTTTGTCTGTGTGAGGCAGCTGTTTTCCCTTACTGGCCAAATCATCGTCATTGATCTAATTAAGATACTGTTAATTTTATATTAATGAGTCAAGACATTAGATTCATTCATCTTCCCTAGGAACCAAGACGGATGCTTCTTTGTTTTAAACACAAGATATTAAGACATAAGTATATTGTTATTTTAATTTATCCGAAGCTTTGCAAAGGAAAAGAACCTTTTGACGCAGGAAATCAAGTTTCTCTTGGTCAGTACTGTTATTACTAGTCGTTAAAGAAAGTAATTGTCGGTGGGAAAGGTTCCTCTTCTTCCTTCAACGATGACGAAGCGATTTGACCTGTAAATTGAAAATTGGGATCACGTAAAAAAAGGATCACAATTCACCTACAACCACATTCGCGTGTAGGCTTGTTAAGTATCATCAAACAACAAACGCATTTGCTTAGCAAATATCAAATGATTAGAAGAAGAATAACAAAATTGAATTCGAATCACATACTAAAATTTACATTATCAGTTTCTAGTTATTCTAAAATTACATAAAAAGAGTTTTTGGTATGCAGATTTTTTAAATATCATTCTAAAATATGATTGCTGAAAATATAATTATTGGGAATGTGATTGTTGTATACGGTTGAAAATGAAATTTTTTTTAATGATATGACTTTATTGTGTTTTGTTTGTATTATAAAATTTATGAAAAAATCAAATAAATTTACTACTTTATTCCTAAAGTTTAAAATATGTAATTTCACAATATGAAGTTTTAAAATAATAATTATGCCTACAAGCACATGCATGTTACATTAATTATAACCACCAAGTAAAATAATTTTTAAAATATCATTCCTAAAGTTTTTTTTGAAGTGTTAGTAATATATATATATATATATATATATATATGAAGGTAATACCAGGGATATTAAATTATTTTTACTAAGTTGTGCTTACAATATAATATGACATCTATTGCAATACAGAAGAAGGGTCATGCCAGGAAGGATAAATTATTTTTACTACTTTTTGTTTTCTAAATGACACAACATTTATTACAATAAAATAATGTTAAATCATAAAAAGTAGAACTTATCACATTTAATGAGATAGTTATAATTATAAAATTGAGTGATTGATAAAATACCAATGGTATGATATCACGTTACTCGGTAAAGAATTTTAGTGAAAATTTAAGTATCTCGAAGAAAATTACTTCTATATACAGCACAACATTAAAAATCCATATATATATAATATTTTAATTTCCATCGAGGATTGCAATGAGAATTCTTATTTGCGAATTCATGGTTTTTTTATTTAGAAATTTTTTTATCTTATCCACTATCATTAATGTTTTCTTATCTTTTTTAGTTGCCTTTTGGCGGCAGGCTTTTCCTCAACTTTCACCCCCGCAAAAGAAGAAAGCAATTAAAATATATTACCTTTTTCATATAAATTAAATCTTCCTTTAGCTCCTCTTTCTTGGGGATAATTGGGATTAGGCCTTCTATTATTATTCTTTGCCCACATTCCGAGCTCAATGCCTACCAATGCACCTAAACCAGCTTTAATATCGAAGAGTTTATTATTTAATAGTTTCTTACAAAAAGAGATCACGAGTTTAAATTTTAATAAATTAATTTTTTTAAAAATCATGAATGTGTGATTTGAAAAAAAAAAAAAAAAAACCAACCTCAGTTTTACCTATCCATTAAGCCTTTATACAATGATGTACTCTTGACATCATTCTAAAAGAATTAACAAAGTTTTACCTAACTGATTGCATTATTTAATATTATTTAAATAGGTCATTATCTGAGTACATGAAGTTGAATCTAATATATATATTAATTAATTAGCACGTTTTCAAATTCTTATGATTGTTGAAGCTTTGCAAGATCCAGCTGTTTTCAGATTCTTTGGCACATAAACAGTTGAGTTGCTTTGGATGTTTTTGTGTTGGTAGAAACATCTAGATGTTGAATGTCTAAAGAAAGTTCCCCGTGCTCCCCGCAAAATCAAAACCTATAGATTTTATCCTCATATTTTAAAGTGATTGTTTTATTTTTTATTTTTGTTTGTTCTAAAATGATTGAATGATCAAATATCTGAATGAAAAAGTTAAACATGACGATCTCTATTTAGAATAAAGTGATTGTTTTATTTTTTTTTATATAAGAGATTATATATAAGAAGTAAAGAGAAAATTTTAATTTTTTTTTTAGTTTAGTTGGATATATTCAAAAAAAAAATTGACAGAATTTATTGTTTTTTTCTATTTCTTTTCCAAAAAAAAAATATATCTATATTAATTTGATTCCAATTCTTGAAAAATTAATGTAGGGTTAATTAGTTTATTAATTTGTGATGGCGAGTGGATCAATAAAGACAAGACGCGCAAATATAAGTTTGGTGATCCTACTGTCCCACATCATTTTGTTTCAGTATCATGCGTTTTTTTTTTTTAATCTAGTTTATGAATAATCAATAGCATACTGAAGAATAATTTCTCAAATTCTTAAAATTTTGTTCTCTTAACTAGTAGTATAATGAATATTCTCAGAGAAAAAAAAACTAGTATTATAATAACTTAATTTTCCTTGAAAAATAGCAAAATGGGGTACTATGTTATAAGTAAATTTTCAAGCATATATCACCATTAATTAATTCCTATTACCCAGTTGTGGCTGCTTTACATACAATCAATGGACAGTCGCACATCTCGCTTTTTGGAAATTTTCCAAGTTCGTACGACGACTTTCTTTCTCGAGTAATTATTATCTTCTCACTGTTCCTTTTTTTTTTATTGCCTAATTTTCTTAAATTTCTTTTTTTAGAATTGTTTTTCTTTTGTTGTCAGAGCATAACAAATTGAAAAATGACGAAATAAAAATGATTAAAGCCCCTCTTCTATGTGAATTTGATCAAATCAATCCCTCTGCAATAAATCTGATCTGACCAAATCAATATTGCACTTCCAGTTTTGTCTACATAAACCCTTTTGTCCATCCTTTATGTCAGGTAAACCAATGTCCGTTCTTGATCATATCATGCTGAGTGAGATTGCATTTTTAAAAAAATTAGGGAAAAAAAATCTCTCAAAGATTTTAATGTCGATATTAAACGAAAGAGTGCTAAGATAATAAAATAAAACCAAAATTGTCAAATCTTATCAATGATAATCCACGGTCGAGTGTATTGATAAGTTTAGTAACGTTGATATTTTATTGTTTTAATCCTCTTTTTTTGAAAAAAAAAAAACACCATCCGGCATGGGATTGTTTCACTAGATTTACACAGAGCAAGCATATGAATAACTTCAAAATTTTTGACGAAGTACAGAATTTTTCACTGTTGGGTTCTCACCATCCCAATCAATATCGGTGCGGCCAGGGTGGATGCGGCACTTGATGCAAAGCAGAGAGAGACCATTAAGGTGGCAATGGAGGTCCGGCAGCCAACGGTTTTTTGGGCTTTTTACCTAAGTATTCATATTCCATGTTAAAAGTAGAACTAATCATATTCAAAGTAAGAACGATAAAATTTAACCCATTCGAATAAATTCGAACTCTGCATAATAAAAAAAAAAATCTTTTAAAAGCTAGTTTGTTTATTACTAAACCCACAACTTGTTTGTTTATGTGCCCAATTCAAGCATTAGAGTTTGATATCTACTAGTGTGTGTGTGTATATATATATATATATATATCTGTGTGCGTGTGCAATGTTGAGGTTTTTTGGAAGTGAGTTTATAAAAATATTATATAAGATTAGCACCATTCTTCCATATAATTGCCATATAGTTGATGATGATACCAAATAATTTCATCAGTTAAGTTTGGGAAGGTGCTATTAATTAACAATTAAATAGTTTAATCAAACACCATTAAATTTTGTATGCTAGTAGGACAAAATTTGCCCTTTAAAAAAATATTGCAGGATAACTTATATATATTTTGGTTTTATCTTAAAAGATATATTCATCTCATATCAAAAATAAGATAAAATTTAATCTATTTTGACAAATGCAATTTTAAGATTCAAATCATATATATTGATAAAAATTTTATCTAAAAATCAACATATTACTGAACCTTCAATTTATTGGTAACTTATTATTTATGCATCGTGCACTATGCTACAATTAATTTCTCAAATTCTTAAAATTTTGTTGCTTTAAGTAGCTAGTTCTTTAATGACTCTTTCGCAAAAAACACTAGTGTTATAATGACTTGAGGAAAAAAAAATAGCAAAATGGTATTATATGTAAAAATTTCAAGTAAATCAACTCTATTTCCTATTATATATCCATATGTGGCTGCCTTACGTACAATGGACAATTGCATATCTCACGTACAGTTTCCTTTTTTTTTTTTTTTTGATAATTTGGTTTGTTTTTGAGAGAAGAGTACTCTGGAATTTGATTAACAGATATTGGTAAAGTTATATAAGGTATTTTGAAGACTTTTCTAGATTCCACGTATTATATGATTCCGTCATATCATAATTCATTTGACATCATTTTTATCTTCCTCCGAGCATAATTAAGATCTCTTGGCTAAGTGGGTCCAAATTTCTTCCACCTTGTTTCAAAACGCGTTATTAAACAGGAACTATATATTAATTTGATAATCCAATATTTGTAAGTTTCTATACTTAGTATCAAATCTGGCTTCCAAATTGAATCTTTATAAAAAATTTCATGATTATTATAGCATTCATACTATGTAGAGTTTACACTTTCCATTGTTTCATTGGTTACTCCCATGAAAATCTTATAATTTCCTAACAATCAGAAGAAAGGTTATGAATTCATATTCAGAAAATGAAGCAAAATATCTTTATCACCTCGGCAACTTCTTGGAAGTTCACTTACTTCTCTAGTGATAATCCACGTTTCATCAACTAAGATATAATCTCTACATCTATATATAAGTTAATGACAGTACCTCGTACCTGCAGCATATTCATGTCATTCCCTCAAACATCACGGAACCACTAAAAATCTTTGTGCGTTAAATCAGTGTACTGTCACATGGAAGGGAGGAATGGTACCGGTAACCATGGTGGTCTAGCTTCTAGCTACAGAGGGGTACGAAAGAGAAAATGGGGCAAATGGGTGTCGGAGATACGTGAACCTGGGAAGAAAACTAGAATTTGGTTAGGCAGTTTTGAGACACCAGAAATGGCAGCAGCTGCTTACGATGTCGCAGCTTTACATTTTAGGGGATGCGAAGCAAAGCTTAATTTCCCTGAATTGGCTGGTAGTCTACCAAAGCCAGCAAGCTCCCATGCCGACCACATTCGCATGGCCGCCCATCAGGCAGCAATTTGCCTTAGGCCGCCCGCTACGTCTGAGTCGTCCCAAGGTGGTAGCTCCAGCTCCAATGTCGGGCCTATCACGGTTAGGCTCTCTTCAAGCCAAATCCAGGCCATCAATGACTCACCTTTGGATTCACCAAAGATGTGGATGCAAATGGCAGAGATAGCAACGCAAGAGGAGTACTCCATGATGTTCTATAATGACAACATGGAAGACGATGATCAGTGGGATAACAACCAAACAGATTCTCTTTGGGATCCTTAATTAGATAGGGAGGTCCATGAATATACTCCATAACGTACGTGATTCCTTTCGACATATGCTGATTTGCATGTGTTAATTGGCCTTCTAAACTTTTACCTAAATATATGTGTTTTTTTAGTTACATGTATGTGTTACGTACATCCAACTAAATTTTTATCCGGTAACTACATATAACTCGATTGATATTTATGTCTTTTCTATAGAAAAGATTATGAGTTCAAGAATATCTCTTTCGAAAAAATAAACAAATAAAGAAAGAGTTAATAGTAAACAAGATGCAGCTTTCCACTTGGTTATTGGTTCCTAGGAAATGAATAAGCAAACAGCGAGAGTGCTCTCAAAGGTTTCTGGAAAAAATAATAATAATTACATTATAAATATATTAATTTTTTATTTTTTTTAATTAAATATATGAATTTTATTTACAAGTGTGTCAATTTTTTTAAAATTATCGATCCAATATTTAAATTTAATTTTTATTAATTGTTTCGTAATTTGATTATGTATATTTTATTCTAAATTATTAAATTATGATTTTATAATTTAAAATTTATACACTCAGATGAAAGAATAATAGAAATTGAAGTAATGCAATTATTCCTAAAGAAAAATATAGTAAGAGATAACACTGTTTCATGTAACAGCATTGAAAGAACTACGGAAGGCGATCGGGTTTTCCAAATGAGGTGGAAAACGGTTTACGCGGGTCCCATTTGAAATCCAAGTCATCAAGTTTGTTTTTGTCAGCTAGTTGGGATTTCCTGTAGTAGATATTGACATGGAGGAAAGTTTTTTTTTTTTTTTTTGTGATTTATTTTATTTAGATGATCAATAATTTTTATGTTGGTATTGCATCTGCCATTGGAATAAAATTTATTCTTATAAGGCGTTCTCTGTCTACATCTTGTAATTTCCTTAGTTATAATTATTGTAATTTTTTCATGGATGTGGACTAATATTAGATCATATGTATTTTTGATTTGGAAAAAAAAAAAAAAACGAGTCAAATGTACAGTTATATTGGGCCTAATCTAGTGGGCTTGTTAACATCTTAGACATTCAGGATTTTCAACATGAAGTTGAAAAATCCTCCTGCTACAGATATTAAAAGGGGAACTCTTAGGTGTCCTTGATGGAATGAAATGATTGAAATAAAAATAAAAGCTTTCTCATTCGATAAATGTTTTGCTTGAAAGGAGTAAAATTAAAATTAAAATTAAATATACTTCTATTTTTATGGGAAGTAGTGAAAATAAAAATAATAAATGAGATTTTTTTTCTTTTTCAAAATAATGATAATTTTTGTTTTTTATTATTGCTTGCTGACTATTTTTACCGTCATTGCCACCTGCATCACTAGTTTCACCACCGCACTACCATCACCTACACTTCCATTAATAATGGTGAAAAAAAATTAATTTTTATTTTCACCATTATCATATCATTATTATTCTTTGACTCCATTTTTATTGTACCATCACTATTATTATTTTTCTTTAATTGTAGTGCTAACATTAAATTTTTCGAAATATATTATTATTGTTATTATAATATCATTATCATCACTACCACCACTCGCTATTATACTAACTAAAATCATAGTCGGTGAAATTATTTTTTAATTATTTTTCTTACTCATTTTTTTAAAAAAATTAAATTTTTTTTTATTATTATTTCAAATACAATATTATAATAAAAATATAATTTTTTATTCTGATTCATATATTTTTATTCTAAACCTTTCATTCTTAATAGAATTATATGTTATTAATAGGATTATGAATACTTATATAACAGATTAAGTTTTCAATCTATCATTATATTCTAAAACAAGACTATCATGCTTTTATTATTTTAATAAGTTTTTAACCCATTTTTTCAATGACAAAACCATTGGAAGCTAACCATGTGATTTGCGCATGATTTTTTAACAAAAATGCCCCTCGTGTAATTTTTTTCTCTTTTCTTTTCTTTTTTTCCTTTTTCATCCTCTTCCTCTCCTCTGCATCATGGCTGACAGTCTCTTTCTATCTCTGGTGGAGAGAAGAGAAAGGTGAAGAAAAGGGCAAAAAAAAAAAAAAAAGAAGGGTTAAGTTGTTTTTTTTTTCAAAAAAAAAAAAAAAAGGGATTATGTGCAAATCGCAGAGAAAATTTCCGTGGTTTTGTCACAAAATTGATTCAAAAATAAATTAAAAAATTTATTAAAATAGTAAAAATATAATAAAATCGATTTAGAATACAATAACAAATCAAGGTAGAGGCTATCTACCCTTCTTAATAATCAAAAGAACTTTAAAACCCACTCTGTATTCTTCGGTTATCAATATAATTTTATCTTTAGCAAAAAATAAAAATAAAAATGACACTTTAAAATTTCTCTACAAATAGGTCACAGATCCCCTCCTATCTTATTATTACGTGTCTGTCCCGTTAAGAGCCACGAATCCAATACCAGAGCCAAAATATAGAGTTTAGTGGCAAAAACTAAACTGACTCGTATGGTGACATGAAGTCATGTTTAGCGTTCTCTATCTACTTCTTTAGTTCTCTACTATACATAAAGACTTATAATTTTTAAATTTCTTGTTAATGATTTTTCAAAACACCTTTTTAAGTCAAAAGTTATATTAATTTTATCAAATCTCTTTAGAAGAAACTATTTTTTTGTACTTAAAATGTAAACCGGTTTTATTTTTTTATTTAATTAAAATATTTTAAAACATTGAATTAGAAAAGCAATAAAAATCGAGTTTGTAATCATTCACTTATTAAAACTCTCATATTAAAATATAATAAAATTCATATTTCTACCAAAAAAAAAAAAAGGTTTGAGTTTTGCGTTCATACACATTCTTCGTTCTTTACCAATACCAATCCTTTAACTTAGCAAGCAGAATACGCACGCAAGTTTTTCCTTGTCTTCTCTCTTCACCGACCTCGAACCCCTGACATGATGGCTTTGGGATAAAAACCAATGCCGTGTTGCCAACAGAACAGAGATGAGGCCGATAAACATGCGCACAATTATACATGATTACAATTATATTATATTTGTATTCGTTGATAAAAAAAAAAAAAATTGTCTCAGCGGGACATCCGATAAAATTAGAAAGAAAAGAAATTTTATTTGCATAGATGTGCTGCTTGCTGCGGCCGGCGAATAGAGGAAGCCGTACTTGAGTACGGCGTGGGAATTGGAGACGGTGCCGCCGGTATACTTAAATTAATAATTCACAAAGTTTCGTACTCCTATTTTATATTTATGTCATTAGGTGGTGAGATAAAAGGATATATTTGATTTGACTTTTGAGAACTGAGTACAGCTTTGATCCAGCTGGTTCAAAGTTTACCTGGCTTGAAAAGTAAACATCATTACGAAAATAGAATAAATTAACAAATAAAAGGTCGCCAAGACACGTCATGTGGAACGGAAAAATATTTATTTTCTAGATCCGGACAATTCCCAACACACTACGTGTAGTGTAGCCAAGTTCGATGGTGTGAAATAAAATCGAGTAGTGATTAAACAATTAATATAGAAAAGAAACATATCTTTTACCAGTCAATGAATGTTTGATCATCTGATGAATCGTCATGTAATTGACACAATTCTTTTGATTGATGCAACTGTTCGTCAGTTGTCCATTTCCTTTGGATTCTCTTGATGCTGTCAAGAACTTGCTTGGTCATGTTCTTTAAGGTGCATTTGGACTTCCTGTGCTTATAGGGTAAACATTTTCTTTAGTTGATTATAAGAGAAATAGGAAAACATACTTTTTGTATTGATTTTTTTTCTTTATCAAACTATCTACAGCATGTGTTTTCACTAGTTTATGAAGAATAGTTTATTAGTCATCGATTTAGTTAAATGAACATGTGTATTTTTAAATTCAATCAATTAACTATAATTTTCAAATTAAAAATTCAATTCAACTAATTTAGATGGTGTTTGAAAAAATTAAAAATTAAGTATTGAATCTGTTAATTACTAAATTTAAATACTAAGTAATTAAGTATTGAATATGCTCGTTAATAAACTATTTGATATTTACAAAAATTAAGTATTCAATATAATAAGATTGTTTGATAAATGTTATTGATGAACATATTAAAATTATATATATAACAATTTTAATCTTATAATTATAATTTCATATATATATATAAACTTTGGTGCTTGAATTGATAAAGTTATTCTACGAAAGTTTATCCATCCAAACACCAAAAGTTTTTTAGTGCGATCCAAATCAATCTGCTATTGCTTGGACTAACCGGAAGCAAATAAAAACTAAGGTCGATCTCTTTTGCACAGACCCTTGCTTCACAAAGAAATTGTTTATGAACAGGTGAATTAGAAAACACTAACCATTTGTAAATGTTTACCTTTTCTGTTGCAGTTAATGGTGTAGGTTCATTAGAAAAGCTAATGTAAGCATAAGAGATACACGGTGCAGTAAATTTCATAGAGCCAAAGAGATCTTGATTATCCGAGAAACCATGATTGTTTAGTTTCTTGTTCAAGTTATGCCTTAGGTGGTTATGTGTACTCTGTTGGAGCAGAGGAAGGTGCCGGCGTTGATATGGTTGAAAAAAGCTTGGATTTTGATGGTGTTTTCTTGAGAAAGATTGACTGAGAATTGCATTAAATGAAAATTCAAGAACTTGGCTTGGTGAATTGTGTTTTGGTTACAAAATTTGGTGAACTGGATACTCTATAAATTTTCACATGTTACTATCGTTATCGAAAGCTTATTTTATATATTTTTCTTCTATCTTTTAAAAAAATATCAAAATAATTAAAATATGTTAAGTTTGTGATTTTATGGTACAATATGCTAAAAAAAGAGATTCATTTCTTGTCACGTGATAATAATTAAGCAGTATATCTTACAACCCATTAGGTGGAGTTTTTGGTCCACCACACTCACATGGGAAGAAAGAAAATTGAACAATTTCTTCCGAATGTGACTTGACAGATATATTTTTTGTTATATGATAACAATTGAGCAATACATCTCACAACCTATCAGGCGAAGTTTTTTACCCACCACACTCGTCTCGAAAGAAAGAAAATTGAACAACTTAACAATTTCTCCTGGATGCGATTCGATAAGATACATTTCTTGTCATGCGATAATAATTAAGCAGGACATCTTACGACTTATTAGGCGAAGTTTTTGATCCATCTCACTCACCTGGGAAGAAAGAAAAATTGAACAACTTAATAATTTCTTCCGAATGTGACTTAACAAGATACAATTTCTTTTCATGTGATAATAATTAAGCAGTGCATCTTATAACTTATTAGGTGAAGTTTTTGACCGGTAATACTCATCTGAGAATAAAAATGGCAATGGACGGATACATGACCCATTAATTCAATTTTTTATCCCATTTATAAAAAAATATCTTTCCAATTATCTATTAATAAATCATCATATAAATTTTTACCTAGTATATATCTGACCCACATTAATTTACCAACCCATTTAGTACTCACTCAATGTCCGCTAAAAATAATTTATAAAAAATTCATTTTAATCCCTATAATTTTTTAAAAAAAATTGGTCCTTGATTTTTTTTTTTTTTTGCATTTTGATCATTTCTTTATAAGTTTTTGATCCTTAAAGTTTTTGAAAAAAATATTTTGATTCTTAATTTTGAAAGTTCATGCAATGAGATCCATATATATTAATTAAAAAATTAAAATAAATTAATGATTATTAATAGGATAAAAAATGAGTACGTATATTTTGAAATCATATTAATTAATGTATATATTTTTTTATTCTTACTTATTTAAATACCTATACCTATTAAATATTTTTAATAAATATTTATAAGATAAGATAAAACGAATATTTATTTTATATCCGGCATAATGATATCTCTATCTAATAAGAAATTTTTTTTGAATAACTCAACAATTTCTCTGCAAAGCGACTTAACAACCATAATCCACATCATGCATTAGTATATTAAAAATTGTGTGAACAATTAAAGTCTCGTACAAATTTTATATCCAAATGTCACGTGTTGTTATTCTTATTTTCTATTTTTTTCGTATTCCATTTTCAAATGGTAGTTTAAGCTTGCTTGACTCTCATTAGTCTTTGACCTTCCCTTTAGTTTTCTTTTATTTTTCTCCGTCTCTATCTACAGTCTCAGCTGTTCAGCAAACACGTGGGAACGGGCAACTCGTGGGGAGTGAAAAATCAAACACTGAATCCAACCCCAAAATAAAAAATGGCATTTCTTGGGATATTAATGATTGTCATATAGACTATGTTGCCAGGTTTTGTTAGATTGGAGTTTGACTTAGGTTTGTTTTGAACTTGACTCGTTTAAATTAATTAATAAACTCATAAATAAGTAAATAAGGTTCATTTTTTAAAATTAATTAATGATTGTTAGGTTCATTTTATGTGTATTTTATTTTTAAAAAACTAATATAATATTTCTTTTGAAAAAAAAGCTCTTCACAGTTTTATTGCGATGGTCCCACACGGTGATAAGTTTGTGACGTTCAAGATAGGGTCTTGAAACAATATTAACATGAAAATTAAAAGAAACAAAAATAATAATTTGATATATGCACTATTTGAATTATATTGATTGAGTCATGTATTTTTCGAATTATCTCAATTGCGTATCTCTATTTTAGTCTCACATAAGATATGTGTCACGCATTTAACAGGTATCAAATCTAGTCAACTTATGAATTAATAGAATTATAATAGAAGGGTGAAAACAAAATAAAATGAAGAACTTATGGACTCAATCAATATGAAAAAAAATACAAGATCTTAACAAAAATAACTTAAAAAATACATGGACATGGGCAAAACCCAAACTTGGAGCGCCTAATTATTTATAGCATTACAGAATAATTTGTGGAATAAGAAAATTGAATTTAATAAAAGATAAAAAAATAATAAAAAAAATATTATCGATTTCTCACCATCAAAATTTTAGTACTGGCATCAAGTAAATACTCGACATCGTGGCTTACTGGCCTAGCTTTTGAGGTCAATGAAGTAATTGCCTCATGGGTCTTAGCAAACCGAATCGAGCGAATGTATTCTTAATGTTAAAAAATAAGTTTGAGCTGAATTCCTAGGATGCTGAGTTTCAAGCATTTCAAAAACAATTAATCCAGCTAATTTCCCTAAAAATAATGTCTGTTTGCACAATTTAATTCGTTAACTTAGACTTCTGCATAGGATTATAGGAGTGTGTCGAAGGTAGTAGACATTAAATGATGAATTTCATTTTTATCCTTGCACTCTTAAAGATTCACAAATCAATTAATCCTTCACCTCTATTCCTATAAATATTTTTTCAATGTTAATTAAGAGAAGAAATTCAATAATTAAAAAAAAGAGGTCCACACACGTAGATACACACTATAGAACAAGTAACTCCAAAATCTATTTTTTTGTTATGATTTTTCGCAAGTAGCTAGCTGCTTAATTTTTATTTGTATGATGATTAAATATGTAATTAAGTAGTTAATTTAGATTGACAATGACAATATTCTAGTCTATTATAAAATGAAGCTATGTAGCAATATATAATATCCGGTCATTCATTCAATTGAAATACAAGAAATTAAAAAGGAGCACATGCAAATTTGCAACGCATGATTGCCAGCATATTCCGCACTTAATGTAATTACTAGGAAGCTCCCTTTCTTCCGAACAAAGTCCCCACATTTGAATCACTCCCATGATTTATGACATCTCACATCTATCTATATAAGCACACATACTTTATCTTATAATCACACACTCTCCAACTGCAAAAACCTACACTGTAATTCATTAATCACCTTTACATTATTGCCATAACACCAATCAGACGACAAAACTGTGTACAATGGAAGCAAGAAGCAGGGACGACCATCTTGATATTACTCTTCCTCCGAGATATCGAGGTGTTCGGCAACGAAAATGGGGGAAATGGGTATCCGAAATCAGGGAGCCTGGTTCCAAAACAAGAATTTGGCTCGGAAGTTATGAGATGCCTGAAATGGCCGCGGCCGCTTATGATGTGGCAGCATTGCACCTTAGGGGACGTGGGACACCACTAAATTTTCCTGAAATGGCAGATAGCCTCCCCCGGCCAGTGAGCTCTAGAGCGGAGGACGTGCAAGTGGCAGCACGAGAAGCAGCTTTGCTGTTCAGGAGACCAATACAATGTTCTGATGTAGTAAGTTGTGGTGATGGTAGTACAGGTCCTGTTAGGGTTGGGCTGTCACCGAGCCAAATTCAAGCTATCAACGAGGCACCACTGGACTCACCACGAATGTGGATGGAGTTGGCTGGGGCTGTTTTGTTGGGAGAGCCTATGGCCATGGACGATGGAGTTGGTGTCGAGTTTTTTAAACGGGAGGAAATGCAAGTACAGGACTCCATTTGGGATTACTAGTTAACTTAATTTTGTAAAAATATATAGCAACCTATCTAGTATTAATGGGTTTATTCACTTCAACATATAGACAATTCGTTCACTACCTACGGCTCTAGCAACATCAACCATTTCCTTTTGCGGGCAGCCGAGCAGAATTGTTTTTGGAGGTCTGGCGATCTAGACAAATTTTTGTTAAAGTTGTTAAAGAGAGCTTCAATACGTCTTATTTCTGTTTTAATATTTTGCACTAAGTGCAATGTTTTTGCTTCAGTGTAGAATATAAAACAATGAAGCTGGTTCCATTCATCTTCAGTGCTTAATGGGTTATTCAAGCAAATTCAACGTTATTGTAATCAAGAAAGGCATCTGTCTATATATAACTTTTGATCAACTGTTGCTCCTGATGTATTCGGATCATGACAGGAGCCACAGCATTTTTCTTTTTGCTTTTTTTCTTCTAAAGAATAGGGTCGAGTTTGGAATTGAATTGGACACGTAGGTTTTAGCAATGCCGATTCTACTTGAAACTCGCCAGGACGGTGATGTGTCATTAAATTAACTTCATTTGACAGCAAGGAAACAATGACTTTACCTGTATTTGCTTAGGGGCAAAAGATCTTTGGTTAGATTGCGTTCACATTTTGTCCCAAAAACAAGCTACTACTGTCCAAAATACAATTTTCTTGTATACGTGGCAAATTTAGAAAGTGCCATTAGTGCAGCTGTGCATGGTTTTAGGAATTCAGTTCTTTCTTATGTTCTTCATAAAAGGATGGATCGTGTTTGACTGTTTGTAAAAGGTACTAAAAGCAGAGTTTTATTGTTTATTAGTTTAGGATCTAAATCCATATGCATAAAAATTTGGGGACCAAAATATAATTTTGGCTATTGGGCGTTGCGGACTACTTGGTGGGTTTCTTTTCTCTATAAAAATTAGCGGCAAGCATTGGCGCCCAATTTTGAAAGTTCGCGTTTGATTTCAGCTCAAGCACTTCTCTCTCTTTCTCTCTTCTTTTTTTTTAAAAAAAAATTTTCCCAACTCCCAAGCCTCGCACTTTTCTTCTCTCGGGTTAAGCCTTTTCTCTCTATTTCGGTATCTTATATTCTTGTCGGGAAGAAGTCTACTATTTTATTGGGCCCTTTTGGGGCTAGAATCGACCTGTTTGAAAAAAAGAAAAAGTGAAGTTCTGATCTGATGTTGACTCGTTTGGAAGAACGGTTGAATATCTGGGTTTGACGTGTGTGGTTTAGTGGCTTTGTTGGTGGAGATGTCCTAAGTATTTTGACGGTCTTTTTGGGTTTCTGATCTCGTTAAACTTTAGCCAAGCTCTCCAACTGTTCGATGTTATGCTCCATTGGCTTCTCTTAGATAAAAGATGCTACTTGGTGTACCTTTCTATTTTAGAGTCGAGAGCCTTTTGCTACAATAGTTGTATCGCCTGTGCTTTCGATATTTCACTGGATGAATTCCTATTCCAATATTTATGCGGTGCCAATAATAGTCGATCGCTGGCTATTGGAATTTAAACCCACTATTTGTTTTATTTTGCTGTTTTGAGTATTACTCGAGAACTAACTACATTGACACTAAGTGGGACATTTTGATCTTGAGGATATGCAAAAGCCAAGGTGCTCGTAACAGAATCCTTCTTTATTGGAATTGGTTCAGAGAGGAATCCTACAAGCTACTGTAGCGCTGGGCGATCATTTCTAGCTGTACCCAACCAAAGTCAAGCCTTCAAAATCTTAGCTGATGGTGTATAATTGAAAGATTGACAAATTGTGATTGATAAAAAACAAGCAAGATTTGGAGAATAGCACGAAAGTGATGTGAATTTATTGCTTAACGTATAGAGCTAATAATTATATTTGCCAATAGGAAAAAAATTCGTGGTAAGATATGGAAGTTCCATTTATTCTGTGCATCCATATTCTCCACAGCTACAAATCTCTTTATATTTGTACATTGTTAACCCATTTCTTTTAACAATGAAATCGCTTGATTTATCAAAATCAAGTTTTGTTTATATGCTGATAATGGAACTTATCTCAGAAAGAGCTTTCACTAGACCACTTTTTCTCTCTTCTTTAAGGTTGTTGATGCAAGCAAACGATCCCTAAAAGGTTATGGATGATGATTAGATATTGATTCTAATCATGGCGTAAGGAAAGCATTGGTACTACAAGTACAGTAGTATGATACTTTTGGCCCCATTCCTTGAGATTTTCTATAATTTATGGAGTTTTTTAGCTGTGTGTTTCACTCTTTGTTGACACTGTCGTGGCCTTCCTATTTAGTATGTGATTCTATCCAATACGAATTGCGTATTTACGATCTCAACTGAGACCACAGGCCACAGTCAATGAAAAGTGTTGGATTAAGGAGACAGGCAGTTGATTTTGGTCAGCCCTGTAAAACAAGGGCTTTATGCCAGTCATTCTTGAAACTTTAATAATTCTGTCTTTTGGAAATTATATATGCAAAATTTTGTCTTTTTGTCAATTGTCTATAAGTTGCATTGTGGCTTCTCTTGCACTTAGTATTTTAGATTTATAAAAAATCCTTTGACATGTCAAGGTAAATGTACTAATTTCAATGAAAAGCCAGCAGAAGCGATTCCTGTTAAGAGTTAAAACCTCAAATTCAACAATACAGAAGTTCATTAAGTCTATACCTTCACCGCCAACCAATGCTTTATCATTGATTCAGGAAACAATGCATGTTATGATTTCGACTTGTTTATGCGATCTGGTCTACATGATATCATACCCCTTGGTTATATATGTTACTATTGCTGATTAGTGAATCCATTTTTTCTTTGCAGGAGGCAACTTAGATACTGATCTTGATCGTAAGAGCTTGGGTGCTCGAGAGGGAAATATACCAAATATTTTGCCCAGACTTCAGAAATATTTTCCGAAGGATACTTGTTGGTGATTGACCTGCATAATAGTTGATAACGTCACATTCTTCAGGTATTAACTATAGTTGCAACAATTTCCTAAAAGATGCTTATCTCAAGCCTGCTCCAGCTGGCTTTTTTACTTTTAATATCTGACTTAATGTAGGGCAATATATCGAGTCCAATAATCCAATCCAACAAAGCATGATTCCAACAGTTAACAATTGTGTGTTTGCATTTCCTGCTCTTTTGGGCCACATCACTGGGCTGAAATAAGAGCCCATACTGTTTTCCTTGATATGGTTGAAGTTAGGATGCAAGAGATCTTAGTTAGAGTTGTGCAATTAGTCTTAGACATTAATTGTGGTTGGAGTGTTGTGGTTCGCATTGAAGAAGAATACATGATTATTTTGTTACAACATCTAAAAGAATCAACTTTTTGGGTCATGTTTAGCCCATCATCTTATTGACTCTGCTGTCCCTATTCCTGCTGATTCTGATGGCTTGTATTTCTTAACATCTTTGACAAATCTATCGATCCTACTCCATGGTAAGGCTCCGCAAGTTTTAACAATCCAGAATTCACACATCACATTGCCCTGATGTGTGATTTCTAGATTCTCTGTGTACAACGTAGACTTATTTGCAACTTTAACACACATTTGTTTTGTGACGAAAAGATGCAGGTATTCTTTATTTATTTATCACTATACGAAATGAAGTAGCGCCTGGTACGCTAAGGTCAACCAATGTTCGAACCTGGAGCCTTTCTTTCTCGGTCGTCTAGCTTAATCTTAATCTAAGTTAAATTCCGGGACTCTACGCTTTCTTAAGCTTGCTAATTCCTAGAATGAGTTACAGGCTTGTTGATTCGAGTTTAAGCCCCTATTTCGAAAGGGCAATGATGCTTGCTACCTGGGTGGCAAATAAGCGAATAGTAGAGTCTTAGGTATCTAGGCTTTGAAGGAAGGAAGGAAGGGCCTTCCATGCTTATGGGCTTTCCCTAAAACAAAGAGTTGTGAGGTACTACTCTGTATACGAATTCCTAACCTCTCACCCTGCTCACCACGCCGATTCTTCTCTTTGATCCTTTCCTCGCCTTAGCAGCACTTCAATTTAACTTGCACAAACCATAGGGAAATGTAGATTAAGGAATCAAACCATTCCTGTGGGGAGTAAGCTGTCCTGTGAAAAGCAATCTGGAATTTCCCTTCCCTGTCCTGCAATTAAGAAGGGTAATACTATAATAGGAACACTCATCTCTGTTATTGTCAGGTACGACTCCATGTATCATTAGAACTTGCGTCAAACCATTGCGAAGAATTTAATTTCTAGAACTCTATGTGAACTAACTTAGGCCCAAATGTATCGGCATAGTTTGAGAAGGCAATTGCACGTGTCATGGTTAAAAACTAAAGCCAATTTCCCTTGGGCTGAAATTTGGAGGTCCATTTCCGAGAGGTGATAATTAACCAGTTACCTACCCTTCCCTTGAAGCTTAGTTTATTGACAACCAGTTGATCAATATTTCTAGTTCTACAAAATGAATGCTTATAGATGGGAACGCATTAACTGGTAATCAAGACGGATGACAAATTATTTCAACTCTTCCTCAAGACCAGACTATGGGGGGACTATCACTTTCCCTTCTAATAATTTCTCTACTTCGAAATAGCCCACTACCGCAACTCAGCTATTTGGGTACAACCATTGTTATTAAACAGAGTCCGAACCACGATTAGGTTAAGCTATTAAATTATTGGATCAATGATTCAACTTATAGTTTATCGGTTGAACTTCTTACTTGGTTATTGGGTCAATAATTTAGTCAATAGATCACTAGTTATATTGTTAAACCAATTATATAAGGATTTTGCACATATTAAGATTCTGTACAATTTGAATTTTTTTATTAAGACTCTAAGTTTTTTTTAATCCAATTTAAAAGTTATATTCTTATGTTGTTGTTGTTTTAGATTGTAATGTACCATGTAAACACACGTAGCGAACTTTAACCAATGACAACTTGTCACGTATCATGATGAGTTCAAATTGAGTGGTTGAATTTATAACGTGACAAGCTCGTTATTGACTAGAACGTATACGTGGCAAAGCTGTCATTGACTACAATGCACACGTGGCAAAGCTATAATTGGTTAGGGTACGAAACAAAAACAAAACAAGAGTAAAACTCTTAAATTGGATAGGAAAAAAATTTAGAATCTCAATAAAAAAAATCCGAATTGTATTGGGTCTCAATATGGGTAAAACCCAATTATATTATAATGTAGATATATTTTATAAGGCAAGAAATATAAATAACAAATAGTTAATGGATAAGTGAATAATTTTAGAAGGAAGAGCTACCAACTCAAGCCCTACAAATTACAATTTTTTTTTTACCAGGTCAAGACTTGTACTGCTGGTTCAAATGTCTAGGTTTTGCCAGTTTTGACCTGATTTGACTATGCTTCATAGGAATTTTGATCTTTGATGTTAAACCAGACCAATTAGATTGATAGAGGAAATACTCTGTTTTGAGACCTTTTGAGGTGCAACGGAACCATTGCAATAGAACTACTCTATTAATTGCCAACTTATAAAGGAAGGGTGGAGAAAAACTGTAAAGGTTGGTCAATTTGTAAAGATGCCATCGAAATGTTTGTTGTTTTCATGGTACCAATTAATCAAAGAAAGCTAACAAGGGCATGAGATGTACGCACACATACAACAGCTTCATGTTCAAGCAACTAGTAGAGTGGGATAGAAACGTAACCTCAATAATAGAGCAAGCAAACCTAAACCATCTCAATTTTATGCCTTTTCAACTAATTCCATGGTTCTCCTTTTCTTCTATTCATAACCAACTCATTCCCAGCTAGCTGCTCTTCAGATTCCTTTCATGTGAACTTTTGCTAGATAGAATAAAATTAAGCTTCCAAACGCCTTAGGACAGAATCCCATTTGACTTTTTTGTCCACAAAATCCATTTTATTAGGTATTGTTATTTATCCTAAGTTTTTTTTAATTAATCTTTTAGAATTTAAATTCGTAACTTATTAGAAAAGGTTATTATCATTGAATTATAAATTTTTAAATATTTATCCTAGGTTGCTGATTGTCTCTATTCGATGGTTGTTGCTGTGGTTGGCTCTTGACATGTGATGCAAAGGTCAAACTTGTCCTTAAAATTTTCTTGAGGGCAGATGTGTATTAAATAAATAATTCGAAGATTGAAATCATAATACTAGAATGTGCAAGCCGTGGTTCGCAATTAACGCGTCAGAATCTTCATCATCTTGCTTGTGGCTTTTGCTAGATAGAATAAAATTAAGCTTCCAAACACCTGAGGACAGAATCCCTTTTGACTTCTTTGTCCACAAAATCCATTTTATTAGGTATTGTTAATTATCTAAGTTTTTTTTTATTCAGAAATTTAGCACACACCAAGACTTTTTTTTAAAATTAATCTGTTAAAATTTAAATTTGTAATTTTTTTATAAAAAAATCACTATCATCATATTATGAGCTTTTAGATATTTATCCTAAGTTCTTGATTGTCTCTACTCGATCGTTGTTGCTGTGTTTGGCTCTTGGCATGTGATGCAAAGATCAAACTTGTCCTTAAAATTTTCTTGAGGGGAGATGGGTATTAAATAAATATTTCGAAGATTGAAATCATAATACTAGGGTGTACAAGTCGTGGTTCGCAATTAACGTGTCAGAATCTTCATCATCTATTTGCTTGCCTGTGGCTTGCACCACCATGTTTCGGCGAAAATCTTATGGATTATGGAGAATATATAGTATTTTCTACCTTGCGTGTTATAAAATGTTTCGTTAATGGAGTATTATATATATATATATGATCCAATTGAGGCTCTTTATAACCTATGGTACTGACTAGTCATTTCTTTCCTTAAATTAATTTATAGATACTAGGATGTCAAGCACGTGTCAATGTGGAACTTCTCAGATCACATCACATCTCATATCTTTATTTTATTTTTTTCCTTTTTGTTTCAGAAAAATAATTAGTTAAGATGTATACCAAAATAATATTTATAGGTCTTCTTTAGCATCCAAAACAGCAGGCATTTATTGTCGCGTAGCTTCTGTTAAATATCGAAGTACATGAAAGGTTTATGACATGACATGACATGGAAGCTATAAACTGTACTGAGACGACCTTTTCACTTAAAATTTTGGGTTGTAGATTAAACATTAAGAATTAATTATTTAATCCGTTTCTATATAATAAAATAATTTTTTAATCCATCATTTTATTTTTAATTAAATTAATTTATTTTTAAATATATATTAAGTTTTTTTAATTTATTCTTATATCAAGATTTTAAATTAAATTATTATGATTAATCGTGAGATTTGCACATGAAAGATCTTTTAATTTGTCTCGAAGTATTTTTAAAAATAAAACATAATCATTTGTAAATTTTATGAATAATTCTAGTGATTTAACTTGAAAATATTATTAAAATAATAAATCAAAAACTTGATGTATATTTAAAGAGTAATTTGATTGAATTAAAAACATAAAAAACCATGGGAGGCAGTAAGGTAACAAAATGTTCCTCTCTTATTTAGTTCAAACTTAATAGCATGAAAGAAGCAGGTAACTCTGAATCCAAACACAGAATTTTGTTGCTATCAAATAAAGAAAGTCGATGAATAGATATGTTGTTGTGTTTCAAGTTTGGCGATGTGCATAACTTTTTTTTCTCCTTGAATCCTTTAAGGTATTTTAGATATAAAAATTTAAATTAATTTTTTATTATTTTATCAGGTATATAAGATATGAATAACTATCTAAAGAGTTTTTTATAAATACAAAGAATTTAAACATAAAATTATTTATTTAAACTATTAAACTCCTTCTATTTAAATCAAATCTTTTGAATTGATTTCTGTAATTTTTGACTTGTGAGTGATGATGACCATCGACTTTATTAAAATGAGAAGTGCCAGGTACATATGAACCCACAGCACATGACTTGGGCCCTTTATATATATATCAATTCAAATAAAATGAAAAAAGATACTGAAAAACGAGAAGAAATTAATACCAGGCACATATTCGAACATGGGAGTTCAATGCCTCTCGCGTGGTTCGTTTACTTTATTCAACTGATCATGAAGCTACGGATCATAAAGTCATTTCAATGCCTGGCATGTGGTTCGTTTACTTTATTATACTGATCATGAAGTTGTAGGGACGAATCATAAAGTCACTGTTTGTTTATCGCTTAAATGCTGTACATCACTCCTTCTCTCTTTATTATATTCTAATTTCTTAACATTGTATATTTAACCATAAATTTTTGAAATTCATAACAAATTAAATAATAAAGTGTAAACAAGCATGTGAGCCATGATTGTGTCTAATAATATCAATATAAAAATATAGCATTTTATTAGAAAAACATGATTAATAATAAAAATGGCAGAACTTAACTATAATTCATTATGGGATGTAAAATAAAAAATCAAGGGAATGAACGGCAATGATATCAAATCTCATAAATATATATATATATATATATATATGGTTTATTTATTTATTTAAAAAGAAAATTATATTTACAAATAATGAATTACTAGAATGACCTTTTCTTTTCATGCATGTATATACAGTTGTATACAACTAATAAAATTAACGTTTTGGCTTCTAAAGAAAGAAAACGAAAGGAAAGGAAGAGACATACTTTTATACTTGGCAAGCAAGTTGTGCATGAACCTGCCAAGTCACTTACATGAATAGTAGTATTAAATTTGTTGTTGTTTAGTTCTTAAATTACGCAACCAAAGGAATCCTTTTCTCTAATTATAATAATCTAATATTTTTTAATCTCTACAACTCGGAGCAAGAATATTTAATATATTTTTATCACTTAATTTTTTGTATTATAATAAATATACCGAATTCTGAAGGACCACATAATTAAATGAAGAATTATCGATGGCATGAAGAATAAATTTTACCAAATTTTGACGTCTGGGAATAACTTAGCAATATTTAAATTAGATACGGAATTAGGAAAACAAAAACAAAAACATAACTACGTAGTTGACAAGGAAGGAGTAGTGTATAGGGCTACGCCATCTGTTGTTCACAGCTGTGGCCTAGTAATTAAGGCTGCATCTATATATATCTTTTTCCTCTCCTTTTCCACCGAATCTGTGGCAGCTGCATGATTTTCTTGGGCATGTTTTTTCATACAACAAGCAAAAGGGTTGTTAATTCAAGTCCCTGACACATGGATTTCGATTCTCGTATACCCTCATTTTCAGCCTAAAGTAAGGGAAACTGTAAGAAAGAAGATCATATGATGATGATATGTTGTTCTTTATGGAAATTAACAGGCAATTACCAGCCAGCTAAAAAGTTGAAAAATCCTTTTTTGACTTAAACGAGTCCTTAATCTCCAAGTTAGACTCCTTCCTTCCTGCCTTTACATGCATGGACCGGACCCTCTCTAATCAATTTTGAGTTCGATTAAATTGACCAAACCAGCCAGTGAATGCTGATTACATCAAGAACCTATTCTGTTGCTATTTTAAGAGAGCAGAAGGACGCTTAAAGTTTAATCATACTATTAAAAACAAAATCTCAGGATCTGAAATAATTATCTTGTTAATTAAATAATTCTGTTTTTGGAGATAAATATTACTCAATTTTTTAGAAGGATCCTAATTAGGCTTCTTCTTCTTCTTTTTTAAGCATTTTTTTTTACTCAATTCTTGACATATTTTCCATGCAGGCCCGTTAAACAAGGGTAGAGAGAGTGAAGGGCAGCTACATGTTTTACGTCTTCCTTCTCTCTAAAATTTAGGAAACATAAGGTTAATCTAGTGGATCAATTTCCAATTTCATGGGAAATGTTTTCCACATCTGGGAAATAAATTAAAAAAAAAGCCGTTAAAATGGTCCGAGCCCTTAACCACCATTTTTTTTAACACACTGTTCTTCATGTAATTTCTCACAACATTGTACCATTACAACAATGCCTTATTAACCTTAGATTGATTGCAGTAGTTTTATTAACTCTTTTTTTCTCTTCTGAAAAAAATTTCCTTCTTGATTTGTCAACAAAACTTATAAAGGATATCGGAAATAAAAAAATTATGGGCGGCATTAACGAAGCTGCGTCCTTTCTATTTATATTCTTTCTTGCTGCCAAATACTGTGACAAAATGCCCAATAATAACAGCAAATTTGGCTCAGTTAAGGTTGTGGCTAGAAGCTCTTGTCGAGAATTGAGGAAATGGATCATTAACTGCAAAATTAAAGGTCTATTCAAGTAGAAAATCTTGAAAGCCAAAAGTTTTTACCAAATCAACCGTTTGGTTTGCCGCGGTCTAATAGCAGTTACACTAAATTAGCCTCTTAGTTCAAGTGTTTATTATCCCAGTAAATTCTTAAAATGCCCTCGTTCATTGGCGGATAAATCATATTTCTCTGTTCTAAAAAAATTGTGTGCTTTTTATTTATATATGTTCTAAAAAAAATATTTGATCAAAACAATTTCATGGCATGTTGAAAAATATCTATAATTAATACTGGTTCTATGCTATTAATATTAAATTTCATAATGAATAATTTTTTTAAAAAATATAAAAACATATTAATATAATATAATAATTAATAATTTTCTTAATATATATTGAAAAAAAAATGAGACAAAACAAATAGATAGAGAACAAGGTGGAGAACGGAACGGCGCCAAAAATTTTCTAAACAGGAGGGAAAGAATCCTACGTGGCTAGATTTTCTCTCTCTAAAAAAGTGCACTCTGTTTTTCGTCTCTCTCTAAAAAATTTAAAAGCCAAGAGCCTTCGAGCTTCCTTGTTGCTAATTTAGAGATTCTTGTTCGCCGGAAACACTCCTTTTTCCCCATATATATAAATATATAAGCAATGGGTTTCTCTCTCTAAAACAAGCTAAATTTCCTACCTTTGAGAGCTTATCTCTTGTTAATTTAGAACCCATTTCTTTGTTTCTTTCGTTTCTTTGAATTAAAAGATAAATACGTATCTCCTCAATTTTGCTTCCTCAAATTCTTGCCTTTTTTCCCTCTACAAAGTTTTTTCATTTCTTTGCTTCTTGGGTTTATTAATGCAGATTCTTGATGTTACTTGATACCCGTTTTCTGCATTTCTGTTAATCTTGTTACCTCATCATTGTTTAAAAGAACAACCCCAGAAAACATAAACAAAAAGAAAAAAATAAAGACAGAATCTTTTCTCTCTACAAGTTTTTTTTGTGATTTGTTGAAGGCTTATAGAGATCAAAATGTTTGACGGGTTTATAAAGTCCAAGTTTTATACAAAATGGTAGTTTAAAGACCTGATTTTTTTTTTTTTTGTCTTTTATTCTCTGTTTTATTAATGGTGCTTTGTTTTGTTGATTGATATTGGATGGTTCTTTTGTTTTTCTCGATTGATGCAGCAAGACATTAGTAAAGATGACAAAGACCCGCCTTGACGCCTTAAAGAAGAAGAAGAACAGTGTGATAAAGTTCTTAAAGAATGATATGGCTGATCTCATTAGAACTGATCTTGCTTACAATGCTTTCTGCAGGGTTAGTTTTTCCTTTTCTTTTTCTTTTTTCCCCTATTTTTCATATTAACTGGCCATGGTCATATTGATTTTCCGTGGGTTTTCTATGACGTGGACGACTGAGTTTTTGAAGTCATTAATTAGCACATTTCCAATCACTTTCTTGATGGATTTATATGTTTTTGTTTATACCAGCCATCTGCAAATATTTAGCTGTTTATTTGGGTTACGGAACCTTTTCTGTTGCTTGTTTCTATAGAGAATAACATGGCATCCTTGCAAGATCTTTATGGCTCATCTCTCCATGACGTTTTTTAGTATAGTAAACTAATTAACCGAAAATAAATCTTCGTGGGACCTAGTTTGTCATTGCTGCCTTAATTCACATGTGCTTCCCCATTCATGAAATGTAACTCGTCTCGTTTATGCCTTCTATTCCACATGCACTTCCTTGCTGATGATTTTAAATTTGGCACGTGAATGTCTTGGTGATTGGTTGAAATGGTTAACAGTTTGTTTTCAAGTGTTGTGGTTAATAAGTTGACTGTGTCCCGATACATTGATTTTGTCACCCGGACAGGACGACTTACTTTGGCCCCTGTACCGTTATGCCATTGATGTCATGCTGAATCTTTAAATGTGATAGCTCAGCCAGAATTCTCATAAAACTAAAGCGTATACTAGAAAGGAATTAGAATTCCTTTTACAGAACTTACTGCACAATTAACTTCTTTCGGCAGATCTACACTAACATTTGTTATTCTCTTTTTTCTTACTTTGCTTCTTCTTCTTCTTTTTGTAGTTTTTTTTTTTTTTGATGCAATTTAGCTGATAATTCATGTTTCTTAAGATTAAAAATACACTCTTTAATAAAAACACATGCAGATAGAGTGTTACAATTTCTTTTGCGTGATGATGCAGGCAGAAGGGCTTCTGGTTGAGCAAAACATGACAACCTGTTACAATTTCATTGAGCAGTTCTGTGGTTGTGTCTCAAGCAATCTGTCACTCATGAACAAAAAGAAGTACGTGTTGCTATTGCTATTAAACATGCTTTCTGACTGCTCTTTCATTGTTTACCAGTTCTTTTCTTTTGCATCAAGTATCTCTCATTCATTCTATAGGACATGCAATCAATTAGAACAAGCGTTAATTACTAATGCAGTCATTTAAGAAAAAAAATGAAGAACACCACCTAAATGTTTTCAAGTAATGGCAAGGAAAAGCACGGACCAGAAAAGTCAATAATTCATGCGTAGTAGCAGCAATCTCCTACTATGCTTCCACTTCTCGAATCCCTCTTTCATGTTATATGACATGTGCTCTATGCCATGCAATTATGCTATAAATTTAGGTTACATGAAGTTGATTGAATATGGAAGACAAACATTTGCACTTTCAATTAACCTGTTTCCTTTTTCTATAAAAGTAAAGCTCGTTGAAATTGAAACCTATTTACGAAAGAGCTCATGCTTCTTCCATAATCTCTATCAAAATCTCGAGGACTCTTAATGTTTCTGCAGCGTCTACGAACATATATACCAGCAAACACAGTTGACAGGGGTGGTAAGAACAAACAATTTAGGAAAATGGCATCTGGAAAAGGCAATATTGGTGAATATTGGTTCTGACAACTGAAAGTTAATACAAGAAAGAAGCTTAGTTTTGTGACTTCAAGTTAACTATTGGAGGAATTATGTGACTTATTTTGCCATATGCTATTACGATAGTATTGGGAGACCTTAAGCTGCCTCATTTTAAGATGTCTGGCTTTCAGTAATTTTCATGCTCTCAGTTTGCATTTTCCAATCAATTGGTTTACGTATGTCATTCTCACATATTCCATGTTCCTTTTCTGATTCAGGGATTGCCCCGAGGAATGCAACGAGGCTGTGCAATCTCTAATATATGCTGCAGCAAGATTTTCTGAATTCCCAGAATTACGAGATCTTCGTTCTGCATTTATTGATAGATATGGACCTCCTCTTGAATCATTCGTTAATAAAGAGGTCATAACAGATAGCTCCTCTGCATTATTTATCAATAAGTCATATAGGTCCCATGGCCCCCATCAAATCATTCATTGCGATCATCTTGGTTTTTTGCACTGATGTGGCTGATTACTGACATGCAGTTTGTTGAGATGTTGAAGCCAAAGTCTACCACAAAGGAGATGAAGCTTCAATTGATGCACGACATAGCACAAGAGTTCTCCATTGAATGGAATTCAAAGTCTTTGGAACAGAAACTCTTTAAACCACCGCCTCAACAAGTAAGCTTCCTTTACTAAACCAGTTACTGTATGCCAATATACTGAAAGGGAAATAGATAGGATTTTGGAAATGGAGTGTCAAAATTTATTGGCTGCTAATTAGGGTAGCCATTTCACTTGTGTCTTTCACCAAGTTTCCTTCAAAGCATGCTTTTTGGACACTACATGCCATACTGCTTGAAATGAAGATCTGCTTTCCTATAATGATTATCAGAACAAGCACGAACTTTTTCTGCAGGACCGGTGCTGGCATGAACCTTTGCAAAGTGCTGATAATGATGGATACAAGCCAAAGGAAAGCAAGCATGATGCTTTTGCCAAAAAGAACAGCTTCAATGATTATGATGGATACAAATGGGAAATGGACAAGGATGACGCTTCAAAAAAAGAGACAGCCATGACTTGGGCAACAAAATGAATGACACGAGAGAGCATACCTTGCTGAAAAGAGATGAAAGGGTTTTTACATATCAAGGAAGAAAGAATGTCACTGATGACAGATACAAGCTGCAAAGCAGCAGTGAAGATGAGGTGTTTTCAGTCAGCAGGCGAGATAGCACTGACCAAGATAGCCTACTAGCTAGCTCAAGTTCAGTAGGAAGTATTTCAGAGGATGAAGTAGATAGCAAGAAGCCAATTTCCTACAGATTTATTCCTCCCCCATACCGCAGAACAACGGTTGAGAGAGAGAGCAAGATTGAAGAACCCCTGAAATCAAGTGGTAAAATTGCTGTAGAGGAAGCTAATCATCCAGATGATTCAATCAATGAAACCAAGCCAAAACCGAGATCTGTCCGAAGGAGACCATTGAAGCCTCCACCAGGACATGAAAATTTTGGCAGTATTGAAAGACAGTTGAAGCCACCGCCAGGCCGTGATAGGGTTGGCAGTATTGAAAGCAATGAGTCTGCTAGGACTAATTCAAGAGCAATGAAGCAAGAAGGGCCTAGACGAGGTTTTAGAATCTTTCAAACAGATGATGATGATGATCGAAGGGATGAAGAAGAAAAGGTTATAGATGGACTTTTGAAGCATTATAGTGAGAAAGACTCACCTCAGGAACCAAGCAAGTTGAATGTGTATGCAAACCCTCCTCCATCGAGGCAAACAAGTGATGATGATGGTAAAACCACAGGGCACAGAAATGCAATGTCTGAGTTGCCTCTTCCACCTGGCAGAGCCGTAAGCCTGCGAGAATCAGGAACTCCAACAGGTGGAACGATGAGGCTTGGTCGAGCTGTTTCAGCGCAGCCGGATATAATGTCTGGTCATGCGCATCCCATTCTCCCAGATTATGATGAATTGGCAGCTCGGATTGCAGCTCTTAAGGAAAGATAAAAAGATGGCATTAGGTTCTTTAGATGGATTACTTAGCATTCTTTCTATTCTTTAAAATGCACAAAAAAATAAAAGAAAAAAGATTCATGTCTTGTGCTATCTTCTCTTAATTTGTTCTCTTCTGGAGTTTCTACTCATAGATTAAGTAATCAGCAACAGTAGTTTGTTTTAGCTTTCTGGTCATTTGATTCCTTAAATTTGTTACCCTCTACAATATGTCCAAAAGATGCAGATTCTAATACGTTCGTGACTACATTTAGGTTCAGACTGCCTTTTTCTTGTCTTGAACATTCAAGCGCCTCCCTAATTCTAATGGCAGCAACTCAAGTTGCAAATGCTTCTTTTGTTTTTGTCCATGCAGTGTTTTGTTGAATGCACTTAATGATTACTGACATGTTTATCAGTATATGGTGAAAACGAGTGGAATTAAGATTAATCAAATTGATTTGTAATCGTTTCCTTCTCTCTTTTTTGAATTTCATTGATAATAGTAATAGTTTTTTTTTCTTAGCCAATAATAATAATAGAAAGGAAAAATTACTTACAATTTTCTAAGGCATATATGTAAATGGCTTAGAATGCACTTATTGATTACTGATATGTTTGTCAGTATATGGTTAAAACGAGTGGAATTAAGATTAATCAAATTGATTTGCAATTATTGGCTTCTCTCTTTTTTGAATTTCATTGATAACAGTAATAGTATTTTTTTTGCCTAGCCAATAATAAAATAGAAAGGAAAAATTTCTTATAATTTTCTATGGCATGTGTAAATGGAGCATAGGTGGAGATGACAATGAACGAGTACTGAGCACATTAATTTAATTTTCTACTTTATCTATAAAAATAATACTCTATCCATTACTTATTAAAATATTACTTTATAAATTTTTATCTAGCTCACACTAGTTTATCCTTCCATTTAGTATTTGTTATAAACAATTTATTCAAATATTTCATCTCTAGTTCTTGTAATTTAAAAAAAAAATGGTCCTTAAATTTTTTTTACATTTTGATCCTTTATTTATAATTTTTTTGGTCCTCAGAGTTTTCAAAAAAAATATTTTAGTCTTTACTTTTAAAATTTTATGCAATTAGAACCCTATATGTCAAAAAAATTCAAAAAAACTTGTAGGCACTAGTATTTGACTTACGTATTGCTGGGAGATCTGATTCATGGTCATATATATTTATTTATATTTTGTGTTGTTTTTTTAAAAATATTTTAAGATATTATTTTATTTAATTTATGTTTTGCATGAATGAACAAATAATTTAGTGAAAATCTCTCATTTTAAGTTTAAAATCATTTCTATAACCAAGATACTAAAATTATCATTTATTAATATCACAAACAAATACTTTCTTTATATTTGTTTCTTATAAGTGTTATTTTATTTGCTTTGTTATACATTATTTAGTAGTATCGTTTCGGTTTCTAGAGTGATTGTTTGAATTTTTATTATCGCTAATTTATTTTTTAATTATTATTTTTAATATAAGAGAAACCACAAGGAGTAGCAAACTACATGCCATTTATCTAAATTTTATATTTTCATTATTATATAGCATAGAAAAAAGGTGAATTTTAATTTTTTTTAATCTTTTTTCTATTCCTAGGCCATACATGGCTAGTCCTCATGAACATACCTCGCACGCAGAGGAATTTTTTTCTCTCTTTTTTTTATTTTAATTATTAATTAATTATTGTTTTTCTAAAAGAGTAAACGTAAGAGATAAATTATTGAAAATATACTTGTAACATCTAGATCACACACACACACACACATCGTGCTAGTCTTTTTTAAAAATCATAATAATTTATCATATAAATTATTTTAACTTTTTTAAAGAGAGAAGATGATCATGTTTTAAAATTGAACTCTAAAATTCATATTGAGAGAAAAATAAATAATATTTTTCAGCAATTTTTTTAATAAAAATTAAAAGTTAATTGGATTGGAATTTCCATAAAAAATGATAAATTGAAGGAATTAATTTTAACCTATAAGAGTATTATAATATGAAATATATTTTTATTTAAAAATATAAAACACATCATATATTATTTTTTCTTGCTATTTTGTATAAAAAACTTAACGTTCCATTTTCTATAATTTTTGTAAAAAAATCATCAAATTTTGTAAATAAAATTAAATTATTGAAAAAAACCAAGTTACTGAAATGAAGTTTAAATTGAAAAATAAAATAAAATATTTTCATTTAAAAATACGAAACACATAGTATATATTTCTTTCTCGCTATTTTGTGCGAAAAACTTAAAAAATAACATTGATTTTCCATAATTTTTACAAAAAAAAAAAAATCAATAATTTAAAAAAAAATTAAATTATTGAAAAAAAAAACCAAGCTAGTGAAATAAACTTAGAAAATGAAAAAAAAAATGTATATAAAAAAAAAGACTAAAATGTACTGCCACAACAACTTGTATGTTAAATGCCTTTAAAAACGTTGAAAATTATAACAATATCACAGTACAGTAAAAGTATAGTAAAAGGAATACTGCAAATAAATCTTGGTCTATAGTGTGTATGAATAATAAAGTGAAGAGTAAATAATAATTTTGTTTTAATGTTTTTATTAATCAACAAAGTAAAAAGTAAATACTCATGTACTCCAACTATATTAACATATACACATTTTTTTATATTTATCTTTCTTAATGCTCATTGAATATTTTTAACAAATATTCATTAGACTGAAATCATACTAATATATATATATATATATATATATATATATATATATATATATATATATATCTTTCTTAATATTTATTAAGCTGAAAGATACTCGTTTTAAATTCGATCCATTGCCATCTGGAAGGACGTGGTATCAATTTATTGAATAATGGTGTCACCATGGGCTGCTTCTCCATTTTGCATTAGGCTGATAGGCTCAGCTTATGCAAGTTTCTTCGTCGACTTCCAAAGGCGTCCAAAACGCAGAGTTTTAATTAATTATCTGTTTCCTCGATGTGAATTCCAAGTTTTTAAAACAAGAGGGTTTAAATTTATCAACAGAGAAGAAGAGAGGAGTCTGTGAATCTTCTGCACCTCCATTCACCACTAACCCACCAGCAGGAACGAACCTTTTAAAAATCTAGAGGTAAATGGAGGGCGGAGATTTTGAGGGGGATGAGCAGCAGGTGATGAGCGAGGTTCATCTTGGGTGTCCACCTGGCTCCTCTGGGCCCAATATTTCCCATTTCACCATCTCCATTCCACCTGGTATTTGGTTTTGTTTTGGCATCCAAACTTCACTTTCTTTCTTTCTGATGCACTAGTATATAATTTGTATTCTTATGAAGTAGTAGATAAATAAATGGAAATGCTAACGATTTTTTTTTTTTTTAATAATAATTATGCTAGGCGTCGATTGTAGAAGGTTTAATCATCTGTTTAAAGATGAAAAAGTCCCTATGCACCAAATGGTTTGTGTGGATGAAGATGGTGATCTTATGCTAACCAGACGCCATGGACATGGCCGTAACCGTAAGTACTCATAAATTTCTCTCTATATATGTTCTATAATCTTAACGCACACGCCTGCAATTTACTCGTTGTGTCATATCACTGAAATCTCTAGGGTTAACATTGCAAGTTGTAACTAGACTGTAGCTCCAAATATTTTTTGGGAAATTTTTAAGAGCCTCGACAAGGTTTTTTTTTTTTTTTTTTTTTTTATTAACATGAATCTGAAAACTTGATATAAGCTTGTTAGTCTTATTCTTTTAGAAAGTTGAATTTTTTTACCAATAAAAAAATCCAGTAGGCACCAAGACTGATTACCTCTCTTAATAATGGTGCAACGTTTATGTTTGTGGACATTTAGACTAGCAGGTTGGTTTTTGTTCACATTCTTACTATTTCCACATTTTTGGACCGGGTGAAATATGTGATTGATGATGACAGTATTGATATGATCTACTATCTTAAGCTTGAATTTGCGAGGAAGAATTTTAACCCTCTCGGAGTTTTTTGTTGTTCAAGTGCACAGATTCGCCTACTCGTAGTTTTAGTGCAACCATCCAGCATAATATCACATCATCAATTCCAAATGTTGGGCTGCAGGTGATTATTGGTTTTTTCATATGTTTTTATTTTACTTGCTAGATAATCATACATAACCTGTTCTCCACTTTTAGGTTTGGAAGGCCGAATTACTTTTATCTGATTTTGTGTTGCATAAGATGTTTACTTCGTCTGATTTTGATGGGATTATTTCATTAGAACTTGGAGCTGGAACAGGTATGTTGATCGCTATTGCCTGTGACATTTCTATAATATTTCTTTCAAATATGATGTTACTTTTGATTTGATTACCATACAAAGTGATTTGATCATGTTGTTCCTGGTATCTAGTGACTGGATCCGTGGCTACCTTTTTTTTATGGGTTTCTTTTAATTCAAGAAGATTTTTTTAGCAAACTGAGAAATCGTGGTGCAAGAATGTAGAAAGAATGATACTCTCCAACATTGGTTGAAATGAATTGGATTCAGTCTCAAATTATCCAACCTGGTTGTGAGTTTCTAGAAAATAAGTGTCCCCTGGAATATCTTCTGATTCTTAGTAGTAGCTGAGTCACTTGTACAATCTCAACATCATCTGTTGTGGATTTTCTATGTTCTAAATTCAACTATCTTCAAAGTTCTCAACCTGAATCCTGAGTATTTCTTGTATGACAGGAATTTATTTCACTGTCTTTGCCAGGGCTAGTCGGTATGTTGCTTGCACATGTTGCTAAAACAGTGTTCCTAACAGGTATCCAATGGCTGTGTTTAAATGTTGCCTTATCTTTATAGGTTTTTGGTGTTTTTGTTGTTGGATAATCTATAAATATCATTCTCTGGAGTGCACTTTTCAACTACTTAAATCTTTACGAACCATCTAGTTGGTATGTTGCTTTCCAAATTCCATATTGTGTCAATCGTTTGGGTTAACATGCCAATCTATTGTTTGCAACATTTTGTATCTCCTTTTGTCTTTAAGCTTATGTTTTTCTTTTTAAAAGATAAATTGTGTTCGGTTTGTTGCTTGAAGCAATGGAGGGAAGTTAAAAAAAAAAAAAATGGAATTTGGTTATAACTAGTAGTCATATTAAATACATGGGTTTCCATGAATTTCATCTTCTGTGTTAGGTGAATTTGGTTCCATATATAGTTTTTGACCAGCTGTACTGATGAATATTTACTCCCTCCACTCCAAGGTGTCTCTGCTTCTCTTTATTTTTTACCATCTCATGGTGATTGCCCATTTAGAAATGTGCTTTTGGACTAGTTTCTCCTTTCTGAATTACCCATCGTTAGAATGTAGGAGCTATATCATTTCACATGTGAAATTAGCAGAACATTCATATTCGAAATTCATATTTAACTACTGAGAGAATGGTTTGATTAATATTCCGCTAAAATGTTGTCTTTTCAAAGAAGACTAATGCTTAGAAGCTTAGACATGCTTATGATTTCATATTCTTAAACAAGCTGCTTTCTATAATTGTCTACAGACCGTGGAGATGAAATCCTTGACAATTGTGCAAGCAATGTTGATCTCAATTCTGAAGTGTTAAACTATCAAGGAAGCATTCATGTCCGTGAACTTGATTGGATGGATTCCTGGCCACCCTCAACAAGTTCAGGAAATTCGACATGTCATAAAAGGTTAGTTGATATTCTTTTCATTGGTCACTGTAATTTCTTATATCTATCGAAGAATTTTTCTTCATTTTATAGTTATTGTATTTGATAGTGATATGCATTAACATATTGCATTCTCGTTAACGGTGATAACAGGTATTCTTGGACATCCTCGGATGTTGAAGAAGCTGAGAGAGCTTCTTTGCTTGTAGCTGCTGATGTAATTTACAGTGATGATCTAACTGATGCTCTTTTCTTTATTCTAGAGAAACTTATGTCCCTTGGTCCAAAAAAGGTATGCATCGAAAAAGGGGAATAGCATTAATGAGGTCGGGATAGGATAGCAAGCAATATGGAATAGCATTTAGGAATCAGGATAGAACAGTGATAACATATGAAACATTTTTATATTGCATTAACTGTCTTTATGAGATCTTTATCTGATATAATTGACCTGTTTTAGTAAGAACACGCGCCATGGCAATATGCTTATGCAGTCCTTATCAAATTCGTTGAGGTTTCTAGATCTCAAAGGATGAGTTCTTTTTTAGTAGATCACAAAGGGCTGAACGGTGCCAGTCCATCCAGCCAAAGGAAGCTTACAAAATGAACAGATAGGCTCTCAATAGATGCATTGCTACATAAAGCACAATGCGTTGGTTATCAATGTTTACAACTCACCACATTCTGGACTTTGAATCACGATTCTGCTGCATTTTACACTATTTGCAGTATGGCTCTGTTAGAATCCTTGAAGCTCAATATTTAGCAAGAAATTAGTTGACAGTTACATTTTTTTTTTTTTTAGGTTTTGTACTTGGCATTGGAAAAGCGCTATAACTTCAGCCTAGATGATCTTGATGTTGTGGCAAATGGTTATTCACATTTCCGAAGTTATCTTAGAGGGGAGGAAGGTGAGCTTGTCTCCATGTTATTACTCCTCTTGACACTGATATAATCCATTGCCAGTTCTTAAGTTTATAATGTAGTGATGCATTGGTGATGCAGAATTTGACAACCTTATACATGGATCCTCCCCTTGTTTTGTGGGTAAATGTTTTGACCTGTCATTAATTCCGCAATATGTTGGAGAGTATGAGAGAGGAAATGATGTAGAGCTTTGGCAAATTATGTACGATGCAAGAAAACCTAAATCAGGATATGCTAGTGACTGAGATTGCCATTAACATTAAATTAAAAAAAATAAAAAAATAAAAGATCTGGGGTATTTACTATTCATTTGCTGTACAATGGCTTTTGTTGTAATTTCCATGCTATCTTGAGGCAATAATATGCTAGTTTAAACAAATATTGCGGTTTGGTACTGATGTTTCTGAAGTTTTTTTATTTCGACACCCAACTTTATTTGTATCACAGTTTCATCACTAAACATAGAGAGGAGATAGCAACAAAGAGAGAGAAGGAAGGAGAGAAAAAACTACGGTCGTGCCATTCCAGTCATTTTGATTGGCGATCTTCTCTTCAAGCTTTTTATTTTGGGGATGAGAGTTTGTTTATGATGGTTTTAAGTTATAACATAATTAGAGGATATAGATCGGGATCTTAAAATATTTTAGTATTTGAGTTTGAATTTTTTTTAATGTGTATTAAAATGAGTTTTTAGTGTTTTAAAGAAAAAATAATGCATGAATTGGGTTTTGAAAACTGGAAATCTTGATTTTTGGACCAAATTTCCAGTCAACTTTAGCCAGAAGTTGCAGGTGCTGTGCACGTTACGAGCGATGCTTCGTTTGTTATTTTTTTCTTTAATTGTGGTTGGGCAGCTCGAGCCTGCTTCTGGAGGCTTTGTTTTTTTTTTTTTTTTTTTTTGCTTTTAATTTTTTCAAGTAATTTATTATTATTATTATTATTAATTTTGTGCCAAAATTTTGCAAAACCATTCTTCTTCTTTTTTTCCTACATATGTTGACTATGAAGAAATATATATGATATGATTTTAGATTTAGAATGATTTCTTCGGTTTGTCATTTTTTTTATAAAAATTCTCATTTAATTTTTTTATGTAATTTTTTTTTCTATATATAGATTTTGAAATAAAATTTTAGAATATGATTATTTTTTAAAATACATTAATATAATTTATATCATAGATTCTTATGATTTTTAAATAAGAGTTGCATAATTATAGATATATATTATTTAATCTAAAGATTAAAAGTGTATTTCAAATATTTTATCTCAATTTTTTTAAAAAAATGATTTTTAAAATAATTAATTAAAAAAATTCATATACATTATTTGCCTCTTCTTTATGTGATCAGAATTTATCAAAATTAATTTTTTTTTCAATCTGTTTTTAATTTCAAATTCATTCAATGTGTTCTTTACAAGTTAAATATTTTTTATGTGTTTTGTTTTAGGTTGTAGACTCCAAATCCACTAGGTATAGTCATAATGTATTAAAAAAAAATTGAATTATCGATTTTATTAGAAATCAATTATTCATTTACACATAAAACAAATCATTTGCTATCATTTTTTTTAAATATGTTAAAATCAATTTCTTTTAAATAAAATAGTTAAAATAATATTCTTAAAGAACCACTCAATGATTCAAATACAATTTATTGTGTTAATATTATTGATTATTTTGTAATTAGATAAAGATAAATCAAATATACATATTTTTAAAAAATAATCCTATCATCAATATTAAATAAAAATAAAAGATATTCTTTCATTTATTAATTTTTATACAAGCTTTTACGTTAATTGTAGCTTTATTTTCTTGATACGAGTTTTATGAAAAAAAATATTAACCTATTATTAAAAAATTTGGGAATAAATATTTTATTTAAATTATTACAAATTTTTATTTAAAAATCAATGCATAAAGAATAAGAAATCATTTTTTTTTTAAATAGAAAATATATAGAAAGCATTAAAAAATAAAATAAATATAAAATTTTAATTAAAAAAATTGTTAAATGTGATCAATTTTTTTTATTCGATATATTTTAATGGATTTGAAATATAATATAGGCTTTCAAATTTAAAATTTTTTATCCTATTCGACTCATAAGGTACGGCAGACAATAAACTAGTTTATATCAATTTTCACTCTTTCAAGTCCATGATTTCTCTCTTCTTTAATAGACATTTACGGTCGAAATTTCAAATGGCTGGCCCTGGCGGCATACCAATTTCATTGGCAGCTGCAATCGACAACATCCCAATCAGACGCCGTGTTTTCCTCCATAAAAAGTTTCTTAACTTTTTATGCTTGGTTAAATGTACAGACTTGTGTCTTGCCACCACTTGCTACATGGGTCAAAGGCATTTTTGTAATACTCTGCTCGGAAACGTTGTTTCTATGCATTTACCAATCATTACTGGAGGCTTGAATAAATGCTAGGGCTATGCTCTTCCTTTTGTCTTCACCAGCGACGACAACCATTGTACGCAGTCCAACTTTTTTGTTTTCAGTTTATTTCTTCCAAATTTAAATAATGGTTTTATTAAATTAGAATACAATTTCATATTTTATGCCCAATCCTAATTAATTAGTTCCTCCTTTTTTTTTTCTTGGTTCATCACGCACTCCAATTGTTACTGTTTTTTTTTTTATCAATGGTGATTGTTTTGTTGTCTTATTTAGGATCGTTTAAGTTTAAATTCTAAAGCTTTTTTTTTTTTTTTTTTTTGTGTGGTCAGTTTCTTATTTCTAAACCGAGATAATCTATGTTATGGGTTTTGATATTGTGAAAAGGTTGTTTTTGTCATCGTCTCTTCCTTATTATAGTGAGATTAAGATGTTGGTTTTCGGCGCGAGGATTAGAGTTTAACAAGGATAAAGCATTGCGGCTCTAAAGTGAAATTACCACACCATCTGAATAAATATAGGGTTTCCTAGGTCAGGATAGAGAATTTACTTGGAATTATTGTTTTTCTACTGTACCTGTGTCCTATGCTTAGCTGTTCTTTGGCCAAGAAATCTTAACTCTGACAATCTAGACAAGCCAGAATGTTCAGAACCCTTCTACCGAGAGAGAGAGAGACTAACCCTTTGTTTGGATAATTCCTCTTGAGAGAAAAGAAAAGAGAAAGAAAAAAATCATTTTTCACTTATTGTTTGGATAAGAATGAAAAGAAAAATAAAGAAAATACATTTTCCTTGTTTTGATAATTGTAAAAAGATAAAGGAAAGAAAATGTATTATGATATATTTACTATAATACCCCTGTGATTATATTTCTATATTTAAATACTTATAATAAATTTGTATGAATATTTTTTTCATAAAAATAACACAGATGATAATAAAATAAAAATCTAGCATGTAGCATATATCTGAAATGATAAGATAGATAATGAATCGTCTTCATAGAATAATCGATAACTCGTTAATTAATTAATTAATCCAATAGCCAATTTAAATTAATTATCAACATAAAATTAATTTGAATATATATAACATGTATTATTATCTATACATATGATAAGTTAGTTGCTTTTACCCATCATTTTCTCCGTTTTTTTTTTAGAATAAACAATTACTATTTAGCAATTAAAAACAAAGAGAGTATATGGTAACATTGCGAACAATCATGGAAAGTCAATTGAATCACAAAAAATGAGACAATTGATTTAAATTGATGGAATTGAAAATATAGATATTTATTTGATAAAATTATAAAAATATAAGACTTAAATAGTGGGTTTAGTCTAAATACACGCATATATGTACATATCACATGCACCAACTACGTCGAAAAAGAGAAATATATACGAGCTACGCTTCGAGGGAAGCTTCGCGAAGCTACCTCAATGGCGATCACCACACTCCATTTTCTCTTTTGTTTACAACCATTTTCTCCATCTAGGTCTCTCTCAATTCTTCAAATTTCACCGTGAAATTCATCGTAAAGCTCAACCCGAAACGCTTATTCGGCTCCAAAAAGATCGATCCATGCTATCCGGATCGGATCCATCATCGTTTAGCTCGTGTATAGCGTCCTCCTCTTTCGACGACACGTCGGCCCATAAACCGGATTCCGCCGTAACCAAATCCGGTTTTCGGACTCCTACTAGTGTTTTGCCACAAATATCGGGCGACTAGTCCGATATCTCGGGAACACAATGCCGACCGGAGAGAAAGCGCGAGTAACGTCGGTAACCTTGTGTTGATTTGCGGATTTGTGTTACTCGCAGCGGTTTTCAAAGGAGAGGGACGAATGATGAGAGGTAGAGGGCAAAAAAGTTATCACAAAAAAAAAAAAAAGAATGAAAATGAGATTGTTTTGTTGGGTTTTGCGATTCCGATTCCTTTGTGTTGTCAAGGTCGGTGAGCGATCCTTCTCAAGAGAAATTAATGGCAATACCGTCAAGGAAGTCATCGGATCATGAAGGGAAAGGCTCTTCCGTAGACCCAAAAAAGGTAGGAAAATGAGATTGATTGATCGGATATCAATGATGATCTTTTAAGGTTTCGTAGAGAAAATGATGATTTCGAAATGAGCGAGCAGGACTAGGAAATGAGTCATCGGTTATCAATCCCTCTTTTAATTTTATGAACTTATTCCCTTTGTAAATATGCCTTATTTTAGAGGAAGTTTTGGTCGGTGGATAAGCTTAATGGCTACTTAATCCCATCGGTACTCGCTAGGCACTACTATTTTGTATGTAAAAGGATTATTAGCAATCGTTGTATTATCTATTGATCTTTTGAAATTAGCAAGCAGTTGCATTACATGCTTGCCTTATCCCCTTGGCAAATATCTTTCAACGAGATGGCAATTTTTTTGAATTGATTACGAAGAAACAGAAAATGGTTACTCTAATGATGTCATGAATATTATGGGTGTTTTTGGATTTATTTATGGGTCCTCAACAGATGGCAATACATGCTCGTCGATAACGGCTTCGGCGAGAGAGAGAGAGAGTGGGTTTGCGAGAGACGAGATGGGCGGCTAAGAGAAAGAGAAGGGAACACCGAGCAAGGGCGAAACTGAAAAAAAATAAAACAAATTGGTTTTCTTTCGTTTTCCTCCCCATTTCCTCCCAATTTTAGAAGGAAAATGGATCCCATAATTTTTACATTTTTTTTTCATTCCACTCGCTTTCCTCCCTCTTCCCAAACGGCGAAACATTTTCTTTCATCCTCATTTCTTTCCTCTCTCCCACTTTTCACCCTAACCAAACAAGGGGTAAGGCTGCGTTTGTTTTAGGAAAAACACAAATTTCGAGAACTTGTTTTTTCCATTTTTCTATGTTTGTTTGGTTATATTGAAAAAAAGTCAAAGAAACTTATTTTCCAATCAAGGAAAATTTAAAGGCAAATTTTGAAAAACTGACTTCCCTAAAAAAAAAGAGGGAAAACATTTTCCATTTGGCAGAGCTGCAGTCCTATTCTCACCCAAACCCACCCAATGCCTAAGCCGACCCAAGGACGCCCTCGCCACCCAACGCTGTCGCAACAAAAGAACGGTGATTTCCTTGACATCTCCTTGACAAGTAGTGTTTCAAGTAAGGGGAAAAAGAAAACAATGGAATATCTAAAATCATGAGAGGAAACAGGAGAGGAAAAAAAATTAAAATTAAAATTAAGTTCATTCTTGGATAAAGCAAAATCTTCCTTACCATCATACCATTGTTGATAAGGATGGGGTTATTACAAAGATGGAAATAAAGTTCCTTCTTGGATAAAGAAGTTAATTGTGAGTATGATGAGGAGGCAATGCTGGATATGACCTCGAGATAATTGGACAGCAGAAATCTTTTCCACACGACATCAGAATCTGCAACTGATTGGAAGTTATGAGAGACTAGTACAGATCGGCACGCATCCTGTGGCGATGTTAAGGAGATGACGTGGGCTAGGCACTCCTCCGTCAAAAATTTGGAAATATCCATCCTCCTTGCCTTTTTGTATTTTATTTATCAAATCAAGTTTTTTATTATAATTTTATTATCTAACAATTATATTATATTTTTTTATGTTTTACAAGTAGTGTTATTTCAATTACAAAATATCATATTATTATTTATTAATTTAAATTTATAAATTTAAATAAAAAAAAGTTCAACAAGATTAACTTTATTTTTTTCTCATTCTAAAAAAATAAAATTAATTCTACTAATAAATATCGATAGGAATATGTTAATGACAAGTTCAAATAATTTTTGTATGTATTGTTGAAATTAATTTTACAAAATATGACATTATTATTTATTAATTTAAGTTTATAAGATTGTCAATATGTTTTATTGAAATTCTTTCAAAACTTATTGATATAACAATTATAGTCTGTTTTTATATTTTCGTTTTTTATATCAAATAAATATTAAAAAATATTTTTTAACAGTTTTTTCATTCAACTGTTAAACATAGAAAAGATAATTTTTTAAAAAATAATTTTTTTATAATTGATTTTTTTATTAAAAATTATTTTATGTCAAATAAACGGAGCCTAAATGAAATCTTAAAATCTGACAATCCGGACAAGCCAGAATGTTCAGATCCCTTCGAGCGAGTGAGATAGAGAGACTAAATATAGAAATCCAAGAATGTAATAAGTGGCGGACTGGTCGGTCCCAAAGCCACTTTAAACAAAAACTGAATTAAAGAAGAGCAAGCAGGAGTGAATAAAGCTCTAATAATTCTGTCATTAGGTGTCAGCTCTGTTCTCGTCAAATAGCATTTTCCATCCGCTTCATGCCAGGCTAAGCATGTACGTCTAGATCCTCTGGTCACGTGCTTCCTGTAACAAATGGTACCTATCTTCCCACTGCAACGAGGCCACCCAAAGAGATAGGTTGGTTTTTTCTTATATGACCGAAGTTACCATAGCTTTGGTAAAAAAAAAAAAAAAAATTTAACTGTGTTTTTGTGACGGAATTACATAAACAAAAAGTACTTTATTCTGTTATGGTAACTTCAGAAAAAAGAAAAGAAAAGAAAGTGCTTGATTACTTGCACTGGATACTTCTCTCCATCTGGACAAAACAGTAACGCTAAAAAATTCCTGTCCTCTTCAAGTACTGTGCTAGATTGGCGTCCGATTGGACAAAATAAAATAAAAATATCCATAGCCCACAACGCATATTAGAGTTGCCTTGTCCCTTAAGTATTTGGAAAAAGTCTTCCCTAAAAAAAGAAGAGATAAATACAAGTAGACTATAGATTCTGCATACGTAAAGCGCATTAGCACAGGCATAAATCCATTCTTTATTGATATCTTTACGGTGTTTTCTAGCGATCTCACCGTGTGGATTTTTCTTGCCTGTGTTTCTCCAGGGTGCTTACCCTAATTTATTAATTTTAAAAAACATGTAAGGAGATTGTGAAGGAACCTGAATGTGACATTTGACGATACACTTGAGCTAAAATTCAGTTTATCTACTAAGATTATTTTGATTTTTTTTACTGTTTCAATTTATGAATTCACTTGGGACAATTTGTACAGCCTCTCTCTCTCTCTCTCTCCCCAAATTCAATTATATGATAAAATGAAAAAAGTGGAAATCTTTTGTAAAATAAAAAGGAAAAAAAAAAACAGAAAATTTTCTCAATTCTAAGTCTCGAATCTTCCTCCTTGTTTTCCATACAGACAGTCTCAAAAATAAATAAATAAAAATTCTTATTAGTATTTGGATAGAAACCTTGAATAATGGAGAGAGAGAAATAAAAAAAAAGAAGCTATTGAAATCATAAGAATAGTGGGAATTTGAAATTGCAATATAATGTGAGATCATCATAAATCAAAATGTACCACACAAAATAATAATTATTTTTTATTTAATATAAAACAAATCTATTTTAATAATTATTTCATTAACGACACACGATAAGTTAGTTAAAACTTGACATGATGATTAAAAACGTTTATATTTTTTAATTATTTAAGGTTAAAACTTCATGCTAGAATCTAAAAAATAAAATTTTCTCAAACCTTCTAGTTTTGATATAAATCATTTTTTTAATTAATAAAATGAATTTAATCTTGATATATAAAAGTTGGTTGAAAACAATTTCCATAAAAAAAACTACTTACTTCTTAGAAGTTGAAATTTGAGAAGATATATATAGGAATTAAGATTAGTTTTAAGACATTCGAATGAAAAATAATTGAGACTGTGATTTTAGACTCACTGTTTTGACACATTAACTACTCAAAAACTAAAATTGTCACTTTAACTTTCCACTCAAAAAAAAAAAAAAAGAAAAAGAAAGAAAAGACAATGGTAAAAAAAATAAAGAAATAAACAGTAAAAAAAAGAAAAGAAAAAGGATTATGGGATCTGATCCAACAAGGAAACGTAACTGATTGTGAATTTCAAAAACCCAGACATTTTATTTTCCAATCCCCATGTCCTTGTCCTGATTCTCTCGTTCCTTAGTTATCCCCAGCTAGTAACCAAATTACGCTTTTCTTAACTTTTCTCTAAATTCTACTGAAACCACACCACCTTCCTCTCTGCGGTTGCCGAAATCCGACAGACTCCTCCACTCTGCTATTAATTCAGTCCAATTCAATTCCAAATAAAAAAAATGGGATGTAATCAATCAAAGATCGAGAATGAGGAAGCAGTATCAAGATGCAAGGAGCGAAAGCAATTCATGAAAGAAGCTGTCTCCAAACGCAACGCCTTCGCCGCCGCACACTCTTCCTACGCCATGTCCTTAAAGAACACTGGCGCCGCCCTCAACGACTATGCCCAAGGCGAAATCCCCCTAGCTCCTCATCCTCTGCCCCCACCATCATCCAACCTCCTTCCTCCTCCGCCGCTGCAGCACCTCCTCCTCCTCCGCCTCCTCCCTCTGTCTTGCCTCCGCCGGCCCCTGATGATTTCCAGCCTTTACAGCGGGCGGTGAGCATGCCGGAGATGAAGATTCAGAACACGGAGATGAAGGCGCCGGAGGAGACGATTAATGAAGAGGAAGAGATGGAATTCGAAGCTCATGATAACGAGAGGTTAGTGAGAAAGAGAAGTAGTAATAATAACAGAGGCAGTACTGGTGGTAACAGAGGAACTTCTGTACAAGAAAATCACCATCAACAGCAACAGCAACAGCAACATCACCAAGATTCCACTTGGGATTATTTCTTTCCGCCACCGGATAGCATTCCTGGACCGAGTTTGGCGGAACCACCAGAGATGGAGGAAGAGGTGAGAGTGACCAAGGAGCAGGTGCAGAGAAAAGTGTACGAGGAAAAGGTGGAGCCACTACCGATGGTGGTGGAGGAGAAGGTGGAGAAGGCGATGGAAGTTCCAGTGCCGGAGAAGAAGGCGGGGAGGAAGGTGGGAGGAGGGGAAGGAGGGAGGAGGATTGGGAAAGTTATGAGCTTGATGCAGATATTCGTGGAGCTTGATGATCATTTTTTGAAGGCATCTGAGAGTGCCCATGAGGTTTCTAAGATGTTGGAGGCAACGAGATTGCATTATCACTCTAATTTTGCTGACAATAGAGGTAATTGAACCATGTTTGTTTATGCATATGGCATGTTGGTGTGTTTTCTTTTTTACTGTTCATTCATGTTCTCAGAATTTTATTGATTTTCATTTCTTGAATTGTCTATTTTGATGAAATTGCGTATCAGAAATTCAGCAGTGTTGATTTTACAGAAATGTTCCTCATTCTCTATAGTGGGGTAGTTTAGCAATGAGATGGTTCCATTCTGTCATTTCCTTTTAGATAACCCTGTTATGTATGTTATAGGACATATTGATCACTCTGCAAGAGTGATGCGTGTTATTACATGGAATCGATCATTTAGAGGTGTTCCTGATCTTGATGATGGAAAGGATGATTTCGACAGAGAAGAGCATGAAACTCATGCAACCGTGCTGGATAAGATGCTGGCTTGGGAAAAGAAGCTTTATGATGAAGTGAAGGTATGGTGCAATGTTTATATTCTTTACATTGTACATGAAACGACTATTTTTGTGTTTCAGATTTTTTGCCAGAGAATCTTGCCCATCTTTTATTTAAATTCTGGAATTGGCCAATGATACATGGCACTTCCTTCTCTTTTCTTTTTTAATTATTGGGTAGCTTATGTTTAGCCCCCAGAAATATTTAAATTATTTGTTATTGTGCATGCATATCCTTATTGAATCAGAAATGCCTTCTTATGGAGCTTAGTTAATCTCGGTAAAATGTTGAAAGTTTCTCTTGTTGGTCAACTGCTTTACGTTTGCAGAGCTAACATAATAAAATTTCTGCTTTACAATATGTAGCATTTTTTAATTGTCCTCAATGATGAAGTTGATAATAGTTCAGGATTTTTTACCTTATCCATCAAATTAAGAAATCTGCTATCTGCAATTTCTCAGAATTTCTATCAACAAGCAATATTGCTTTAGTTCAAAAACTATAATTTCCTAAGGAAAGCAGTTAGTTATTTTCTGGCGTTGTTGGTGGAAGATTGCAGAATGATTGTTCATATTCTGCTTCTCTCGGGACTTGAAACTATAAGTTGATCTAGAACCTTTTTTTTTTTTTTTTTTTATCTCCAGCTAGTTCATACTATGTTTTAGACATAGGAGCCCGACAAAGTTATTTGTGAACAACAACAATTAATTAGTGATACAATCATGCAGTTTTTCCTATATCATATGTTTTGCAGTTTATTCTGCGTACTTGTTTTGACTGCATTCATGCCAGCTGGAATAAGCTCACTGGTGGGTTATATTCCATCACCACCTGAAACTGCATTTAGTTGCTGTGAATTGAAAACTTGTTGTCAACATTAATTAAAACTTAAATGCATTAGTTTGCTAGAGATAATAGTTCTCCTGCCACACTTTAGTTTTTTTTTTTTCCCATGGTTTATGAGATGAATCTGACATGACATTTGGTTGCTGCTGGATAGGCAGGTGAATTGATGAAGTACGAGTACCAAAGGAAGGTTAATTCATTGAATAAGCAGAAGAAAAGAGGCACAAACACTGAATCACTAGAGAAATTAAAAGCAACTGTAAGCCATCTGCATACGAGATACATTGTAGACATGCAATCAATGGATTCAACGGTTTTAGAGATAAACCGTTTACGTGATGAACAATTATATCCCAAACTTGTTCAGCTTGTTGACGGGTAAGTTGCTTTTTTGAGTAGGGAAAATTAAATCTAAATAGTTAAATTGCTTGGCATCTTCTTTGCTAAGGTAGATATTCTTATGAGATTTTGATGCATACATCAGATTTCTTGTCCTCAATTATTGTTCTAATTTTGCTTTGAATAATTGGTGATAGAATGGAAATTGAAGACATGTGAGTGATAGTAATATAAACCTAAATCCAAATGTCAGGGGTTCCAATTTATGATTAAGAATGTTTGATTCTTACACTTCTAAGTTGGCTAAGCAGCAGATATGCTGAAAATTATCTTGTAAAACTTTAGGTGATTGTTACGCTACCATCATAGAACTTAGTAATATCTTTGCCATTGTGCTTTGAAGGGCTTAGACTAGATTTGTGTACCATGATGGAAAGATATTACGTTCTCTCCCTCTCCCTCTCTCTATGATATTTTTAGTGAAGGTTGTAGAAGGTGCAAAGATTGAGAAAAGATGTTGCAGAAAAGAGCATGAAAATGTGAACTTGCATAAAAGTTACGAGTATGAGCATGAAGGTTGTAGGAAATTGCTGTAATCAGTAAAAAAGTTGCTGGAAAGTATAGGATGTACGAGCAAGTGACAACAAATACAATCTTATGAATGTTCTTCGCTACCAAAAAGTAGCCAGCACATCCATTTACTTGTTATGTCATCATGAATGTGCATGGCTTTGATGATTTTGGTTCAATCCTGCCACCAAATCATATTTTGAAAAAGAGGAGAACTTTGTAGCAAAGGGGGACTACTATTGATAGAAAGAAGTTATGAAATGGTGGTTTTAGGAAAATTGTATAAAATACCTGAAAAGAGTATGAGATATTACTAGGCGCAGCCATCTTGCAGATAACAGAGACATTATGTTTATATGTTATCCTTCACATGAATGTCCTTGCTTTGAATATCTTTCAGATCAATCCACCATCAGAACCTATTGAGGGAAAAGCTGGTAATATTGCAAGAAAGTGATCCTTGAAAAAAGTGAAAGAAAAGAGCATGGGGGACGTAGAGAACGCATAAAAATTTCAGAGAATAGAAGAGAGGTCAAAAGAAGGGGAGTATTTGGCAAAATAGTAGCATGAGGTAGTTATAATCTTTAAAATGCTGTTTTCCAACTGAAAATAGGACAAAATGCGAGTTGATATCCTTTTTCATCGTGTGAATTTGGTAGTTTAGATGGTTTTAGGCTCAATCATGCCATCAAAGTCTCTGTAGATAAATGTAGTGAAGGTTGCAGAAGGTTTGCAAATCACCCAAATTGCTGTAGGAAATTGCAGTTTATTGCTAAAAGAAGTTGCAAAGAAGAGGCAGGTTGCAGGAAAGTTGCATAACGATTGTAGGCAAGAGCATAGATTGTGATGGAAAGTGTGGTTATTGGCGAAGACAATGCTAGGAGTACTTCAAAATTTGGTGATGTAGAACCATTGATGAACAAAAAACACAAACCCAAGAGTATGAATTCTCAAGGAAATCTTTTTATTCAGCAGTCAAAGCAACAAAACATAACTTGGATTTGGATTTCCAGCTATGGTGCTATTTATAAGGACCAAAAGCTAATAGAAATAAGACCAAATCCTAGTAAGAATAGGCAGGCTAATAAGGAAAACCTACTAAATAGAAAAATGATAACACCATTTCTTATAAACATACTTTACCTATTAAATAGTAAAATGATAGCATTCCTAAAAATACTAAAAATCTAGAATAATTATACATAAGTGAAATACTAATTCGCAATGCAATCTTTCTTCGGTCCCCATCATGCAGTGATTGTCAAAATGCTGCAAAAAGGAAGCAACAACCTCTATTATTTCATTCTCTTAACAAATTTATACTAAACATAAGTTTATATCTACTTTTTACCTCATGAATGTTCATGGTTAGATGAATTTAGCATTTATCATTAAAGGTTACACAAAAAGTGTATACAGTGCTGTGGGGAAGGGTAGCAACTGTTAAAATAAGTTGCAGAGCAAAGGAAAGAGGTAAGAAACTACTGTGACCGGCCCAAAACCTTCTCTGGATGGATGTGCTTGACTTAGATGATTTAAGACTATAAAAGTTGCCAAATCTGTTAACTCAAATTCACTGCTTAGAGTCTTCTGTTAATTTGTCCATTTTTGGAGCTGTGCCAGTTATAAAGTGAAATTCCAATTGATCTCAACTGGCTCTCTTTTATCGCATTCCATTTGATTTGATGTGTGCATTCTTTCCTCATTCTGGCCAATGTTATAATGCATTATCCAATCGGTGTGTACTTCCTTGTTTTGGGTACATTCACTGCATGAAGTTTGGTATGTCTCAAATATAGTGTATCGTCCCTTCCCCCTTACCCCTATCGATGCTTTGGTGTTGGTTACCTGAAATGGTACGACAACCTGCATTCCTCTGATTGTGTATCCTTGCTGTTGTTGTTGTTATAACCCCCTGTGCTAGGCTTGCTTGTTTGTGCTATAGAATTGTTCCTACAATTTGATGGGCGTGCTTGATGTTGGAAAATTAGATGCTCTGAACTTTAGCCTGGTAGTTCCATTATTCTATTATACTGTACAACAAACTAAGATCCCCCTTCCCACCCCCATCCCCTCTCTTTCAGCCAGTGCTTTCTTGTGATAATGCTGGCAATTGTTTAACTTCTAAAGATATTTTAATTTCTGTTGATTTCTGTCTCCCTTGTTTTTGCATTTGCAGCCTTTAACATTGCTTTCTGTAGGCATGAAAAATTGAGTTGCATGCTTTTAACAGGCATTTAACTTCTTAAAAGAACTGATATAGAAAAAGAAAAGGCAGTTTTGGTTTAAATCCTTGAAAATATTTACTGCAATTTCCATGCTAAATACATACTTTTTTTAAATCACAAATTAACTGTTGTATGGTTTTCAGGATGGCCACGATGTGGGAAACCATGCAAGTTCACCATGAGGCTCAGTCTAAGATTGTAAATATGCTGAAATCTTTGGACATTTCACAATCCCCCAAGGAAACTAGTGAGCACCACCATGATCGTACCTTTCAGCTCTTGGTTGTTGTGCAAGAGTGGCATTCACAGTTTTGTAAACTTATAGATAATCAGAAAGGGTATATAAAGGCCTTGAACAGTTGGCTAAAGCTGAACCTCATTCCCATAGAGAGCAGTTTGAAGGAAAAGGTTTCTTCTCCTCCAAGAGTTCAGAACCCCTCCATCCAGCCACTTCTTGTTGCTTGGCATGATCTTTTGGACAAGCTTCCAGACGGGGTTGCAAGAACTTCTATAAATAATTTTGCCGCTGTAGTTCATACCATTCTCCAACATCAAGAAGAAGAGATGAAATTGAAAGAGAGATGTGATGAAACAAGAAAGGAACTTAAGCAGAAGAGCAAGAAATTTAACGACTGGTATAATAAGTATATGCAGCAAAGAATACCTGACGAATTGGATCCTGAAAGGACAGAAGACAGCTCTCACAATGATGCACTTGCAGAGAGACAATTTGTGGTGGATTCATTGAAGAAACGCTTGGAAGAGGAGGAAGAAGCCTATCATAGGCACTGCCTTCAGGTGAGGGAGAAATCTTTGGCAAGTCTTAAAACTCGCTTGCCTGAGCTCTTTAGGGCTATGTCTGATATTGCTCAATCTTGTTCAGAAATGTACAGGAAATTGAGTTCTATATCACATCGCCGGAATGTAAATTAGAGGTGTTTATGAAAATATAGGATTTTATGCTTTTGTACGCTTTATTTTATACCTTGCAAATAAGTACCCAAAGAAAATGTATTGCTTGTATTATTTGTTGTATAATCAATAGTTTTACTCAAATTTTGTATCGAACAAGCCTTGAAAATCATGAATGTATTCATGAATTTGTTGAATTTCAACTTAAGGAGTTGTCATTACTTATTTAGTTTTGTACTTTTCGAACATGGATGATATGCTTTTATGGTGTTGAATAGCTGGCCAACGGTTGGCGAAAAGAAATCTGCTAGACGGCATTGTAAGATGATGGAAATTGTTTAATTGACGCTTAAGCGATACTATCGTAACTTGAGACTCAGATTATTTGTGAACAACCTATTCCAAAATTTATCTACTGGCTCTGGATTGGGAGTATTTGTGTTTTTGTGTCTGTTTTTCTCCATAAAATTATCATAGTGATTTTAGTTTGGTCAAACATTGTCTCTCTGTCTTATCTTATTTTTTTCAGTTTTCTTGGTTCTGTTCACTCTGAAAACTTTTGTACTTCCTGATACTTCTCAAAATGGATCTTGATGAAGTTGTAAATCTTCATTTTAGTACAAACTATCTTGATATCAGTGGGTTTTCCTCTTTCTGCTGTCAAATTCCTTGCACACTTGAAAACTTTAAAGAAAAAAAGAAAAAAAGGAGTTCCATACCTATTTGCTTTGAAACAGTTATAATTGATTTTTATAGACAAATAATATGTCTGTCCATACAACTTGATGAGCTTATATACAAAGAGTGAAACAGAAACTTGTGAACTATTAAAAAAATTCAAATCTCTTCAGGGCTTGCAGTAATTGCTTTTGCTGGGACTCTATGATGAGGGATGTCACCCAGAGCAACAAAATAGTTTTCTTGTCCTACTTTCTGTTTCATTGTTCAGATTCACCCCTGTAGGCTTTGAAGGGTAAGCTCTTGCCAATCTCTTTGCTGCAAATGGTAGGAAAAAAAAAAAAGGAACCAATTAAGAATCTTAAACCAAAGTTCCCAACACAAGTTCAAAGGAAAGTAGAAGCAAAATGTAGGTGTCCCATGATATATATATAGTTCATGGTCCTGCTGTATTAAATATGTATCCGAGATGTGCTTATTGATGGAGGAAAACCGACAAACTCATGTCAAATAGGAAGAAAATTTACTGCCTTCATTTCGCCAGTTCAATGGGATCATAGCTTTCTAACGCGATAAACAAATATAATTTACCTATTTCGTAGAAAAGCTCGTTAATATTTTCTGCAGTTTTTGCAGATGTTTCCATGAAGAACATCCCATTCTCTTGAGCGAATTGCTCACCTTCCTGTAATTATAATAGAAAATGAAAATTAAAAAAAAAAAAGGCTGAATATATGAGCAAAAAAATTATGCATAGTGAATTACTCACAACCCTCATAATCAAGGGAAAAAAAAAAAAAAACTTGGAAGGAAGTCTTTAGATAAGAATGCGTTAACTTTTGTTGCTCCAATTTCAAGATAAAATAGAGTTCTATATTGTGAAACCCGTAACTATTGTTCAGATGATGCCATAAAAAGAAGATTCTGCAGATACCTCATTCTGCACCTCTCTCTTTGAGTCCAAGTCCAATTTATTTGCTACTAATGCCATAATCATATTAGGATTTCCTGGAAATAGAAATATGGGAGAAGAAGTCTCAAGTCATGGATTAACTATAGCAAAATGATCACCCTAAAAGCAACTGTACTTATGAAACTTGATATGCAGCATAGAGACCACAAAATATCTGTACAGGATAGAAGCAGAAACAGAAAAGAGGTTTAGGTTTCTATTTGAAACAGAACCTCCAAAAGCCAATGACAAGGAAGAATCAGAGTTTTCTGTTTGCACCTAAATGAACATACTCAGCTGAAGGCTTGAAAGTGATGGCCTTACCTTGTCTTTGCAACTCTTGAACCCACCTTTTGGCTCTGACAAACGTATCCTGAAGCATAACATCAATGCATAACAAGGGTATGACTGAAAGTGAATCATCAAACAAAGTAGTAGTATTTACTGCAATCGAAATTGTGCAACTGGTCCTCGCACTATAAATTTCTATCCAGAATTCACAACCACAATGATAGCCAAGCAATGGCTGTATCAGTCAAATTATCTTGCTTGAATTCAAGCAAAACATTCCTGGCTCATTAAAATTCGCCCTCTTTCAGTGGCTATTGAAGTACAAGATTTTTCAAGATACTAATTATAATAGAAGAAGCAAATAACCAAGTACAAACACTAAGAGCCTGAAGAGAAGCTTACGATGCTGGAAATATCATACACAACAACAGCTGCTGCTGCACCACGATAGTACATAGGAGCCAAGCTATGGTATCTTTCTTGTCCCGCTGTATCCCATATATCAAACTTCACAGTTGCTTCAGCTAACGATAATATCTGTGTAAAAAAAGCTGCTCCTATTGTTGGTTCCTGAATATAGAGAGACTCACATTTCATCAACTAAGAACAAACACATTTAAATTGTCAAACCAAAGATCATGTTGAAGTAAACAATGGATCACGAATAATAACAGGAATTAATTACCTGGTGATCGAAGAACTGGCCCTTGACAAACCTTAATACCAAACTGGTTTTCCCAGTTCCCATATCCCCCAAAAGCACCTAAAAGTTCAAGAAACTTAAGCGTTAAGAATAAATGTACTGACCTCCAAGATCATAAGAGAGAAAAGTCCAATCAGAAGGACAATAAACTACCAGCTTAGCTTGTATGATCCTGTTGCCAGGTCTTGCCATTGTACGTACGATATGATCAATCTCCAAAATCCAAGACCAAATTTCACCTTGTATCTGATTCTTGCTAGAGATGGTAATACGAAAAACTAAAAACAAAACGAAGGAGAAGCAACAAGCGTCTGATTTCTCGACGAACTTAAAGACAGACAACAAGAATGGTAGGTTGGTTTGGGTCTTGCTGGACTACACTCGACGTGTTTAGTTTTGACTGGTAGTTATGTACTGACTACACAGCACTCACCTTCGTCCTCCCTCTCTTTCTTTACGGGCCCAACATTATGAGGCCCAGCCCATCCCAGCCTAGACCGGCCCATGGCAGAAGCACAATGAATGGTGGAGTCATACCATAAGACTCATTTGCAGTACTTTCTATTTGCAATGCCTCTTTGTTTGTTGTTCACTCACTATGTATATATTCATCGAATTAGAGGCAGCCAGCAGCCAACGACACTTTGGTGTTCATTGATAGGACTTCGTTAGAAAGAAGCAGCTAGATTCAGGCTCTCTGTTCACAAAACTATAATGCAAATTAGGCAAGATGCTTTGATCTTATTAGGAACCCACTTGTATCATTCTTTTCACTACCCTTTTTCTTTCCTTGTCCAAATATTAATTACTCGTTTTTTTCCCCTTAATTGGTAAACAAGTTTTTGGTTATATTATCATGTACCAAAATTAAGTTCCTAATCATTACTTTAAGTAAAGTATTAAAAAATAATGAGTCGAGCGAAGGAGGCTATAATTGTTTAATAGTTTTAGATTTAAATTATTATATACGTAAAATTTTTTTTTGAATAGTTATGTTCGTTTTGTGCGTCCGATAGAACAATAATAATATAGAATAGTTTAAATATACATGTGATACTTTAAAGATGAAAAAAAGAAAAAGATAAATACACCATTAGAAAATCATTTTCTTGTTTCTTGGTTAGATGTATACGACAAGTCATTTTTCTATGTAACAAAGGATAGTACTCTCTTTTAATATCTCATTTAATTTCTAAATATGATTAAAAGTTTGATATTTGCTTTTTTTTTTTTTTTAAAAAAAAGATCTTGTTTGATGCTTATATAGCAGTCACTTTTATTTTTCTATTCTTTCTTTAGAGAGTTCCCTAAGGAGACGTTAATACTTTATTTATAAGGATATAAATAAAGATGAACTAAACCTTGAACTTTTAACTCCAATATTCCTTGTTTTCTGGTTATAAAAACACAGTACTCTACGCTTCAGTACTTGTGTTGCCAAAATTACAGTGTATATATATTGATCCATATACCAGCAAATTAAGCAAAGACGGTGACCTTCACGTAACAAACAAATCTCATTATTCTCTCGTCCCCACAGAGTCCCAATAACCTCGAGAAACAAACCAACTACTAGGAAGTCCCCTCTACACTTTCCCCACATCATAACAAAACTTTAAAGAGCAAAACACCAAACCCCACACATCCTCAGCTCACTTTCCTCACCAAAATTCCTTCCCCTCCTCCCCATAATTCCCTCGCCCCTTATGGCTCTTCCCAAAAGTACAGAACCACTGCTTTCACCAACTCATTGCTACACTCCAATACCATGCGATCGGCATGATCAAGAAGAACGTGTCGTGTTGCCTTTTTACCGCCACCCCACCTCTCAATACTGCCGTCGATGGCCAGTGATAGTCACTGCATCCCTTCTCCTCCTTTCAGCACTTGTCTATGTTTTTTGGCCCTCCGATCCCACGGTCAAGGTCGTAAGGCTGCGTCTAAACAAGATACACATACACACCTTGCCTATAATTAACATTGACATATCTTTGTATGTTACTTTAAAAGTGCGCAACGTTGATGTGTATTCCATGGATTTTAGAAGTCTTGATGTAGCTGTAAAGTACAGAGGGAAGAGGCTGGGTCATGTGAGATCCGATCACGGTCACGTGAAGGCACTGGGATCATCCTTCATGGATGTTGAACTAGATTTTAGTGGGATCAGTGTTCTGTCTGACGTGGTGTCCTTGCTCGAGGACTTGGCTAGGGGTACGGTGCCGTTTGATACTGTCACCGAGGTTTCTGGCCAGCTTGGATTGTTGTTCTTTGGGTTCCCTTTGAAGGTAATCATTCTAGGATTTTTTTTTTAAAAAAAATTATCGTTTTCATACTAATATTTTTTACAAATGTTTACATGTATATCCATAAAACTTTTATAAAAATATAAAATTAATTCTAAGAAAATAAGAATAAATAAAATACTATATATATATATATATATATATATATATATAGGAATAAAATTGGAATAAAAAAATCTATATATAAATAATTTGCAAGTGTTAATAAACATTTAATCCAGTCGAGACTCCACTAAATGCATAATTATACTAGCATTATAGTTTTTACCAATTCTTTTATTTAAAGAGTTATCTTTTAATAGGAAAATATTAAAGATATAGACACTAATTAAATTTCATTTTTTTATTTTTTTCACTAAGTAGTATTCCTTTATAGATTTTTTCAAGAAGGAAAGAAAAAAAAGAGCAAGAGTCTTATATATATATATAACGAGGACCAATTAAATAATTTATTGAATTTTAATGTAATTTTATTATTTTTGTATTTTAATTATAATTTATATAAATAGATAAAAACATGAGTCATTTTGTTTAAATGAGTCTTCTTTTAATATTAGTAGAGAATAACAAAAAATTTATGATTTTTTTTTCATTTAAATGTGTAAAAAATAACATGAAACAATAACAAAAGATCTCATATAGAAAAAAAAAAAAAAAAAAAAAACTAAGGATCTAATTTAATAATTTGATAAATTTTGATGAAATTTATTTATTTTTTAGATTTTAATTATTGGATGTTGTTCATCTATACTCTCAAAATACAGTAAATAGAGATATAATAATGGAAAAACGATCGAGATTAACCCCTTTTTTTAAAGAATTATATTAAATTTTTAGTCTCTTTATAATAGTTTTTCTAATGCAAGATAATGTATTTGGTATTTGACAATAAAATCCTCTTAATACAAGTAACATGTATTGATTGTATCGAATTAAATCTTTCGACAAAAAGTCAGTAATATTATAAATATCGTTCAATTATGAAGCTTCTTTATTGGTGGCAATTGTGAGTTGTGACTATTAATTTAATCTCATCCCAACAGTCAAGAAAAAAAATATATTAAGGAGAATTTAACAAGTAAGCATTGCATAATCTTCAAAGGCAAGCTTGATGTCATAAAAAGATTCCTTTAAGCAAATCTTGAGATGCTAGTAAGGATAGAAGCACGCTTGTTGCTGCCGGCACATTCTGGCGATTAATTTAAGCAAACGCTCGACTTCAGGGGAGGTTTTCGCAAGAAATAGTCTTAATTTGGCGTACTGTCATGGAATCATAGTGATTTAATTGCACATTCTTGAAGAGGCTTTGGGTTTCGATTTCTCTCCACTTGCATCAAAATTAGGTAAAAATATAAGGTTGCATTTCCTCAGGTATATTAGTAATGAATTTTCTAACTCCATCTCCTCTCCTGAATTGGATGAACCTTGTGCATATAGAACTGCCATAATTACTCCATAGCCAAGTTATTGGGGTTGAACACAAGTCGCAGTGAAATGCACCAAGTTTGGAAGCCCATAATTGTTATGCTGATTTTCTGAATTGTTCTAGGCACAGATCTTACAGTACTGCATTATGTTTAACAAATTTAGTTGTCAAAACTGATTCTTTTCTGTCCCATTTTTCCCTTTATATCATGTGTTTGTAAGCCCTCTGCTGATGCTCCCAGTTGATGCAGATTGAATGTATAGTTCAGAACCACATGTGATCTAGTTTTGTTGATTCCTTGTTTTTCCTTGATACCATTGACGCTGTCTTAATTTTTATCTTTACACAGGCAAAATTGTTCTGTGAAGTTCTGGTGAACACAAACAATCAGACAATTGTTCGTCAAACTTGTTACCCTCAGGTGAGTGGGCGTCTTTGGTACTGCTCTGTTATTTGCAATGGCTGTAGGCTAGGGGTACTCATCGCTAATCATATTTCGTAGAAAAATATTAACGAAAGGCATACAATACCTTACCGCACAATTTAATATCAAGGGGTTGCTGCAATCCCTTGATTTCTTTGCTATAGCTGAATAGCTCCATCTGCCTTCCTTACAATTCTGTTTTAGGGGTAAATTAATTTTGGCATGAACTTGCATTTTTTATTTTTATGTCATTACGAGATTACCATTAACAATTATAAGAATCATAATATTGGATACTTGTTATAACTGATTTTTCAAAATTTAGATACAAAATATTTTAAAATATTTGCTTATTTTTATGCACTTGTATATTTATTTCTCACAGTTGAAAATGACGGGTGCTAAAGTCATGTTACTTGAGAGGGCACCCTTTTTTGGGAAAGAATAGTGAGCTTTTTTAGCTAAAACTAGTTTTTTTTTTTTTTTTTTTTTACCAGCAGCGTCAAATATATAAAATTATTTTTAAAAAATTATTTCATTTTAATATCTTATATTATATTATGTGTCTATCAAAATATATCAAATTAAAACTAAATAAAAATTCATTCAATTTTATAATTTTTTATTCAAAATTTTGTATTGGACTAATTATTCTTTATATTTTCATAAATTTTTTTATTAAAAAACATTATTTGTTTATCTCTATCCATATTTTTAACTAAAAACTTATTTTGTAAATTAGTTTTTTCTAAACATCTTTTTACCTTACAATTTTTAATTAAAAAATAAATAAGGACAAGAGTGACCAAAATGAAACAAAAAAAAGGATCAAAATAAAATTTAAAAATTCAAGGACCGAAAAAAAAATGTTTAAAAAAAGAAAGATTAAAATGTAATATCACACAAACTTTCATAATAAATGTCTTTGAAAAATTTGAGAACTACAAAAGAAAATTATTGCATAGTGAAAAAAATAATATATGTAAGTATGTGCAAATAGTATATATGAGTTTGGATGAATAGTGTTTGAAAAAATACAATGAATGGTAAACTAACATTTTGATTTAATTTTTTTTTATAATAATATGTATCTGTGTACTCAGATATGAATTTGAAGGGCATGAGGCAGGTGGTGCAGCATAAGCTAAAAGATTCAGTGTGTGCACTTTCAAAACGCTCCATGTTAGCTAGTGAAATTTGACACAAACATCAGATGTGATACTCTTAGCATATGCAGTGATGTTTCTTTTATCTGTATATATTTTTTGCCTTGAGAATCATTAATTGTGCCATAAAATGTATAATTATGTCCATAGCATTTGTAGTATTATTATAATTACATATCAACATAATCATCAAATACAAATCGATGATGTTGCATATAAGCATACAACCTTAATTTTATTAGTGGGTTTAATTGCAAATTTTGTAGTTATTTTATTGTAATTTGATAATTTTGGAATTCATAGTATCAAATTACGTAATTTGATACATCAAAATATTAAAATTTAAGCAAATGTGATTCAAATTTTTTCATTATGTTTAAGTTGTTGGTTTTTTTTTTTTTTTTTTTTTTTTTTTTTTTTTTTAAAAATTAAAACTTAGCTGAGGGTAATTGAAAGAGGGTAAGCGTCTGTCTTACCCCTTTCAGTTACAAGTGAAAATTGAAAACGGGAGATTATAAACATGAGTGAAACCTGAACTTTTAAGAAGCAGATGCACCAGCAATCCCACACAAAAAGCCAAGGGCTGCACTTGAACCCAAGCGTGAAACCCCAGTGCATATAAGCATCACAAAGGCTTCCTCCTTTGTACTCATGTCTCTTGAAGCCATAGCCAACTCAATTCCAGCAAGCACTAGCAACACCCCTAAGACTCCAACAGGAAATTGGTTCAAAACCATCACTAAAGAACTTCCTAAAACCAAACCCAGAACCAGTTTGGCTGCACCAAGTAGTGCCACACAACCTCCACTCCTACCTCCAAACTTGTACTGCCCAGCCAGCCCACCTGCACCATGGCAACATGGCATGACACCAAACCAACACCCCCACCAAATTCATCAGCCCTACAACACCGAAACCGAAGTGGCCGAAAAATCCTTTCCAGAAAACAGATCACATGACAACGTGCAGACAGCAATAACAAGAGTTTAGTACCGATAAAGAGAGCTGAGGAATTGTTCCCTTAATAAACCCTTCTTTCCAATCATGCTTAGAAAATTTAACAACTTCAACAGAAGATGGCCCAAATTTAAAATCATGCACCACTCCAGGCCTTCTTGTAAATGCCAAAACCACACCCAACAAAAAAAAAACCATAAAAGCAGAAGGAAGTGAGGCTATAATTTGCCTTAGTCCCCTCCTCCTAGGTCTTTCTGTACCACCCCAATTAATGTCATCACCCTCTCTTCAACAATCCTCCTCACCAGCACCCTTAACAACAATAAAAAAACAAGCACAAACAATAGCCAAAACCAAACCATCTAACCCTAACCAACGCCTATCACCACCAGACTTCGACTTGGAAAAATCCTGTACTTTCCTAAAATACTTAACTGCAGACATAGCAAATGATAACCCTTGTGACAGCTGAATTCTCCTAACTACAGATAATGAGATCAACTTATAAACTAGCTGCAACTAACCTGTGACACCTAAAAGTAACGAAATCTCACCTGTACATATTCCTGCTGTCATAATTTCAGGCACACCAAACTCTGCACTATTTGATATAGCCACAGCTGCTATTGATTCCATTGGCTGGGCTGGGATTGGCACACCATAGATTGCCCCAGCAATCATGTTGTATATGCCAGTGACTATTAATGCTTTCCCTAAAACTGGGGTTTCACTTCGCCTTCTTCTCCATCTTCTCCATGTCTCTGTCTCTCCCCGTTTTCAATTTTTCACTTGTAATTGAAAGGGAGTAAGACAGTCGACACATAGTCTGCCTTACCTCTTTCAATTACTCTCTTCTAAGTTTTATTTTTTTAAAAAAAATTAAAATAAAAGTCAACTGAATTGATCCTTACATGTAATTAAGGTTGACAATTTAAATTATATTTATCTAATTTTTATTTTAAAAATTAAGTTAAATAATTTGATGTTACGTCGTAACAGAATGAGCCAAAATTTGTTATTAAGCATTTATTCGTATATGAATTACCCTTTTATGTTTTTATATTTTCTTTAAATCATTTTTATATTATTTTATTCAAATCATATAATTATAATATATAATCAATTAGTATCTGTCGGTTACCTACTTAAAGCATTGACTAAACTTCCTCCTTTATTTTTAATACCACCAAAAAAAAAAAAAAAAAGAAATCAATCAATCATCATTTTCCCGTAATTGTGACACATTAAACTGCAATAACGAATAAATAGGAGTTGATAAATATATGATCTTATGATCTCTTCTATTTTAAACAACTCCCCTCTATCTCTCTCTCTCTCCAAAAACAAAGTGCACGGGTTTAACAACGATCTTTTGGTGCCTTCAAATAACATCACGAACTTGTTGTCTGGTGCCTCCGAAGTGCCTCACAATCGTTTTAATCAGCTGACGTCACGATTTTGTCCATTAAACATGCAGTGTGTTATAGATTTGATTTCGACAATGTATACAAACTAGTAATACGTTAGTATATAATCGTCGATTTTATAGATTGAATTTATGATTATTAGTTTTAAAAATTTATTTTTAAAATATTTAAAACGACGTGTTACCATACTCCTTAACTACCTCTAAAAAAAATATTAGTTTTGGATTGTGATGGGAAAAACTGTACATAAAAGTCTGAGATTATTCCAGATCACCTCCTATTTAACAATACTCAATTTTCATCCAGTCATTATCAACTAAGCTAAGGTTACATGTAGTCGCAAAAATACAGCTTGAAAGTTGACAGGCTTGTTAAATGGAGTTCTAATTAATCAGTCTTTGAGATAACCAAGGATTCATAGACTCGTGATCAATGTGAGCAGTTGAAAGTTGAAACAGCCAAGCTATATATATATATATAACCAACTTATTTAAGCCACTTTAATTGTCAAGCTAGCAACTGTCCCTTGAACTTTCAAAATGTCATAATAAGTCCAGCTACTGTATAATCTAGATTAGATCGTTGACGAATAGATCCATTAAAATGCTCTAAACATGATACTCGATTTCAGGATATCAAATTTCTTACCCAGATCATGCTCGGTAAACTGACAAGTTTGTCCTAATTGTGGCAATGGACCATGTTATTATAAAGTTCTTTTTTTTTTTTTTAAAGAAAAAAACATAACATAAAGAGAAAAAGAAAATGTCAGAGGAAGAAAAAAAATGATGTCATTGCTAATGTTGTTCTGGTTGTTTGTAAGTTGTAATGAACCTTGCAACAGTTGATTTTTGTCTCGAGTAAACTTTAAGAAAGATACATAATAAACTAAGACTCGACTCGCTCACAACACGTTGCTGTCAATTGGACGATTCGAACTCGTGTTTTTCAAGAAAGATCAAATGCCTTGTACCTGCATGCTTTAATTATTCTTATAATTTCTGGTCTACTGTAATAATCCACATCAAGACTTAGCAATATATATATATATATATATATATATATATATATATATGAGAGGCTTGCACGGTTTGACTTTGGGAGTGTAGTTATATACGCAAACACATACTTTTGGACTTCAAAATAAACAGTTCATGCACTTAAAAAGTAGAACTCTCTCTGCTATACAGACAAGCAAATACTAGTTTGAAGCTTCTTCTCTCAAGATCTGGCTTAATATTTCTTGGTTTTATGTGACCATGGCATGGTGCAATTCAGGCAGTCGAAACATGAATAGCTATGCAAAAAGTGGGTATGATCGGATTGGGTCATTTAAAGCATTGTTCCGCACTGAATCAAAGACACCAAGGTGGAGATTATTGTGGCGGAAGATGTTGAAGGAAAAGAGGAAGATTTTTGACTGTTCATCGTCGGCTCAGGTTTATCATACTTACGATCCTTATACGTACTCTCAGAATTTTGATCATGGCTTGGTGATGTCCAACCCTGATGACAGCTCCCGGTCTTTCTCGGCTAGGTTTGCTGTTCCTTCCAGGATTTTTGAGAAGGGTGGATCGGTATAGCTGGATGAAGGATTTCAGAAAGAAAATGGTGTGCTCCTACGTAGTTCAGTTTTTTTGAATTATTTTTCATGGAAACCAAATTGATCATATATATCTTTACTTCCAGCAGTTTCGTTAGAAATCAAGAACATCTCTTTCTCTTCTTGTGACGACGTTATTGACTTATTTTCCTTAGTTAATTTGTTTCTACGCTCTTATATTATCCGTCCCCTCCAATCTTAACTTCTGATTCGTATTTTGTTTCTGATCAGTATAATATTGGAACTTTGAAAGTCTCTTCTTGTTCATCATCTTGTGGTCTCTAGCTTAGATGAAAAATAACTTAAGATCAGTGCTCTCTTGGACTCTCTTGGCAGCTGGCCCCATCAAACTATATTTAATTTCTCTCTCTCTCTCTCTTTCTATTTAGATAAGATGAAGCGATATTAATTAACAAGTAGAAACAAAAGGAATCCATAGCAATTGTTAATTTTGTTATTTCTTTAGATTTGGACAACATCATCGTACCATCATGATGGATCTAAGCAATGATGATTAAAAGCAATCTCAATTAATCTCCATGTACGGGGCAATATGCATGTTCTGATCATCTTTTTGCTTCTTCAAGAAATGCAAGCTTTAAGTATTAACCTAGTCTAGGGATTTGACAATGGAATGCCCTTTGTAGCATTAAATAGATTTCTCTTCACAAATCCAAGATAGCAAGATATATTAGTGTTGGCCAACAAATAATTATAGAAGGAATCATCTTGATCTACGGGTCCAAAAACTCCAGACATTGCATACAAACGAGTGGCCGGGCACACTACCAGCTGACTTATCTAGATAAGCAAATGTGCTGCAGAAAGGTTTCACTACGTTCGTACCATTTTAGCTCGATCTCAACTGTTGAAAATTAGAATCTTTTTTTTTAATGAATTTGCTGTTCGATTTATGCTGAAAAACAGGCTTGACATTTCGAATCACTTGTTTCAATCAGCAATATTCTACTTTCTTGGTCAAAACTCAAAACTGGGTTTCTACACTGTGTTCCAATAAAGGAAGGGCCACTTGATGGTGAAAAAATTGCATCCATTTGTTGTGCTTTTTTTCGGGCATCGTTTTCTTTTTGTTTTTTGGGGTCAAATATTACACACTTTTTTATAAGATTCTTTTGGACTGTGGGGTTCGTAGTTCGTGCTATGTTGTGCACCATTTCTCCGTTTGCTCAAGGTCCCAGCTGTCTCATTAATTAAAAACTGTGGGCAGAATTGAACCGTTCAAACTTCAAACAATTTGGCCATTCCTCAGGGCTCGCATTCTTCCACATATCAACCCATGAATAGGTTTCTTTCATGAGACCTTAGTTCTAGTTTCTTTCCCAGTACCGTTGTAACAAAACGAAAACCCATAAATAGATCCACGAGGAATTATAATGCCATTCTTACCCTCTAAAATTCGAAACAAAATTCTCATCTCAAAATGCTAAGATATCAAGTCACCGTTTCAATTTCTTACCTTTTTGTAGTTGCTTGAATATATAGGATTCCTTGCAAGGGGAATGGAAGTATATAAAAATGATGGTTGAGGTAATAAAAAACCCCAAAACTAGATATCTGTCTCTCTTTCGTGCACAAAAGGATGGTGCCTACAGCCCACCAATCCCTCTAACTTATCCCCTTTCTATCAATATGAACCCAACTAAAAAGAGAGAGCTATTAAAGCAATAAAGTCAGTCAAATTAAAGGTGACGCATCTTTCAAGCCTCCCCACAGGCAGCTCCCTTTAGCATGGCTCTGACAGAAAGAAGAGGAAGTCCCTTTATCTGGATCGGATTAGGATAGAAATACCTCTGCACGAGGAGCCCACGAATGAAAAACAAGGGGAAGCAATGATGCATGACATGATTCAGCACAATTACGTTAGTGAATATAAGCTCCTTGGAGTTTAGTTAAAACATCTCAGTAAGTACTCCCTTTTTATTCAGCAGCAAAAGATATTTTTTTTGGATTATCATGGGTATCAATTGAGATGGAGTATTTTCAGATTATTTTAAAAGCATACCTTCGTATTTATATAATGCATTCAGAAGAATAAAATTTTTTAAATATTATCTTCAAAGTTTGATCAAATAAAAAAAATCCTTAAATATTGATTAATACTCTGTCTTAAAGAAGTTGTCATTTGCTCCATTCATTTATCTCTAAAATTACTTATCCAGTAAAAATTTTAGCCGTAATATATTTTTTAAAAAATTCTTAATTGATAAAAAAATCAATTTTTCTTATATTTCTTATTCTTCACTAACAACATTTTAATATTCTTTATACTTTTTCTTCATACATACAAATATTTTTATTACAAATCAAAATTTTGAGAGTAAAATATTTCTATTAGTGTATTATTTTTTCATAATTTTTTTTAACTTGATTGTTTATTGACTTAATGATTTTTTTTGTTATTTACCACACTTTTTTTAATATAATTTCTCCTTCAATTAATATTGACTTAATGTAATACAACATTAAATTTGATAACTACCAATTTTAATAAAAAAATATTTTAAAAAATATATAAAAAAGATATTGATATAATATAATAATTAATATATTTTTTAAATTGTCTCAAAAGTCAAACAAAATATTTTTTTTTTGGAACATAAGAGTATATCAGAAGTAATACTATTCTGCATGATATATTTTGTTTGTCACAAGTTGTTTCATGTTTCTATATCAGAATGATTATTTTTCTCTAGCCTAGTGTATAGCTACTTCAGATATTTTAATTAAAATCAATTTGCGAAAAAAAAAAAGTCAGAACCAGTAGGCTTGTTCCAAAACAATGGTCCAAGTATCCATTCAGCCTCAGCTAGTCAAGTATATTTTTTTGACCAATGATGCATGGAAGAAATTCTCGATCGATCCAGAGCATTTGATCCATAATTTTATTATTAAGTTCCGTTCTCCGATCTCTAATCATTTGTGACTCCGCTAAAACCTGCTGTTGTCATGTGAAGGACAGACAATCCTGAAGCATAGGCAAGCCCATCTTACGTAACGTATTGGTCCCAATAAATTCACAGAACGAATGATTTGAAGTTCCCTGACCAACCAATATCAAATGCATCCACCCTACGCATCTAAACTATTCAACAATTGCACCTACCACTCCTGTGCATTATTCTTCATCAAGGCATAAAGGGTCTTTGGCAGTTGGCAGCCCTCTTACCAGATGAAGTTGCTAGTGCCATTTATTGGACTTTCTTGGTTTAACGGATCCATCAATGTCACCAATTTTGGCACTTATCTATACCACCCAACAGGCTGCACTGCTCATATTAATTACTTGGTCTGAGTCAGCCATTACCACGTATCTGTAGCTCTACTGTAGAACTTTGTCAATTAAGGTTATATGGACAAATGAATACCAACTTGTGCAACTTTAAGTGCCATAATGATCAATTCTAAAGAGCTCCGCTCCTTTTGAGCAACAAAATATAGAAGCACTTCTTTTCATGACATAACTAAGGGAAAAGTGACATTTCACCAGTGGTTTCTTTTTAGTTAATCGAACCCTCAGAGTAATCCTGTTGAAGCACATCCTTTAGGTGATTAAAAGGTTGATGAGCTTTGATTACCGAGTTTTGAAAATCAATCAAATGATTAATCATAAATCAATTGAGATGCAAAAATTTAATTTTGTGATTTGTGAAAATATCGAATCCATTAATCATATAACATAAATGTAAATAGCAAAAAATGTGTAAGAAAGAGCATATAGTACTAGTAAGACATAAAATCAAAATAACATATAACATGTGTGGTCAAAATCAAATCAAATAAAACTTTAGGAGATGTATGGTGTAAGAATAAAAGAGTTTTGAAAAAGTATTGAGCAAAAGATAAAAATATACAAAAAGAAATGCAGAGGTTGGAAATTCTCTCACAATTGTTGTAAGGTTAGTATTTATAGTAAAATAAGAATAATCTTTAATTGTTAGAATTGTGTTACGTCATTCATATTTGTACAATCAGATTTGAATCGAAGAAAATTAAATTTTTTTAGATTAAAATATTGTTTTAACTTACTAGCAAATGATAAAAAAAAAAAATAACAATTAGATTGTTTTTATTTTTTTCTTAAGTGGACCTTACTTCAAACCTATCAGTTTATTAATCTTCTAATGCATTCCAAAAACAAGATATGAATATTGATTTTACCATAATACCCATATTCATTATTACATGATCCAAAGCCTTAGACAAGATTCATCCACAATCTGATATATTTGTTGTAAAATTTGGATCCATATTGAAAAAATTATAAATTATTACGTAATAAAATTAGCTAAATTAATTAATTAATTAATTTTGAGAAAAAATCGATCATACACAATCTAGAAGAGCCAATATTTTGGTATTCGATTCATAATTGTATAACTTCCCATTAAAAAGATCTCAAACATATATATACGCATTCAAAGGGATAAAAAAAAAAAAAAGCTTTAGCAAATAATGAGCCATGATATAGATTATAGAATGATGATTGCGTACCTGACTGGCTATAGTATGCAAAAATGGTGAATTTTCACAAGCAAGAGTACTCAAACTTATATCTAATATTGCAAACCGGAGGCTTTGATTCACAATGTTTTAGTACACAGGGAGGAAGGGAAGGAAATAATTACAGTGCAAATGTGATGATTATCGAATATGACATGAACAAATGAGCAACAAACTTTATTGCTCTGCTGAATTGGCTGAGACTAGGCAGCCAAGAGATAACAAATTTTCTTCTTGCAATCGTAACTACAATAGAGAGAGGCCGCAGATAACAACAACTAAATAAACACTGCAGTCAATGAAGATGCCGCGAATGGCCTGATACGTAGCCAAACCTCTCTCCAAGAGCTTAACTGCTCCCACCCAGTTATCTCCATCTACCTTAGGTACCGTTGAATCCTCAGTGCCATGATTCCCCCTTTCACGAAACAGTCGGGAAAGCACAATTGTTACATCCGTTAGCAGGATTATGTAAAGAGGCCTAGAGGCTATTATGCTCTCCGAGCTCACTATGTTAATTCCAAGTAGTGGATAATCAATGTAAGATGTAAGCACCAGAGAAGCAATTATGAGAGAACAAATAGCGCGAGTTCTCTGGGAGGATATAATGCAGGAATTTATTCGCTTGGATGAGAAAAAATTAGGCTGATCTGATGATGCCTTTTGAATTGATGGTATCACTACAGACTTTTGTATTTCGGACATGTTGTTGAAAGCAGGAGCACTTACAGCTTCTGTAGGTGTCATTCGTTCCTGAAAATGTTGTTCCACTTGGTTTCTAATGTCAAAGTTGTTCCCTTCAGAAGCTTCAATGCTAGACTTCTGTTTCGGTAATTTAGAGCCAGACTCATCTGCTCCTCCAGAACCAGTTGTGACAGCCATCGGAGCAAAATAAGAAACATGAAACAAAATAGCTGTGAATTTCATGTCGTTGTTCTGTCATGTAAGAAATATACAATGACTTCCGAAACAAGTTATGCATAGCACAATTACATCATATAAGGATTTGATGGAATAGTACAAACAGTGTTCGTGATGCTAATCCACTTTGTTCTGCCATATTTCTTGGCCCAAGTCATGAAGTTAGAGGGAGGCAAAAGCTTATTCTTGTTTTACCTAACCGGGACTTGTCTTAATCTTTTTATTGAAACAATCCAGACATAATTCTGAAGTAATAATATCTGCAGAGGAAGGGTGAAACTGCAAAACTAAACCTATTAGAGCAGCTTAGAAAAGTAATTCAGCTAACTCATACAAATTCCATTATGGCATTTGGAGAACTTGAAAGAGAGAGAGAGAGGTTTTAGAAATAATCAATTTAAGGTCTGATAAGCATCCATTCTATTTGGCCACACATTTCCTTTGTAGCCGGCCTATGTAGGCATAGCTGCTAATCCTATTACTGTTAGCAAATTATGAATTCGAATAAGGCACCCAATTCCTTCACCGGTTCTCATCAATTCAAATAACAAAATTCCAAGAAATATAGAGTAATGTGAATTAAATTGATGTTGGTACAAGAACAACCCATTTCCATGATTAATATAAAATTTTGGGAATGTCTATTTTCTATATGGCTTCTAGCTAGGAATCTTATCACAAAAGTGGTTGCTTCATAGATGTCCTGTTATAATGTCAAAAGAATCATGGAGAAGCAAATTCGCATTATCTCAATATTGCAAAGCAGATGCTTATTATTCTGCCTGATTTTGAAAAAAAAAAAAATTGCTGTCATTTCTTTCTCCAAATCAAAAGAAAACTTGATTTCCCAAATTCCAGTATCATAAAGTATATATATTAATTAGGAAACAGGGTGGAGGAAAAGGGTACCATGGATTTGAGGATATTGTTGAGAGGCCATGATTGATGGGGATGATTCACTATCATGTGCATGGCGATTATAAGTTGATGTTGTTGAAGATGGTAATGATGGTGGTGCATTGAGAAATTGGATTTGGCCAGTGATTAGAGCCATCCGATCTGACCCTCTCTCCCTGATTCTTCTTCTTCTCTCTTCTTTGTCATCGCTTGCCATCTCCAATATCCCTCTCTCCAACCTCCTTGTCTAGCTGTCAAAACAAGGTTAATAAAAATTCTTAAGTTCGTTATCTCGGTTGCAGTTTTGTTCGTCCCTTCAAAATATGAGTGAAGTATACTTAGTCCTATAGTTTATCAAAACTAATAAATTAGTCAGTATATTAATAAAATAATTAAATAATCCTTTGACCAACTTTAATCATCCTCGATTTAGTAATGTTTTTGTCTAAAAAAGGTCTTCTTACCTAATAAGCTTGAAGCCACAAGAGCTTGAAAAAAAAATAATAATAATTGAAAAATAACATGCAATTGATCACGAAAGGAAAAGAAACAAATTTGTTTAGTTGTCAACAAAATGAAAAGCAATACAAGAAGGCATAGTATACTAGTTCTGGATGTTTATATTGTAGATTCTCGCAGTGAAATGGTTAGGTTACAATTTTAGGAGAGTTATTTATCAATATTGTCTATTCCAAAGCCTAATAGAAATCTCCTAACGAAAAAAAAAAAAAGAAGCAAAACCAAAACTTGTAGTAATTTTCATTTGAAAGATCTTACTAAAATTCGAAAATATTTTTGACTTAAAAAAAATACTAAAGTTCATTCCAAAACAACAGATCACACGTAAAAATGTATAGCGATTGGACTACCAAGCTCTTTATTGAGAAATTATTATACATATATAGTCTACCATCTAAGATCACATACTATACAAAAAAGAATTTTTACACATTTCTAAATTTATCCACATCATTTTGTGATTGATGCATTATTAATTATTTCATTCCATAATGTGATCTACTAAATAGATGATTTGAAAAAATTTAATTATTTGTAATAGTTTTATTGGTTTGATCTATGATTTTAGGTGGTAGACCAAGTCTTGTAATAATTAATTTAAAGGACTCATACATCCTTTAACCTTCTTTTTTTCATATAAAGGTTTTTTTGAAAAAAAAATAGAAAAATTTTTTTCTTTTTTATTAGGAAAAAAAGTGTAAGTTTTTAACATCATAACATCTTGAAATTAATTTAAAGGCAATATATTCTGCACATATGCAGACATGAAAATTGTTTCTTTTTTGTAAACAAAAATTTTCATATTTTAAGGTGTTTTTTGATAATTAGGAATAGAGTGATAGAATGCGGGAATCGAAATGGTATTTATATTTTCATACCGTATCCGGAATACTAATGAGAAATCAGAATACAATTTAAATTTTTTAATATTTGATTTTTTATATAAATAAAAATAATGATTAAAAAAATAATTTTATTAAACTATAATGGTTGTAAAAATAATAAGGTGATGATGGTAATTGTGGTTATCATAGTGGTGGTTCTAGTGGTGGCGGTGATGGCGGTAGTGATAGAGGTGATGGTGGTGGTGGTGGTAAAAGTAGTTAATAGATAATAAATAAATAAAATATATTATTATTTTGAAAAAAAAATTCATTCCAGCTTTTATTCCCACATCTTATTTGAGAATGAAGTTGTGTGTAAATTTTCATTCTTATTCTCACTTCATTTCTTTTAACCAAACAACTACAATGTGGGAATAAAATTTTCATTTTCATTCCCATCATTCTATTTTTGATTATCAAACTATACCTAAGTTGTTAGGAGTACTTTTTTTATAAGATTAAGTTGGAAAAAAACATTTCTTATTTTAGGAGTATCTACCGCTCTATATTTAATGGAGTTTTTTTTTTTTGCTAACTAGAGTATTTTTAAAACCTATTTTGTAACGCCCTGACCTCAGTCATATTTTCACTACCCAAGTAGAGTATTAAACGAAGCGCGTTACGCCGACATACCCTAAACTCTAAGTAGTTCTCTTATGATATTCTTAAAACTTTCACAAGCATATTACGTATATAACTCCTTAAAATAAAATTTACATAACATAATTAAATACATTAATAAAACATTACAGGAAATATTCAATTTCTCACGAACTCCATATCCCAAATTTACGGACAAAATAAAAACTAATATATGGTGCTTCACATGAGCCGGTTAGAAAGAGTCACTGCATTCGTACCAACTTGTCATTTTCCTGTCACGACATAAAAATAACAATAGGGTGACTCGAAGCTCGGTAAGTAGGGTGATGCACATGATATGCAATGAAGTTTTGATTTCTCACCATACTCATAAATTTTAATCTCGGGTACCACGGGTATTAGCCGATCTACTCTATTTATCATCCGGGTGGTCCGCGGATCACCTTCTGCTACAACGAAATTACCCCTCGTTGTAACTACTATTAGCGAGAATCCATCGTCTAACGAGTGCAAGCACACGGCTTGGTTTCATCTAGATGATCCTCGGATCATCTTCTGCTACAACTGAATTATCCCTCGTTGTAAGCTGCTATTAGTAGGAATCCATCGTCTAATAGTGCATGCACACAACCTAGAGTACTCGGACTACTAATACCCATTTATTCTAGTTAGGTTATCAAACCTAGATGTATAAACCATTTCTCAATCAATTGACTTGTCTTAAACTACCCACTATGCACATGATGCACTTGATGACATGTTTAATCACATTTAATCAAACTCGGGTACCAATCCTTCTTTCTTCAGCCATACTCATGGTTCAACCAACACTCGGGATTCACTCGTCGCTCACATACCAGTCATGGTACTCATAGCGGGAACACAACCTCCACTCATTAATATTGTTCATTAGTTTCATTAATATTTAAAAGAAGGTCCAAATCTTTTTCTTATTTCCTCTCTAAAAGAATAAATCTTTTTTAGAATTTTCAAATCCCTTTTTATTTCTATCTAAATCCACTTATTTTAGTCCAAGCCCATTTCTTTTAGTCTAAGCTCATCTACGTTAAAATCAAGCCTTTTGATTTTAGTCCAAGCTCATTTAATTTATTCCAGGCTCAGTAAATTTATCTAGTTTCTTAAATTAATCCGAAGTCCATTGACTTTATCCAATTCTATTTTATTTTATCTACACCCATTAATTTTGTCAAAGTCTAATTATTGGGTTTTAGGGTTTACTACCGGGCAATCTCTAATCGAGTAAGTAATTTTTTAACTTCTGAACATAATTAAATCTTATACATTTTATTGTAGATACTAAACATATTTATTTATAACATATTAAAAAATTAGATCTAAATACTAAGTACACAATTAATATCAAATTTTTGAAACTTAGGGAGCAATCTGCCTAGTAGTAGTTTGTCTAGAGCTATCTGTACTAAATTGGGTATAACTCTTTGTAAATGAATCCAATGACTAAGAAATTTTAAAGGAAGTTAGTTAAAACATAGATGAACAACTTTTATTCTTTAAGTTTCACCTAGAAATCGACCTAAAATCCTTGAACATGCATCCCAAAATTCGGACAGAATTTACTCCTTATCAACACTAATTTATTAGTTTATTCTAAGCCAACTTTAAACATGTTTTAGTTCACTTAGATTTAGTCCAAGTCCAATCCAACCCATCACCACATACATGGATATTTTTAAAAACATAAGAACATCATAAATTATCACCACAAGGCATCCATACATGGATTCCTCCCAAGCATCAAGCATATAACCATCACAAACCACCAAAACAACATATTACATGGTTTAAACTTCAAGACATGAAAATAACTCAAATCAACTCATAATTTAAATACATGAAATGAAACTTAAAGCATAATATGATACTCAAATGAAAACCTACTTACCTTGTTTGAATTTCCTAAAGGTTGGTTAAGCTTTTCCTTTTCTTTCTTTTCTTTGTCTCCTCCTCTCTTCCTCACTTTTGTTTCTCTCCTTATTCCGGTGGCTACGGGCTTCACTCCAAAAAATGGTTAAAGTT